CTGACGATTAGCTCGGGCCATGAACCTGGGATCTGGGTCCTGAGATTCTTTCCCATACACTGCAAAAAAAAAAAAATTAAAGGGGCTTAATGAGTAAGAGGTAATAATCTATAACAGTTAGTGTAGAAATGTGTGATACCCAGTACTTCACCAGTAGATACTTTTATTGGAAGTAGGTATGATACCCAGTACTTCCCTCTTGAAATATTATTTCTCTGTGTATAAGCTCCCTTTATCCTCTTGTTACTGAAGCTACATCTGCTTCTCCTCCTGGTTGCCTCCTGCTCCTGCCTCCTGCCGCCTTGTTATCTTGACAGAGTTGCGCGATCGTTTTGTAGTCGCCTTTGGTTTCAGCTACTGCCTGGCGATTCACTTTTTCGCTTTCGGGTTTCGGTTGACAAAATTAATGAGTTGGCCAGGCGGTGAAGCTCCAGCTCCTCCTCCTTCTCGTCCAGCTCCGTCCTCGTTAATTTTAACAGCTTTGGGATGCTGAGCCATGAAATTTATGCGTGAATTTGGCGCAGATCCATTAAGTGGTCCATAGATTAGGAGGCAGCTCCCTTTGTGCGCTGCCTAAGTGGCTGGGATGTTGGAACGGCAGCGCGGTAGCATGTTGCCCCGTTGACAGCATCCTTAAATGGCGCTTAGCTCTGAGATCTCTTTTATGGCCCTGTTCTGTTTTGACTCGTTCTCGTATGCAGAAATGTAGATTCAATTAATTGTGACATCCTCAGACTGACACTCGGAGATAGTTTTGAGGCTTTAAGGCCCATATATTGTGGCAATGGCCTCTCAACAAGTGGGAGTATGCAACGATGACCCATTGTTGGTGTTTAGAGTTTTATTTCGGGGCACGCTACTTGGCGTTTTGCGGCTGAAAGGGTTGTCCGGGGGGGAGGGAAAGGGGCCTGGATAGGAGAATGTGGGGTAGTACCCATCAGCTGCACTGCCGGCACGCAGCTCTCGTCCAACACGCATAGGCCAAAGTCAAAAGAGCCAACTGATGAATGAACGAGTGTCTGGTCTGGCATGGCCCGGCCCGGCCTGGTCTGGTCTGGCCTGGTCTGGCGGGGTCTGCGTGTGTGAGTGCTAGTGTGACTAACGGTTTGCAGCGATTTTGGCGCCAAATCGAGCGTGCTATGATCAACAACAACAACTGAACAGAAGCCACCTGAACACGCTGCGTATGCGTAATGCTTTGCATGCAAGCCGGCTACTGAGTCCGGACTCCGGAGCCAGTGAGCGAAAAGTGAAGGCGTAGACAGCTGAGCTGGATGCCATGAACTCACGTGCCCCCCAAAGGATTGCGTGTCATTTGTTTATAAACACATCACCCGGCCGATGGGCCACAGGGGAGGCAGGTGCCGGCCCTCACACCCATTGCGGCTCAGTATGCAAAACAACAAAAAGCTACTACCGGAGAAAGTGGTTTAGATTAAGCAACAATCGACACTTGCGAATGGAAGCATATTTGCAGCAAAAGTTTTTAGAATGTTTCAAAAAATGTGTCACAAAAGGACTCTAGTCCTTAATCTGTTTTGAAGTGGCTGGTGATTAAGAGGTAGGGCTTTTAGACGTTTTTATAAATTATAATTAAATTTATGGTTTAGTTCTCTACCTAATATTTTATGAGAAAGGAAGAATCGTATCAACGCACTTAGCACTTATCAATGGACCTATAGTTACTCGTTTTTTGGATGTCTTTGGATAAGTCTCTCAAGTCACTGTCTTGAGAAGTGTTAAACCTATTATACCTACATATGTATTAAAACCAACGTTCCTATGTTATAACAATAATTCCCTCCTAAATAATAATCCTAAAACCTCAATTGTTTCTCTATACAAATTCTTAAATGCTTTAATCGCCAGACCTCTTCATACTTTTAAAATGGTTTGGTATATCAAGATTCTAGATGTTATTATCAACTCTTATAAATTCAAATGCCCTGTATTCAGCGCTACATTATGTATAATATACAATATGTAAGCTGGTCTAGTTGTGTAATCTTTTGTACCTCTTATAATAATAATTATAATGTGTAGATGTCTTATTTTTACATTTAGGTATAATAATATTGTCTAGATGTCTTATTTTTCACATAATAAGTAGTTGCTCATAAAACTGTATGCATTTGGCCTATACTACAGTTGAAACGAACTTTTCTACTAATTTGTTTTGGAAAAAGATAAGAAAGTTTCGAGGATATGAATGAATACTTGGTAAAATCAGATGAAAGTTAATTAGTTTTATCATAAAAAGCATCGAAACGGGAAAAGAGCAATTGAGAGTTCAAGTCACATTAATTCAGAGCTCTTCTATGATATGTCCCTTCTATATATGCAACCTATATGATAATTGAAACTTCTTGCTTAGAAAATTAATTCCTAATCCTATATCTTATTTTTCCTAAAAATCCATTAAAATTAATAAGTTGATTAGCTATTCAAAGTAATAGTTTTCAGCTCTTATTCTTTTGCATAAAAAGCACTGGGCGTGGTGAATCGGGATTTCGAGTTGATATCTTGTTTGTCGGATCTATGGACTTTGCTTTGCCGCGGCGGACTCTAGTCCCCAGCAAGTGGGCGAGACTGCGGCCCTGGACCTTGCAATTTGTGTCAACCATATCGAGGCGCACACTCGCCTGGGCTCCCAATCCCTGGGCTCCTCCCTGCGATCCGGCGGAGCAAGCCCCAATCCCAAAAGTCGTCCGCATTGTAATTTCTTTAAAAGCAATTCATTTCATAATGGGAAAAGGAAAGAAGAAATGTGAAGAAGAATGCCAAATGGAGAGTTTCAGAAGGGAGGAAGGTTTTTGGGTGGATGGGTGGTTGGGTGGTAGAGTGGCTGGATGGCTGGCAGAGCTGGGAAAGCCACGAAAATGGCGAAAAATAATACATGAGGAAAATGTTCGAAAAGGACGACGTCGCTCAAGGAGAATAAAAATGGCTTTTTGGGGCTAAAGTTTAGCAAGAAACGTGGAGGATACACACACACGCTGCAGTTATCCTTTGTTGGCCAGGATTCCTCTCTCTTTACTTTCTGTTTTTCTCCCTCATTCGCCGACTGGCTGGCTTGACGTTTTTATGGCCCCCAGACAAAAGGTTGAGCCACCTTTCACCTTTCCTCCATTTCTTCCGCCGCCCGAAAGCTCTTTACTTTTTGGAAAGTTGTTTATGGAATTCATTTTATTCCCACTGCCCTCGCCCCGGCTATAGCTCCTGCTCCTGCTCCTGCCTTGGGTCGTACTGCTACTCCCTGCTCCTTTGCCCTTGCCATTTCGTTTCTTGCTTCTTTTGTTATAGATAATAAGAAAATTATACATTTTATGCCGAGAACTTAGGGCAAGACATGGGGAGAAATAATACACCGCATTGCCCCCAATTTGGCGAAAAGGGGCCTCAATTTCGGTATTCGGCTTCGAAATTATTTCTATGTCGATTCCGTCTGCTAATTTGCAGCCTTGACTTGACTGGCGTGGCGTGGCGTCGTCCTCCGGTGCATTCCGATGCGTCTAACGGTTCACAATACGATATAATCATCCCAGCGGTACCTCCGTTTATCCTTTTTTTTGGCTGCCAGACACTGATCATTTTCAAATATCTTCGTAATTGGCCATTTCATTAGGTGAGTTCCTTCGATTCCATTCGATTGGTCGAGTTGCGGGTGAGCTGGAGCCTCGGAGCTGGAATGTCTCACGTTTAGCGGCGATTTGCGAGGACAACTATCCTGCTATCCTTATCGCAGATCCTTTTATCCAGTTATCCAGGCGCCAAGTTGGCATTCCTCGTCCGGGACAACACCTCGCGCCCGGTTGGCACGATAATGCATCTGGGATTGGGGATTAGGATTGCTCCGATAGCAGCTGGGAGGGATCATCCGGCCGGGACATGTCCGCCCGCTTGGTGACATCAAACGGACATGCCACTGCCTGGTAGCACCAACAAAAAAACACGCTCCGTCAGCCAATTAACTTAACGCGACAGTATCCTGCAACCGTCCTGCAGGCCCTGCAGGTCCTTGCAAAAAAGACTTCCAAACAAAAAATGTCAGAAAAAGTGAAACAACAAACAAAGAGCCGGCCTGGAAAAAACCTCCAAACAGTGACACGTTGGGGCTGACCGTGGAAGGGGTCTTCTCATAAATTACAAAAATAATTATATTTAATTACCGCAATTAACTTTGTAATAATGTCAATGAAAATGATGGGACAAAATATGATTAAAAAAATAACAGAATACACACAATAGAAAGAGAGGTGCAGCATGGAGAAGTCCAAAGACAGGGTCGCCCAGAGCCCCGTCCGCCGTCCACAAGGTAATGATGAATTAGCGGCAAAGCTTTGAGTCCAGGAATCCAACCAGCGGCTAATCCAGATCGCCATAACCATTCCTTGTGTCTCATCATAAACGGATTTTGCATTTATGAGCTCCCCGCCCCAGATCCTTGTGGCTTTACAATGGCATTTCAGTTGCGGACCTGGTCGGGTCGGGTCCTCGAACATTTATGACATTTAATTGGAGTGCTGAGTTCAGATTTGAGTCGGTTTATGATTTGATTCATGGAAACTGACTCCCCGGTTAGAGGTGGAGTCGGGTAATGGGCCGATTAAGTTCCGAGAGTTCCTCGAAAGTCCAGTACTGCTGGTCCCTTTTATAGATCCAGATCCCAACTAATCAGCGAATCAAGTGGCCATAGCTAATCGAATTGAAAATAAACCACCCTGGAATATATATCCATTCCCGTTTGTAATCCTTGAAATTGCCCAACATCTGCGGGGGTGGACTGAGGTCCTCTGTCTGGCCATTATATTCGGTTTAGGGTAACTGATAAGTGCAATTAATAATTTTGACCTTTTCAAGTTCACGCGGCGCCAGCTGACGCGCTCCGCGTTCTTGGTCTATTTAGGGAGCCAACTTTCCATTTATGCATGAAAATTGTTTTTAATTTCCCTTTCACTCATATTATACCTCTCTCTCTCTCTCTCTTTGTATATCCACAGCCTGAAGCCGCCGCCCAAGGATGGCGTCACAAAGAGCAATCCATCAAAGCGGCATCGGGAGCGCCTCAACGCCGAGCTGGATCTCCTGGCCTCCCTCCTGCCCTTCGAGCAGAACATCTTGAGCAAACTGGATCGACTGAGCATTCTAAGGCTGTCTGTTAGTTATTTAAGAACCAAAAGTTATTTTCAAGGTGAGTCTAGCTAGTCCTCCTCCATGGAGGCCATAAGGCGCGTAACGATTCTGGCCTATTAAATCGATTATGTTGGGTCGGGAGGAACTCCCCGTTCTGGGCTGCAGCCCAGACCTAGAAACAGAAAACCGACCCTAAACATGACTCATAAATGATTCAAAACTAATTTCAACGCCGCGCCAGGAGGTCCTCCTCTCCACAGTCCTCCGAAGGCCACTGTCCGGCAGACAAACACACGCACGTGTGCTGTTGACGGATTAGGGATCCGGCCGGAAGGAAGCGTCAGAGGGCGGTTCAGAAAAAACTAATATTTCTTAATAAATATTATAGGGCAAAGGGGTTTAGAGGTCTTAGAGATCTGGACTAGTTTTTGTCCTTAGTTTAGTCTTTCTTTATGGCCCAGGACTAGTGTTATCCCTAACATATGTACAAAGGACTCTCAGGGGTGCTTTAGACTCTACCTAGGGGTAGCTGAACTCGCTTCCGAAAACCGGGACAAGGGTCAAAATATTTGTATAATTTAAATTAATTAAAACAAATGCAATAAACTCGGAGGCTCAGGCCTGGGCCTGGGCTTGATGACTTGATTAACGATTCGTCCGGCTCGAGTTCGCTGGCACTTCGTGTTTCTTTTAATGACCAAACACGAAAAAAATGAAAAAGAAAATATTTAATTGCTTCATTCGCTTTCATTGCCATAAAATTGGCAAAGACCAATGGCAGGGGGTGGGAGGATGGGAGGTGGGCGGTGGAATGACAGCTTTAATTAAGTTTGAGTGCAGAATTAAAGAGTGCCTGGTACTCCTGCCTCTCCAGTACAACCACCTCCTCCGGTCCCACCCACGGCCAAGGCCAAGTCGGGCGGCGGGCTGGAAAAGGTAACAAAACTTGGTAAATATTTTGACAATTAGCGGTCAAGCATAGTTCAGCGTTAATTGCACTGGCAAACCGTGGGCTTAAAGGACAAAAAAAGGAGCAGCCGCTCCTGGGCACGTGCCGCATTGTGCATTGTGAAAAGTCAATATAAACATTAGTTTCCTTCGCCAAAGCCATCGGCATCCCCCAACAACACCGGGAACAGCACACTCGACGACCAGGACGACGACGGGTTAATGGACCAGAACCGTTGCGGCGTGTGCCCCGGTGAGTGCCCTCCCCCGCCAATCCGCCTATCCGCCTGGAGGGTTGTCACAAAACACGGCAAGAGGTCAACGTTTGTTTTCATTTCGGGTTGTCGGGTGTTTGTTTGCTTAGATAGATGTCTTTTGGATATTATCGGGATCATTTAATTTACAATTAGTGTTGTTTGCCAGAGGGCCTGGGAATGGTATGTGCTTTTGTTCCAGGACACGGGATACAGGCTACAGGACACAAAACAAGGGACGTGTGCGGTGCTAGGATTTCCTACGGAAGCACTCAAGACGATTAAAATTGATTAGATGTCGAACGGATGCTAACGCTGCAGCTCCTAGGGGAAATGTATCTGCCAGATACTTTGTGTCTGCGGCGCATCCCCATCTGGTGTACAAGTATCTTGACCCTGACTTGCGCAAAAAACAGAAACCGAAACCGAAACCGAAACTGAATCCGAAACCCAAACGAACAAAAACCGAATTGGAATTGTGTTCTCTTTCAAGGGTTCTTGTACTAGCTGTGCTTATGCGCGAGACCACGCCCCTTTGTCCTACGCCCCGGCTCCCCACCACCCCCCAATGATTTAGTAATTCTCTCCCGCATTTCTCCTACTTTTTCCGAGCACTTTTTCCACTATCTCTGGGTTTGGTTTTGGCCGCAAACTAAATAATTAAAGCGCGCTGCTAATGGGCCATTGTCTTGGCCCGAATGCGAAATGCCGGGGCGGGGGGTAACTGTCCATAATTGCCAGGGCCACCTAGCGCCTTCTGACCTGGCCCGGCCCGGCCTGGCAAGCCATAATTGTTAAGACGCGCAATTTCTACATTTTTAATGCCTGGAGTTCGGAGGAGTCCCTGTCCCTCTAGAATCGACCTCCGCCTAATTGATGAGTTGCGTAATTAAGTGCCAAGGAAGAGGTTGAAACAATAGCCAGAGCATTAGTTCTTATGACCCTTTTGATATTGATAGTTTGTTAGTTTCTCCTTTTACGATTATTATTCACAAGTGCTCCCCTTTTGGTTCTGGGACGCGGGCACGCCAAGTCCCACTCAAAGCACCCCCTACCGAAGACCTAATGCCATTAAAATGGTCGTAAAGTCGGGGTTCTTAGGCAAATTGAGTTCCCAAGAACCGGCAAGTCGAGCAAGTGGCTCGAAGATTTGGTAACCCGAGATGGGAACGAATTTGCATTTGCATTGGCGTCTGTTTGGCACTTTTTTTTTTTTAACCAGAGTTCCCACACACGTTTAAGCTGGGCCACTGCAAGGAAATACTAGGTTACTAGTAATACTACTAAATTATAATTAGAAACTATCCATTAAGGTCTGTTGGAGTTTTCAATAAAAATATTGATTTATTTCGACCTTAAGGTCTGTCTGTTCTTGAAACAGGCTTTACTTTCTTACCTCATTTATTAGATTTCTCTTCATGACTAGTTTCTTTCAGTGCATTCGTTTTTTATGTAATAGATTTACGGGCAAATCATGTCGCCATTACTCTCGAGTCGCCCAACTGGTTCTTGGAGGCCCGTGGGAGCCGTGCTGTTGTGACAGCTCTCTAAGAACATTATGAATGAATCTGTGGGCCAAGAAATGCACCTGATGCACGGATACCTGAGCCAAGTCACCCACCGATTAGTGGCCACGACAAGGTCACCTGGTCAGACCGTACTCCTACCGAGGCATTTATGTTATTATCAAAATTGCCTACAGGCAGTTGCTCCCAATCGGTGGACTTAAAAGTGGGTCTACACAGTACGGGGGTGGGGTGTTGGGATCAGGCCAAGGCTCAGAGTTCTTAACCTATAAACATAGTGAAGCCTTAGCCATAGCCATAGCGAGAGCCGGCTCTGGCGGCATTTGGCCAATTTTTCGTACATGGTAACATGACTTTCGTGCGTTGCTCCAGTTAAGAGCTCCAGGGCCCTCTGCTCCTCCGAACCAGACAATGAATGGGTCGCAGGCGGACATGCAATCAGTCAGGCGATGCACTTGCCAACCAGGTGTTGTGGGCCGCCTTTTGTTTTTGTGGCTTGAAGGCGTCGTATTGTCACGCCGGCCAATTCTCAGCTGTTTTTTCAGCAGCATACATATGTATGTATATAGCCACATATAAACCAGTCTATAGTATGCATTGGTCGAGGGCGGCGGCAGACAACATTGCGTGACTTACGTAGGCAGACACCACCACCCCCATAGCCCCATAGCTCCATAGCCCCATAGCCCACAACCTCATGCCATAAGACCCCCTTCTCTTAGAGATACAATGTCTAAGGCCTAGTTCAATTTAAAGTCCAATAAACGATTCAGGAACTTTAATTTGCAAAAAGGGACTTGAACTTTAACTCTTTCTAGGTAGCTTTTTCCTGCTATTTGTAATTTTTAAGGTAAAAGTTTAGTTACTCTATTAAAGTTAATTATAATGGTTGGGTTTCCAATAATTTTAGCTTCTAAATTCGTATACTTTTCTTTGTTAGACCTTTTAAGTCTTAGCTTTTCATTTTAATTCATTTCTCTTTATTAAAAACACTTTTATAACATCTTATTTATCGATAGGCTCCTGTCAAGTCATAGCTCAGCCCACCACTGACCTGGCATTTTAAGCCACCCACCCGTTAACCTTTCCTGCCTGACCCACTATGCTTTGGGGGAATGGGTTGTAGATGCATCCAAAAGCCTGTCACTCCTGACAGCTGCCAATGGGTGCTGGCTGGTGGTGCCGCTACTGGATACTGATGCCACTGGATACCCATAGTATATATATATTCCCGACACCGCCGCTGTCAGTTTTCCAATCAAATCCGCTGATGAGTTTGACATTTCCATGACATATTTGCTTCTGTCGGCACGGAAAATGTTTGCCGAAATGTCAGAAAATTTAAACTTTATTTATTATTCTGCGCCAAGCCGTGCCACCGGGCTCCTGGGGGCACGCCCAGTTTCGGTTCCAGCTCCAACATAATTGGCGTCCGGGCTGCAGAGCTGTGGTGCTTCGGAGTTGCAAGGTGCCGTCAGTGCAACGTCATTAGGGCGAGTACACTCTCGTATCTTTCGGGTCTTCTTCGTTGGCGCTGCGCACGCTTTTCCCCTTTCTGTTTTTCCAGCTTGTTTTTCTTTCTTGGGTGGGGTCTTCTGGGCTTCGCCATCGCAGTTGCCACTGCCGCTGCCGCCATTTTTATGTGTGTACATCATCGAGCTGTGGCATGCCCCACCCCGACCTGCCAGCCCGGCAGAGATTTTGCGCTTTTCCGGTCATTCAAAGCCTAAGATTTTCATCCACTTTTCAGGGTGGATGGTTTCTTTAACGACTTTCTCTCTCTCTCTCGTGCTGGGGAGGGGTGGCACCAGAGTCCTTTATCCTTTGAAGAGAAAATGGGGGAAAAACAAGAGCGGAAAATGCCGAGAATTTGTCGTAAATTTTGGTTTATACGCCTTGTAATAATACAATGTAAGTGCAATAAAACCTTTCCCTAGAAGATTTTGTAACCGGAGCCTCGAGGCCTGGCCATAACCCAACCCTAACCTGGCCAAAATCTCTCCCCACCACAAATTAATTAAATGAGTTTATGCACGTAGCCACAAAAAAGAAATTTAAATATGAAACCAGAAATAATAAAAAGCCAGGCAGCCGGGCAGCGAGAAATGCCAGAAATGAATGTAAACTGAGCCTAATTAAATTATGAATAATTACGGTGAGTCCTAGGCCAAGTGGCTGTAAAGGATCACGCCAGGATTACACGCACATGATGCAATTTGTTTGGGCCACATTACCGGCGCAGGACGGAGGGCGGAGTGGGAGTGGCTACTGGCCAGCAAGGACTATTTGTTTTATCGCACTTTCGCTAAAATGAACAATCTTTTACGGAGCGGGTGGGTGACCGAGCGAGAGCCAGTCACTTTTGTTAATTTGATAAAAAGGCCAAAAAGGCTGAGATTAAGCCAAGGCGACAAGGAGCTCCAGTTTGCGGTCGCTGGCCAGTGGGCAGGGGTCAGAGGGCCAGAGGTCTGACCTGCTAATTGAAATTGAAGCCAAGCTCTGGAGCGCTTTAGGGGTTGCACCTTTCCACCATCGAGGCCTGCCATGCGTAAATTAAGTTTCTTTTTATTTTAGCCACTGTTTTATTTCTCTTTAACATTTTTTATTTTACCCATTTGCGTTGATAAAAATCATAATTTATGACATCAGCTGGCGTGGCATAATTTTCGGTGGCCCAGCACAGGACATCCACCCTCCCCCGAAACCCCGAAAAGAGAAACCTTTTACTAATATTGTGAAAATATATGAAGTTCCATTTCTTTTATCGTTTATCGCGCATAAATCAATTTTTGTGACAAATTTATTATAAAAACCCGCTCGGCTCCCACAAAATAAAACTTTGCCGCTAAGAAATAAATAAACAAAAGTATCGGGGGTGGGGTATGGGGGTTGGGGGTTTGAGAAAAATGGCGGACGAGTCCTGTGGCATAAGGCCTAAGGGTGGATAGATATCCTTGGGAGGTGGGCGTCCTCCTCCTCAAGGGGCGAAAGTTCTCATAAAATATTACAATGACACCATAAACAATTTTTAGTACTTTTGCCAAAGCCGTAAATATTTATTGTACGAGCATTTTCGGCGAGTCCTGCCAGAGACACACACATACTTATCATACTCTCTATATATATACCTCTATGATATATTAGATTTTTATGAAGTTACTATGGTTATTCCTTGCCCTGCCACCTCCGACCTCCTACCTCCTCCCAGAGAGGAGTTTGTAAAACAATTGAGTGGCTTATTTATGGGCAAGCAATTTCCTCGACTTTCAGGGAATATCAAATATTTATGGTTAATAAAATATCCAAAAATGCCTACGTAAATACTATCCGTTCTCTTTGCAGTTGTTATGCATAAGGATAAGGAGGAGAACGGAGTCCTGCCCCACATACACGCACACGACGGCTACAGGACACGAGAGCTGGGCGCCTTCGAGCACGGCCTGCTGGATGGTGATATGTTCCTCCAGGTAAGCAACTCCCTGCCCCGCCAATCACCACGATTTGTCTTCATCAGTAGTTGTTTGATGGCTTCATTGGCCAGGACATGTAAGGATGTGTAGGGGGGCAAGGGGCACAATCAATCAGCGTCTGGTTAGTCCAGAGAGTATCCATTGATAAATGCGAGGCACGCAATCGCAGGAGCAGACTGGACACGGAAGACCCCTCCCCACCCGGGCTTCGATTCCATCATTTGTAATTGTCTGCAATTAATAAGTCCTCCTAATTGATTAAACTAATTGAATTCCCTAGTTATCTGTGGGTTATATATTTCCAATAATGGTGTTTATAAAGTCTATCGAATAATCTGACTATAAAACTAATACCTGAGTGCTAATTTTCACCATTAATTGGCGGTTATCAACGTTAAGGCCGAAGGGGGCTGCAGCTGCACCAAAAAACTGGAACAAACATAAAAAATTATGCATTTCAAGTTTATGTGCCAAAATACTCCAATTAAATTGTCGCAAAAGCACTCCCCCAGCCAGACCCCTACCCCTGCCCCAGACAGTTGCATGTTTTTGCTGAATTAAAAGTGCATGTGCCTCTGCATTTGTTTTGTTGCAGTGTCCGAGGCGCCAACATATGCACTTGTCACAGTCATGACAGTTTAATTTAATGCGCACATAGCTCACCGGGCATTGGAGCATTCGGCCACCGGGCAAGTGGTGTTGCCACAGCTCCTACTATATACCCCTTCACAAACCTATTCCCCCCGAGACAGACACACGCAATTGTGCAACATGCACTTGCAATCGTTTCTGTTTCTTTTTTTTCATGCCTCTTTTTTCGGTTGCACTCCACACAATTCAATGTCAAAGTCTAAACTAACCACCACCCGCCAAAGCTTGGTATGCACCACACTGCCACACAGCACATACTCGCTGCAGTTTCGTGTTTGGATGCATTACGTATACGCAGGGTGGCCCGCTGAACGGAGCCAGTTGGTAAAATTTGAATGCAAGCCAAAAAAGCGTTCGCTGGCCTGGCCGTGGGCTTGGGCCTGGATTGGGCTTCCCTTCCTGACTGCAGCTAATTGTTGGGCTCAAAACTGCACAATTGTGCATTTCCGTGCATATTTTTAGTCTCTCACTGACTGGGGAAATGGAAAAGAACTTTTCCGAGCCAAGCGGGACGAGGTGTGCATATTTAGTTTTAATACCTCGGGTATTTGTTACCTGTTGCCCGTGAAGTTTTACTTTTTGCTGCACCCGATGTTGCTGTTGCTGTTTCGGTTTATTATGGGTCACATATTATCATTAGAAAATGGCATTTTGTCACGCAGCTCAGTCGAGGGCTAACCCACACATACTCCAGCTCAGTTCAGTTCAGCACTCGTTTAATTGTCTTCAGTTTTCGCTGAAAGTAAAACACTTTCAACACTTTGTTTGCCAACATGAAATGAACTCAACTTTCCATGCAACAGTTTATATATTTTTTTTGTTTCTTTAAGTTTTTGGCTGGCAGATCCGCAAAAGATACTGTCTTCCATTGGCGCGGGAGACTGCCGATAGGGGTGGGCTTTATTAAGCAATTATCTAGACAAGATTGGCCAGAAACTAGAGAGTCGCCTCCCCCGTCAGTCGTCCGTCTTTCCTGCATCTCTGGCTAGGAAATGGTAAAATAATCGCCGCCAACTTATCAAATCTCACACAGCAGAAAAATGCAAGACTCAACCCAAGAGCCCAAGCACCTCTTTCTTTTCTTGGCTCCCCCACTAAAAGTCGGGCGTGTATTATTAAAATCGCATTAGAAGACGCCGCAGACTCAGACGAGCTTGTCTAAATTGTAGCTGCGGGAAAGAGACGGTCGAGAGAAACAATTAGACTGTGGGGAGAAATCTTTGAGGTTCGTATATAAAAAGATAAAATGCCGCAAGATACAAAAAAGAGAACAAAAAATTGTGGCAAGAAAGAAATCAGAAAGCAAGAAAACAGGATTTCAAGTGGAAATACTGAATACCTTAAGTTTAAGAAATACTTTTTATTAAATATATTAAATTATATCCAACTACTAGCTAAATATTATAACTCTTGTTAACCATAAACCCATCTAGGATTTTATTTAAGATTGTATATCATACGATGTGGTATACCTTCTTATAAATATGATATACCCGGTCGTTATTCTCGATCCTTCCCATCTCCAGCTACCGTTGGGGAGATCTTTATGACGATTATTGATGCTCCACGCAGAGTGCGGAGACTGCCTGATGACAATACACACGTATGATATGTATAAGGACCATACCGTATCCTTGGCGGCCTGTTGATGCGTTTTAAATGATGACGCCACTTAGCATTTATGTCGGCTAATGCCAACTCTGGCGCGGAGTCGGTTACATCCCAGCCGCGATCCTCTCCAGACTGCAGTTCCAGCTCCCCTGTAATTAGCAGCAATCGCGCACATTTTTCTCCATCGCGAAAAAGGGGGACTTCCTTTCGCGGCTGCAAATTGATATTTAAATACGCCCGTATTAATTACGCGCTCCGGTGTTGTTTTTCCTTGCGGTACGGTACGGTTCGGTTTTATTAATTACGACCGCACCGCCGCAGAGTCACTAATGGAGGATTGGCAAATTTGTCTTTCAATGCGATCCGATGTGGAGTAGACTGGTGCGGAGACTGGACTTGAGTTTTGCTTTCTTCACACATCGACGAGCGGTACGGGTCCGATACTCCGACTTCGACTCCGATTCCGGCTTACCGTTAGTTCCAGTTGAGATCTGCCGGGAATCGCATGCGTCGCAGCCATTAGCAGCCCATAAAACCCGACTTTAAAATGCAATCAAAAACAATAATGCGCCAAATAATAAACAAAACAATGAAAAGTATTACAGGCTTTTGCATGATTTTGTTGCCGTTTTTATTTCACGTTTTTTTTTTTTTCGTTGGATGTCTTGTTAGTTAGCCAGAGTCTTTGGCGGCGCATATCCGAATAGATAATGACAATGGTTCATCTGGGAGGGGGGGATTAAAAAAAGTTGAGGGGTAAGCCAGAGGCCAGAGGCAGGGGGAACCGGAATGGAAACCTGCAATTACTCCACAGAATCGTCCAAAATCTACCCTCTCTCACTCACTCGCTCGCTTGAAAGTCATTGATTTAATTGCAAGCCATTTCCTGGTTGTGTTTGATGTGGAACTCCAACTCCGACCCAAGATCCCGGGGATTGGGGATGCCTGTCCGTGTATACATAGTATGTGGCTTGGATGAAATGAGACGCTTATGGGATGATTACATTTTGGCCGCAAGTAAGAAGAGGCCCGCCATTGCTGTAATCCCAGAGTTCATTCATGCTGCCAGTACTGGAGGTCATACTGATAGAGGCACTGCGAGAAATGCTCCTCATCATAAACTTATTCTATTTTAGAGATAATTGTAGCTTTCTCTTAGTGTAGGCTAACCTCCGGCTGCCATGATGGATAACATTTCATTCACCAAAATGACCAGCTACTGTAATTACACCTCTATCCGTCCCATCCCATTCCCATTCTCATTCCAATAATATTCATTCATCTATCTATTGATTCTTTAATCCATCCACTTGTCTCTGGATCAGAAACAAAAAATATAAAAAGAAACAACAATTTAATTCATAGTTTTGATTTAATTTTGACCATCTCCTCTTTCTCTTTGGATTTCTTTGCAGGCCCTAAATGGATTTCTAATGATACTGACATGCGAAGGCGAAGTCTTCTTTGCCACGCACAGCATCGAGAGCTATTTGGGTTTTCATCAGGTAAGTGCCACTGCCACCGCCACCGACACCGCCGCTCCGGGCCACCATCTCATTTTGATTGATTTTAATTGTCGAGTGTTTTTATTTTTGTCTGTGTTTTTGGGTCAACCAACTATGGGCGGAAGATGACCAAGGAAAGGGACGTCATTGGCTTTGTCTCTCAAAGAGACACAAGTTAGCCTCAATAGCACATTTTCAGAAACATCTTTGCATTAAGCCTTGTTCTTCTTTAAGCCTTATTCCTTTCCAACCAAGAACCCGATGGCCCAGAATCAAAAAACAAGTATTAGTTACCTGTTCCCAAAGAATCCCCAAATAAGCAGAAGCTATGTAACCTCGTTTGTATGTGCTCATTGGTGGTAAAGGGTATGGACCCGAATCGATTCGCGGCTCCGACAGATCATAAATTAAAATCAGATTGCGCAATCGCTGGGAATCTCCTCCCGAAGAGAAGGACGATTGAGGATCCCCCCCGGTTAGCCGCAGTAGCTGGGCGGGGCCAGATTGATTCCGATGCCTGGGCATCTCGATTTGAATCCGGCTTCCTTCCCTCCTGAGCAGCATGTTTGGGGTGCAGCTTCATTGTAGTTTTGCCTACTTTATTGTCGAATGGAAATTGAAATTGCACTTAGCATCCGCCCGTGTTGTTTTTTTTAATTTAGTTGTAAATGTGTAAAGCGGCACTTGCCACGCCCCGTTTGGCAGCTCAATTAAAAGCGTAGCTGCTCCTGCCCGGCTACGATTCGACTCCAACTCGAAGTTGGAGTCCAAAAAAGCGCACTGGGTTGGTTTGTTTGCTTTGCTGGCAGAGAGCCGTCGGGGGCCGGGATGTGCAGGGAATCCCTTGGCATCCCCGCATGCCTCCAGCTGGCGCGTGCAGAATTTATGTCTCAATTTGTGGCCAACATGGGGCGCATTTTCAATTTGCGCGCATTTTGATTTATACGCCCCAAAAAACCCGAATCCCAAAGAGGCGAAAAGCGGGCATCGGGCATCCGCCGTGAAAACAAAGTAAAATCAATATGAGAGCCCAGTTGGAGGTAACTGACCCCTCGACTAATTTCTGATCCTACTTATCCGAACTTGGAGCTAACTAAATTATGAACCAACTCTCTTCCTTTAGTCGGACATTGTTCATCAGTCGGTTTACGAGCTGGTCCACTCAGAGGACCGTGAGGAACTGCAGCGCCAGCTGCTGTGGAATAGCTTTCTGCCCGCGGATATGTCCAGCATGCAGCTGGCGGAGACCCTGGCGCCCGACAAGGCCCTCTACCTAGAACGCAGCTTCACCGTCCGCTTCCGATGCCTGCTGGACAACACGAGCGGCTTCCTGCGCCTGGACATCCGCGGCAGAATCAAGGTTCTCCATGGACAAAACCGCAAGACGGAGGAGCCGCCGCTGGCCCTCTTCGCCTACTGCACTCCCTTCGGCCCGCCCAGCCTACTGGAGATCCCGCACAAGGAAAACATGTTCAAGTCAAAGCACAAGCTGGACTTCTCCCTGGTGTCCATGGACCAGCGCGGCAAGCACATCCTGGGCTACGCGGACGCCGAGCTGGTCAACATGGGCGGCTACGACCTGGTGCACTACGACGACCTGGCCTACGTTGCTAGTGCCCATCAAGAGCGTAAGTCTAACCGTAAGAACCGATGCATCAGAGAGCTAACGGGATGTCCTTTTCAGTCCTGAAGACCGGAGCCTCGGGCATGATCGCCTACCGCTACCAGAAGAAGGACGGCGAGTGGCAGTGGCTGCAGACCAGCTCCCGGCTTGTCTACAAGAACTCCAAGCCGGACTTTGTGATCTGCACGCACCGCCAGCTGATGGACGAGGAGGGCCACGACCTCTTGGGCAAGCGCACCATGGACTTCAAGGTGAGCTACCTCGACACGGGCCTGGCGTCCACCTACTTCTCCGAAGCGGACCAGCTGGTGGTGCCTCCGAGCGCCTCCCCCACGGCCCACGCTCTGCCACCACCAGTGACGCCAACGCGGCCCAACCGCCGCTACAAGACGCAGCTGCGCGATTTCCTTTCCACGTGCCGCAGCAAGCGTAAGCTGCAGCAACAGCAGCAGCAGCAACAGTCGCAGCAGACCTCGCCCCTGGGTGGCCCGGTGGGCTCCCCTTCGCCGGCGGTGGCCGTGGAGTACTTGCCCGACCCGGCGGCGGCTGTGGCGGCCGCCTACTCCAACCTCAATCCCATGTACACCACCTCGCCGTACGCCAGTGCAGCCGACAACCTGTACATGGGCAGCTCTATGCCGGCCAACGCCTTCTACCCAGTCAGCGAGAACCTCTTCCATCAGTACCGGCTCCAGGGCGCCGTCGGCGGCTACTACACGGACTATCCGCACTCCGGTGGACCGGCCTCGGCGTATGTGGCCAATGGCTTCCTTTCGTACGATGGCTATGCCATCGCCTCCAAGGCAGACGACAAGTGGCAGGAGACGGGAAAGTACTACAGTGGCTATAGTAGTGGATACGGAAGTCCCACCTCCACGCCACAGGTGAGCTATCCTTTCTCTATTTCTGTTCCCAAATAATCCTCTTCTTTTATAGCAAATTCCTCTGAAGACGCCGAAGTCCTCGCCCCAGGTAATGGAAGTGATTTCCTGCTCCTCGGACGGTCCTTCGCCGGTGGGTGGAACCACTCCCAACGGCGTTGGCAATGCCACTCCCAAAGTGGAGCTCTCCGCCTCTACAGCCGGCGCTGCTGCTGTGGGTCAGGATCCCTACGAGCGACAGACAGTGCTGATGTGGGGCACCACCCACTCGAGCGGCATCCCGCTGAACAGCCTGCAGGGCGGACGCACAGGCTCGGGTAATCCGACCTCTCCCCAGCGGACTACGCCCCTCACCAACGGCTTGGGCTATGCCGCCGCCAATAACAACAACAACGAGCATGAGCCGGCGACAGCGGCCAAGTGGAATGGAACGAAGGAGCTGCCGGGAAAATCGGCCAGCGCCAGTACTCCGGAGAGCTATCAGTTGCAGCACGATGACTCCGGGCTGTACTCTGCATCCTCACACACCACCTCGCCGCAGCAGCAACAACAGCAGCAGCAGCCACGCGGAGTGGGTTCCAATGTTAGCGCCTCCAGCAATTCCCTTCCACACCCAGTTGCGGTCACCGGAGCCACGGGCAACAACACCACGGGCACTGATCACCAGCCGGTGCACCCGCCGAGCTGCCACCAGCAGCAGCAACAACAACAGCAGCAGCAACACCACCATGCCCACCCGCATCCTCACTCGCAACATAACCATCATCACCACCACCACGAGGTGGCGCATCAGCACGGCAGCGAGGTATGGACGCCAGCCTCCTACACGCAGTACTCGCAGTACTTCACGTACCATCCGCATCCGCATTCGCATCCGCACTCGCACCCGCACCACCCGACCGACGGCAGCCATGGCGGCCACCACGTTCCGGCCCAGTCGCATCACCTGCACCACGGCCACCGCTAGAAGGCGTATATAGATTGCACCCGTAACGAAGCACCCAACACACCCTGTACTTTGCCACACGCACAGCCACACACACTGACTCTGACACCAGTAGAACCGACCTCTCGCCTGCCTACTAACCATAACGATCCTCCCTAGATCATACTCGCCACACATCAGCAGCAGCCGCAGCAACACCAGCAGCAGCTCGGCAGCTACCCGCTGCACCACCAGATGGGAGTGGGAGTCGGAGCTGGAGCATCGCCCCCGCCGCCGACGTCCCGCTCGCCCGTGGCCCTGCCGGCGGTGAGCAGCCTGCTCAATGGATCGGCGGCCGGAGGATCCGTAGAAGCCCCCTACCAGCAACTCGGGCTCGTGTCCGCCCCGCTGGTGATATGCGCCGAGGAGGTGGGCCTGGGCAGGAAGGCGGTCAAGCAGCACGTTGTCCAGCACCAGCAGCAGTCCCTCCAGCAGCAGCATGCTCTTTACCAGCAGCAGCACTCGCATCACAACCTGCTGTATCCGGCCAACATAACGGCGCACACGGCCCTGGCCTATGCCCCGTCCACCGCGGGGGGCACCTACGCTGACGGCAGTCCCCTGCTCTCGTTCTCGGAGGTGACCAACACGCTGCTGAACCAATGAGCCGGCAGGATCCACCCGAGAAAACCAGAGGCAGCTAAGGCAGAAGGTGGAGGAGGGAGCACAACCATGTTCAACAGTTTTGCCAAAATGTGGACTATGACTATCGTATCTTCCATAATCTGAACCAGCACGGAACCAGGATAATAGCCAGCGCACCCCACTCCTTGGTTGATTTTTCCAGCTAGCAGCGGCAGTGGCAGCGGCAGCGAAGAATTATGTTTATTTTACTGTGATAATTTATAGATACATTGCCTGGGTTTTAAAACAAATCCTTAAACAAATCCGAACGAAATAGCCGCAATACCCGCGTATCCACAGCTCCAATGTCAAATGGGGTCAAGGTACTGCGATCCTAACCAGCACAAAGTTGCGAAGCGATGCCCTCGCCGCGACCCTCAATTCAGTTGTAGTTGCAACCAAAGATTTCTCTTAAAACTATCATTTTAGCATAATGCGGTGCATCCAATCCAATTAGTTACATTCCAGTTACACTCGGGAGCAGAGTAGGATGAGCACAAGCTTGTGCCCACTTTCTGCGTCTAGGAGTGCTTAAGTATATGTAGCTCTAAGGGAATAACAGATGCTTGTATCCATATTAAATTAATGTATCTTTAGGCGTTTAGGGTAATGCAAGAGATAAAGTAATTTTCATGATTCCTATCGTTTAGCAAGTAATCCAATTAATCCGTAAGCGGACATATCCGCACCCTTGTATTGTATTTTATTGTTTAAACTTTAAAGTTTTCTTGGAATTTCTAGTCGCCCGCATAAAACATTAACTTATAAATCAAACAAATATACGATATTATATGATATATATACTTTGATAGTGTAAAATTTCGCAATTCGGCAGGCAATACTGTACTGTAGCTCGTACTACTCGTATATTGATAATTGAATTTTGTTAACCAGCATGGATGATAAGCTATCAAAATTAACGCATTATATTCTAGAAGTCCTATACATATATCCGAGCAAAATGCAAATCATGAATGTACCTCAGTAAAATTGATAAATGTGCAACGTGTTTTTCTTGATTTTTTTCTAACTCCTTCATGTTAGATTTTTTTATTCATTTTATATATGTAGGTAGTAAATGTACAAATTGAATGAACTTAACATATATTTGATAGATCATTGTTTGATATTTATATAGGAACTTAAAACTATTATTCATAGAAAATTGATATATGTGCAAAACTATTTAAGTGACAAAAAAAATATTATATAAATTTGTAATATAAGTTAACTTTTTAATTAATATAGTATCGTGTCTCCTTTTTGCTAATCTAATAATTTCAATCGCTTCGGCATTGAATTTGCCAAGTTTTGGAGGACAGCTATATCAATGGATGCCCATTCATTAACAATGGCCGCCTTTAATTCCTTAAGGGTCTTAAATTTCGTTCCACCTCCGAAAACTTTTACTGACAGGATGCCCCAAAGATCCTCGATCGGATTTAAGTCCGGACTTAAAGCTGGCCACTGCATCAAATCGATAGATTTACTTTCCAGAAACGTCTTCGTACACCGCGCTACGTGTATAGGAGCGTTGTCCTGTTGAAAGAAAAAATTTCCGGGATGAAACTCTTCGGAAAATGGTACTAGCTCACTTTCCAAGAGATTAGTATACGTTTCCGCGTTCATGCGACATGGCACAAAGCATATAGGCGATTTCTCGAAGTAACTAAAGGCAGCCTATACCATAAGGGAACCACCACCATGGTTGCGTCTGTTGCAAGTTTGTCTGGGATACCTGGGGTCTCGCCAATACTTTTGATTTCCATCTTGGCCATCTAAATTAAATTTTTTTTCATCACGAAGATGACATTTTGGAATTCGGTGGTCCAAAATTTAAATTTCTCCTAATAGGCTAGTCGAGCCATTTTATGCCGCCGCAATAGCTTAGGTTTCGGGACCTTTGCTTCGTATGTGAGATGCAAATCTTTTCGGCAAATTTGTTACACCCGTTGCCTACATATTGGTAACTTCAATTGTGCCTTAATTTTGGCACAGCTCAAATTTTTGGCAGATGCCAAAGCTCTAATGTGCCGCTTAGTGCGGTTATCAATCTTTGGAATTGCACCTTTGCGATTGTTTTCGGCATATTTTTGGGGTGACTTTAAAAAGTTTCCTACAGTGTTTCGAAGCCCATTTATTGTTTTACCAATAGCACCAACTTTGACGCCACAGTCAGCCATAGTTCTTATTTGGATCTGCTCTTCTTTAGATAATTCGGTTGCTCGTGGCATTTTTGATATTTAATACAATTTATTTAACGCAAGCCTATTTTTTATAGCTCAAGATAATTTTTAATTAAATTTTAAAATGTAAACAGTCAAATTTGTTATCTTTGTTTTACTAGGACCTTGCCGGAACCCACTCCAAACGTGAATGAAGCTTTTTGCACATATATCAACTTTCTATTAAATTCCCCTCCTTTCGTTATTCTTTGGGATAACGATGCAATAGGATGGGGACAGATAAGAAACTAATAAATGATGTGTAATTGAGGGACATCGGAGAAAAATCGTGTGTACTCAAAACACTTCTAGAGCTAATAAAATGGGAGAAATATAGAAAACAAATCTTGCACATATACCAATTTTACTGAGGTAGATACTCTCTCAGCTAATAACGGAAAATCGTATAAAATTTCAATTATAAATTTACGAAATAAATCTCGAGTGCATGTAAAGCGCGTCTATCCAAAACAATCAGAGCAAAATTAATCTAGAAAATAAACAAATTATTTAAAAATATGTGTGTACAGTGCAGGGGTTTGGGGGGATTTCAGAAGATTAAAGGAAACTTTAGAAAGAAAACTCTTTTCAAAGATTCCCGGTAAAAAAATCTTTAAATCATTCTCTTTACTTTCATTACTGCCTAAAATTATGCAACAAATTTCTGTACTAAAATTCCATCTCAAAAATAGGCTTCGAATAGGATCTTTATTAACAGCTTATAAAGAAATGAAAACCTTCGAAGTTTTTGAATCTTTTTCATATAAAATATAATAGATTTTTAGCTGATAATATTTGACTTAAGGGGTTATATACAGTTGTACCGCGCAAAAATATGGATTTTTATCGATTTTTTTTTGACACCATAGAAAATATTTATGAAAAATGTTTTACCGACGTTGTTTAGTACATGTTTCTGGGTACTTAATTAAATTTTTTCATAAAAAAATATTACATAACAAAACTGTTATAGCCGAATCCCCGGATCGTCTTTTTTCGATGGTGTCTTGCGGTGGACAAGATTTCTCGAAAACGGTTCATCCGAAATCCAAAATTCAAAAAATTTTAGTTAGTATATTGTATTGTCTAGTCCGTGAACGAGGGATTTTTAAAAATTTTGATTAAAAAAAAAATGGCGACGTTTTTAACAAAAAATGTACTTTTTCAACGTATAAGATTTTCGTTTTTTGTGCTTTAAAAAAGGAGTTTTAAAAAAAATTGAAAATCCCTCGTTCACGGACTAGCTAATATCATAATAAATAAGTGGTCAAAATTTGGTGTTGATCGGATTAGTAGTTTTTTAGTAATCGTGTCCACCGCAAAGGTAATTTCCCAAAAAAAAGATTCAGAGATAATCGCGTTTAAAGTTTCAAGGTTGTTCAAGTTTTATAAGTTTTATATGCAGATAGTGCGCTTTAAATAGCTACAGCTTCAGTTCTAATGCTCCGATCGTTATGAATTTTTGTGAGAGTATTCCCAATAAAATATACTTAAAGAATATGCAATAAAAAAAAAATCGATTTTTTCATATATCACAACTGTATATAACCCCTTAAAATGGGGTTACATTTGAAACCTAAATTATTACCAAACATCTTTAAGTGAACAGAAGTCCACTTAATTGAAGAACGTCACTAGGAGTGTCAGAAACGCAGTTTCCTAAATTATGTTTGGAAAATATATACATAAATAGGAGTTACCAATTGTTGCAAAATTTTCCCCATCAATAGCAGGTTATGGGGTCAATACTGATTGGGATAAATAAAAATAGATCCGTAAATAGGCGACCTGCAACATCCTCAATCCAAGGCGTAACAATGCCAAATCAGCATTTTCTTTCCATGGAGCAATGGCAATTCAATTCAACCGCAAGCCATTACCATCTCAAAGCTTAATTGGAGACTTTACTGCCTATAATTGACGACGACAACACGGCACACACACGCGACACAAAAAGTTTTGATTGACACCTAACAATCATATTTTCCTCGGCTTTATGGATAATGGAAAAGCATTCATCCGATGCTGGGCGCAGATTTGAAGACTTACGCCGTACAAAGGAACAATCGTGTGGCGTCTGGCAGCGGAGGAGGAGCTGTAGCGGGAGCGCCCTGAACCCAGGTAAACTTGAATAGCAAGCAATCATATGTGGGCTGCCTTGTTTACGCTCGGGTATTAAATGATTTATTCTGCGGCAGTGCTCACTCGCATTATCCCAAGACCAAAACACAAACCTCGAACCTCAAAAGCAAACCAATTAATCACTCACCCTAGTTCCTATGTGCGGATACAATTGAAGCGCTGAACCAAATTCACATTGGAGATATTTGTCGATCTGATGGCTTCATTGTTGAAGAGTCGGTCTGACTGGCGCTGCGCACTTGACTTGGGTTTCGCCGAATGCCCTCCGGGCCACCTCGGGCCAGGTGCTGCCGCGGCTGCTGTCGATGATGCTGCTCCTCCTGTTCCATTGCCAAGCGAAGGTTACATGGCACTGGGAAACAATGGCGCTTAGCTACCTTTTTGGCATTTCAGAACAACCCTCTCCCGCAGCCGATGAAGTAACAAGTGAACGGCGATGGCCTACAAATCACCGATGCTCTGTTTTGGATATTTTCAATTTCAAGTGGTTCGATTCCAAGGTGTCAATATGCTTTCCAACAAACTTCTCCCAGACAGGGTATACGGCGATACGAAGATCGTCCGTTATTGCTGCTTAACTTTTAAAGTGACCGGCAAGTTCGTGTCTTAAGTCTTTCGTTTGACGCATCTTTGAGATCGTTCTCTAGCATGTTTGAGATTGCAGTGCCAACAGAAAGAGAAACTGCTCGAACTGAAATAGAAATAAATACAACAATTAACAAAGTGCGCCGTTTGTTTACTTTGATTTACTTAACGTTTTGGAGCTTTCCGTTTATTTTTCTTCGTTTTTTGTTTTCAGTTTCATTTATTGTATTGCCGCCGTGGTGGAGCTTGACCTTTAATAGTCGTGTTGTACATTGTGCCACGGGCATCTTGGTAGGTCCACGAATGAAGATCGAGATGAAGATGGTGGATGGGGATTCCGATCTGGAGCTGGAGCTGGAGCATACCAAATGGCTGCAATTGAACTTCAAATCCGTTTTTGGCGGCTGCCTGTGTAAGTGCAATAAAACGCTGCCAAAGGTGATAATCTCGGGCTATTCATTGCTCTTCATGTTCGTCACTTAAGGTCAATGATATGGCAGAGCTGACCGCATGCCGGACGCGAACGTGATCACCGCTCGGCCGCGACCTTGCAGCATTGTTGCTTTGACAAATTTGTAGCAACTAGCGCCAGGCCACTTTGCTTGCGACCGGATGCGGCTTGAGCTGGTCGAGAGATTTGGCGGTGGACGAGGTGTTTGTCTTTCCTCTTAGCACTCTTGGCACTTTTGTGGAGTCTCTGGTGTCGTTGACGGAGGCGTATGCGCAATAATCTCCATACTGCTCGCCGTTATCAATTATGTGTGCTTAGCGCTCCACTTTCGATTTTAATTCGCAGCACGACTCTGCCCCCTAATAAACGTGTGAATCTTCTCCGCCTGAGCTGCATTTATTTGCCGAGCCGTTAAGCCCGGCTCGGGGAGACCTTGCCAAATTAACAACTCCCCGAGAGAAGAGCTGTGCTCTACTCTGCTCAGCTCTGGCCGGGCATCGGCATGAATTATGTGGAATTGCACCAATTTGGCAATTAAACATGTGTAGCCTCCCCGAGTGGGCGGAAGAGAGAGAGAGGCAAGCTGTGTGTGCCTCGCAGTGAGCACAAATGGCAACTTCCAGCGTTTGTGGCGTTTGTTTGTGGCGGAGCGACCTTCAATGGAATCACAACCAGAGATGATGACGGCGATGATGACACACCTATGTACACAGACCGATGTATGCTACGTATGTATGTACGTACGTACATTGGTTGTGTGAATGCCTGCTGTGGGTCCCACACCTTCTTGGAGTGTTCTTTTGCCATGACTGGAGTGAACCCCTTTGACATCGACTGCTAATTGCACAAGCATCTGAGCAGAGCAGGGCAGCGCAGAACAGAATTCCAAGTTCGTGATATGATGGAATTAAAAGTCAAAGAATGCCGATCACGGGAGCCAGAACTCCCACACAGAACTCCCATTTGAATTAATTTTGGCGGTTTTTCGGTTACAATGCAACATCATCCCGTCATCATACTTAAACCACACTTACCACTTATTTTTTAACCACCAATTGTTCTTTGGCTTTTATTAAAAATGTATTACCAAACCACTATTTTGTACTCTAATCTGGGTGATATTTCGGTTATAATGATTCTTTTATAACTACAAGAATTTTTTCACAACCGATTTGTGCTTTAACGATGCAGCAATAATGGAATTGGCCAAGAAAAATGCTTTTGGCCAAAATGAAGACTCTACGTACATTCTTTGTTGAATATTTAAGCCATATTGCCTCTTTCAAATCAGAGCTTCAAGTAACTTCTAGCTTTATTTAAATATCAAAAATATCAACAATAAAATTTTGGGCATATTTTTTTTTCAAAACGTGATCAAAATTTGAAAATTTAAAATTTTTGATTGATTTTTATCAAAAATGATAAAAAAAAAATTATGGGGATATTTTTTTTCAAAAATTGAGAAATGGGAAAAAAAAAAAAAATTTACTTTAATTTTCGATTTGAAAGTTTTTGAAAAATGCGTCAAATTTATATTGTCCAGCTATTGACAGATAATAAAAGTACTCCACGATACAAGATCAGGAAGGTACACCATTTTGCAATATGACAAGTTGTAGCCAAGTTATGAAAAATAATGTCATCAAAATGTCATAAATACCATTTTTGGTCCCCATATCATAGTAGGACCAACAGATTTGTTCCCCACATCATCCTTCATATTTTATAAAGACATATAGCTGAATAACTTGGGAATTAACCCACAAGCAGTTTTACATTCTTTGTTTCGAAATCTTGATCAAAGTTAAAAAGAGTAAACCTTGTCCGAAAACATCAACGCCAAATTGCGAATCTTCAGTTTACTGAAGCCAATCTTGAAGTGTCGCTCGCAATAATATATATTGACCTTAAAAACGGATTTTTATTGGGACGGTGTGTCAAATGGACCTCCAGCTGGTCAGTTGAAGCTACCGAGCAATGATGGTGGTATGATGATGATACCCCCCCCCTGCTGCTGATGCTGGATGCTGATGCTGTGGCATCGGCAAGTCATTGCTCACCCAATTTCAAAATATTAATAACTCACATACATGTACACGAAATTTGGGGGGAAAAATAAGAAAAAACTTGCGAGTAAATCCGTTTTAAGACAATTCCATTGGCATTCAGCGTGTGGCTCAAATTTCACTAATCACCGAGCCACCACCTTCCAAATAGCGTCCCCCCTCTGTGGGATCAATCATGAGATCGATCGAATTCATTTTTCGGTTTTTCGGTTTTCGATTGCTGCACCGAAGGTCGCCCCCATCGATTCGTCTTCGGCGGCTCAAAAGATGAATTACATTTACATTTCGTTGGTGTAATTGCTAACGAATTGCTGGACGGATACACTTACCAAATTCAAATTCATGAAATTCAAATTTAAACACAAAAACACGACCCGAAAATATACCTTTGATTTAAAGGTCAATATTATGAGAGGACATTGTCAGAAACGAAAGTCGTAGTTAGTAGTATTCATTCGTCCACAGACACGACAGGAGCTGATAAAAATTTCCTAATAAAAAACCGAAAGAGCTTAAATAAGCGTAGTAACTTTCGGGTTAATTTAGAAGTTTTAGGCTATATAGTAACCATTAGCCGTCGCCACAACATGAACACCACTCAAGAAGAAATTGGAAGCAACAACTCGATTGGCTCCATCCAGAGCCGCGACATGGTTGTTTCCCCGTCCCGGTTCGTGACCAGCTCGCCCGAGACTGGAAGGATGCATTCGGCCGAGGAGTCTTCAATGAAGGTTCGTGACTTGGTCAATGTTTATAACATTGCCACAGAGAACAACCAGGACCTGGAGCAGGCCAAGTCCTTGTACTTTGGCTCTCGTTCTGAAATCGAGCAGCTCCCGGTCGAGGGCTCCCCTTTATCGCCGGATGACAAGGACAAGGGAATGTAAGACCTATTGATTCTTCTCCCTTAGTATCTTGGGAGTAATATATTGCATTATTAGTAGTAACATTCAGACAAACTCCGCTGAGGAGGAGAGCTTTATTCGTTTGAATGCCCACGATGAGGGTGGTGCCAACTGCTCCGTGGAGAAATCTTATCAGAGCAAGACCACTATTCGCCGCACCGATAAAGGTAGGTCTTACCACAGGATACCCTTGACTTGGAAGTACAATTTTCCCCTCCCTAGGTGTCCGCATCATCATTGACATTTTCTTCGATAAGAAGGAGAGCGATATCGACATTGTGGGCAGCCGTGTAGAGACTGACATTCCCGAGAGCCACATCCTGGCCGACTTCCAGCAGCACTCGTTGGCCTTGCAGATGCTGGAGCAACAGCCAACCATCCGTAACCAAGACGAGGACCAGCAATAATCAACCAATAATTACAATCCATGGCATCATCAGCCACAAACTTGAGCATTTTAGCTCAAACTCAAGAATTTTAGCTCAAACTCGAGCATTTTAGCTTAGCGTAGCTTAGTCGCTCCAAGCTAGTTAGTTAGCTATTTAGTTAGCCGATTTGTTTCTCAGATTAGCCATAGTCCACAAAATATCACAAAATTTCATGTTGTAACGTATGTAACGTATGAGCGGCGTATGGATCTATGTTTTGATTTTTTGACAACTGCAAACCAAAAATTCGACAATAATAAACCATCGAATGAGTTATTTTACCAAAACTTTCCCACTTTTCCTTTTTCAACTTCCTCTCTGTGGTACGTCACGATACTTGGGTCTGCTTTGTGGAAAATCCCTGACGAATATGAAGCCCCAGAAAGCCAATGAGGCAACACACGACCCGACCTGGTCGTTCTCGGCTTTTTGCTTCACGACAAAAGGGCTTTTGACGAGTAAATAAACGGCATGAATCGAAAACCAAGAAAAAGCCACAAAAAACCTATAAAAAAAAAGACGAAAATGAAAATGGAAAATGAAAATCTTCGTGGCTTACAAAACCCCATTGCCAGAAATCTGACAATGATGCCGCCAAAAGACCGAACAAGCTAGCGAATCCGAATCTGAATCTGAGATGGGGGGGAAAATGCTTTCGCAACTGCCGCCCAATCTGGCGGAGATCTCTTAGCCTCGATTGCTCTATTTAGCCCACTTTAGGATCGGCATCGGCATCGCCAGCCACCATCTTCTCAACAAAAACGTTCCAATAAATTAGACAAATAAACACCAGTGGGTGAAGGGTTTCCCTAAACGGTGGCACTGCAAATGCTAATAACGTGCAATGAAAATGAAAATGAAAATGAAAACGAAGCCGTTAGCGGTAAATTGAAACTGAGAACGGGGCTCTAAGCCGAAAATGAAGCTGCAATGTTAACGCTTTGCTTTTTGCTGCCTGAAATTCAAGCTGGCTGGGTTGAACTTCGTTAAACGGCACAGTGGGAGGCTCCCAGACGCTGGCCCCAAAAGGAAAATTATTTTTATGAGACCTGAGCTCGGCTTAAAAACATTGCGTATTCTTTTTAAGCATCTTTGGACACCTGAGCCATATTAGCTCATTTGGCAACATTCGAAAGTATTTGCATATATTTATTTCTTTACAAATTAACAGAATTTTCTCTGAAGCAAGTGGGCGGCGATTCTGGTACAATGGGAAGTGGGAATACGTTTTTTTTTTGGATATCTAGGGTGACCTTATAAAGTAGTCCTGGATTTTTTATTACTCGATTTTAAGTAAGACTTAAAAAATATTATTTACCAAGTTTAAAGTTTTTAAAGATAAGTCAATCTGAAAAAAAAATATTATTTTATTCTATGAAATAAATATTCTTTTATTCAAAAATATATAAAAATTAAATAAAAAATCTTTGAAATATCACTATTTGTTTTATATTTAATATTTAAATTTTTAATGGTAACGTTGCCAACATCCCCACTGTCCACTATCGCCCACTGTGCGCCGATGACGAAGCGCGACCTGGCTCGGCTTGGCGCTTCTTCTTGGTGCTGTATCTCTATCTGTGTATCTACGAGACTCTGGCTCTGTAGCGGGCGGCCTAATGTGAATCTTTAACCGAACTGGGTGCACTCGGAGGCTTCAGTTGAAAGCGCGACTTCGTGCGACGCGGTTGTGTCGCTCCGTCATAGGGAATACGTCCGAGTTCAAGCCGTGAGATACTCAGATACCCAAATACAGTGGGTAGCCGACAGGACTGTGAAAACTGCGCCATAGTGTTTGGATTGGCATGTGTGAAGTAGCGTTCGCGATCGAGCATATATATTATATAATTTATGCGAACCAATTTGGCGCGACGGTGTGCGAGTGCTCTTGACTTTGTTTGGAGCAACTGCATCTGAGACTGGAGACTGCAGACTGGCAGTGCAACTGGAAGCGCTGTCTCTGACATTTGATCTTTGCAAAGATCACATCACATCACACAGTGCATCGCATCGGGTGTGTGTGCGGAGAAGGACGGTCGACCAATATCGTCGACCATATGGAATATATTTTAGCTAACCACCTACAGCGACAATTAGTTTGTTCAATTTAAGACTCTCCGATTGCCAAGATTGAAGGTGAGCCGTGCTCAGTGGATACCAGATCGGCATCTTGCATCTTGCATCTTAATAACTTCCTCTGCATCCAGTAACTAGCAACCGACAACCAGGGGGTCCACTTTGGGGAAACAATTAGAAAAATGCCAACTATGGCTAAGCAAATGCTTTGGCCCAGGCCTGGCCCTGCTGTAATCAACCTGTAATGCCATCTAATTGGTATAATTGTTGTTGTATCTGAATTTGTTGCAGCCTGTTGTTTTGTTGCAGTTGTTGCTATTATTCGATGTTGCGGGTCTTGAGCATCTCTCGGTTAAATTCGCAATGCTCTTTCAGTGGAAATTGCTGGCAAAAATGTCAAATAGGCTTCGCCTTGCTGGACGGCCACAAGGCAACTTAGAAACCAAAACTTTGAAAAAATAAAAATAAAACCGAAAACCAGCATCACGAGTTCAGGCTGAGGAGGATAAAGTGGTGAACATTTTTCCGTTTTACTGTCAAAAAGGTCAAGACAAGGAAAAACCGCCAAACTAGATGCCAGTTCAATATTGTTCAAGTTTCTGTTGGCCAAGTTGTTGTTGCCACACGCACTTGCCACTGCTGCTGCCACTTCTGGCCACAGCTTGCCACAAATGTTGTGGTTAGCATTGAGACAGATGATCTCGTTAACCCAATAGCATGATATTTTATTGGGCAATGGAGTTTTGAGACTCTGCTTGATGATAACCCCATAAATTTAAACAGGGTTATTAAAATGTCTAGCTGTATTTCAATTAGATTTAGAGTAGTTTCAAAATTATGATTAAATAACAGGGACAAGTATTAAGTATTAATTTAAAAAAAACTTACAAATATCAATTCTTTTTATTTAAAATTCAAGTTCATGTTACAGACTTGCCACTTACTTGTCAAATTTTTAGATTATCTCTAAGATAGATACTTCTGTGATGGATCTATGGCAGAGCCGAAAGATAGACTTGATGGCTAGTAAGTCTCTTGCCATTCTTGGCATCTGAGAATATGCTCTTGACCCCATCGAGGATACATAAAGTTAGCTTCCAATGGACAACTCAATTCCGACCAATTTGGTTACCATAAACAAGCATAAAATGCATTTTCAATTTGGGCACTTTGTTGGCAACAGAGCTTGACAGGTTTATTGGTGTTTGTGCCTCAGAGGAGTGAGGGGTGTGGATGGAAGTGGCAAGGTTGCTAAATTAAATTGTAGGTGGAGGTCGAGGCAGGGGAAGAAGGCGCCAGTCGCATCACTGCGAATTCTATCAGCCAGCTTAGGAGCATCGAGCGGCAGCCTCAACAGAAGTTAATGTTTTTTAAATTACAATTCATTACGAAAACGTTGAATCGAACAATCAACTCGAAACCGAAGAAAATTAGTTTCCCCAGCAGTGACAACAAAACAACTTAGCCACTTACATTGTTATCGAACCCGAAAGCACCTATGATGGGGTGAGGAGAGATATTTTTGGGAAAGTTATGACTAAAGTAAACAGAGTTACGGTTACGCAAAGATTGGCAACAAAAGGGCCGGGGCTGGAGCTGGAATTATTGTGCTATGGGTGGATGGGATGCCATGGCAATTGTGTAAGGCAATTAGCGCCAACTTAGGGCCACTGCCTGCACTTTCCCATCAATTGTGCCCTGGGCCTATTCAATACCAAGCTTATTAATAAATTTATATTGTTAGCTCAACACCGCCGACCACCCCCAACAGTCCCAGCTGTCCCCGACATCTCACCAATCGGCAAAATGTTGGCGCTAATGATCCCCACGCATTCGCGACTTTTGGCCCTGGCTTTGTTCTGCTCGGCGTTATTTTTGGCCAGTGAGGTAAGTCTGACTTCTACCCTTAGCCGGGGGCTGAAAAGGAATGGGGAATGCGAAAGATAATGCCTCCAATATCTCGGAGATTCCATTCATGTGCACGTGAGCGAGCCAACATTCAAATGCAAATTGCGAAATACTATAAATATTTAAACAGCGACGAAGGTGCTTATTAGCTTTCAGCCTAGGATTGCAATAATTAATTGCTAAAATATAGTAAACACTCATCTATGCGATGCTAATGAAGCACTATTTAAGCGATCATTTAAAACCAACTTTAGATACATTTTAATTTACAATTTTCTTACACTTGCTCCGAAACAATGTAATCATCTCTGAAATGGTAATCCGTTAAAACTTTGATTATGATTATACGAAGCGTGAGCTATAAGCCATGTCTCGGGCGATGTTCAAAGGGGTTTATTAACTTGTATATTAAATTTAAAATACAGTAATCTATGGTATAATTAGAAATCTATAAGTACATCATTAGTAGGATTTGCAAGGATTAGTTGCAAAGTATTCTTTTTAAGCTTTTTATTGATTTCTGAAATACATTTCCATTGCTAATAAATACTTAAAATCCCTTATTTTTGTAAGGATTTAATTGATCTCCCTCATATGACTTTATAGAACCCCCCTCTAGACCCTAACCATGGACACTCCACCCACATCTTGATCGTTTTTGCCACCGCATTTACTTCCCAAGACACTTTTTGAGCAACGGCGGAAAATGTTGTAATTTTGCGCTCTTTACGCTTTGTTTCATTTTTAATTTATTCTATGTGTGTCTCCGTGAGTGCATCCACACCACCACTATTCAGATACACCGGCACACATGATTCACCCAGCAAAGGTCTCAAACTATTAAAAACAAAAGACTCGGCTCGGCTGACCAAGTGACCTTTTTTCCGTCTCGACTGACACTTTTGCAGAAATGGAACAAACAACGGCGAGAAAAGTGTGTTGATTGTTTTCGCTATTTGCATACAAGAAATTAAAACGAAACTCAACTCGAGGATGAAGCCGAAGCTGTATCTGTATCTGTGCCTTGGCAGTTATGTAACGGCCGAGTGACTATCTAGGCGTAGAATGTGTGTTTAGTGCGGCCCGTAAATATGGCTGAAATGAAATTGAAGAGCGTCTCGAATTGTGGCAAATTACCAGAAATACCAACAGCTTTTTGGAATTGAAAACCTTAATGGGATCTTGGGGATTGTATCTTTGGGATTGCAAACCGAATTTGAATTTATTGCAATCCAGATTTCCTTTCCGCCACTAAGTAGTCGTAAAGACCGCCAAATATGGTAAATTGGAAATGAGACTTCTAAGAAAATCATCACATAACCATACAAGGAGACATTTAAAGTAATAGTTGAATTAGTTTTAAAATTAAATGATTTTCTAATCGTATAAGATTTATTTTAAAGCGCCATTTTAATCAAAGATTGTCATACAACATATGTAATGTCATTGGTTTATAAATATTTATGTGTTCGTGACTTCAAATCGTTGTCCAGCATCATCTTATATAAGGGCAACATGTGGATCTCCCTTCGACTGTCAAAGATTCATTATTTCGAAGATTGTGTGGAATGCTGGGAAAATAATTTTCACGGACTTGTCGGAAGCTTCTGCACATGTTTCGCACGTACTCCCAGCAGATCCAGTGGCAGATTTCGATAAGTCATTCGGCTATAATTTGCGAATGCCGACGTGAAATTTTTTCTATATAATTAAACACGGCATAAAGAAACATTCATAAAATCGGCAGTAAAAAATAAAATCCTATAGAGACTACGACTAAAGTTGACATTTCACACAGCGGCACAGGTCGTCTGTTGCAAGCAGCCGTGGCACCATGTGCCACGTTATGACAACACAACAATTCATCACTTCTGGGCCCGAGTCAGGGCGACTTGCGACCCATGTCTCAGAGCTCTCAAATCACAACTCCCAAAAGTGCAGCTTATGAGTACCCCTGCGAGTACCCATGGAGGGGGTCTAGGCACCACTAGCTGTACTCACACATGCCGGCACGAGCAAAATCCGATACTGATCTCCCCGTCATTTGTTTGTCTGTGATGCGAGAGCCCCATAAAAGACAGCTAATTATAGATAGTGCTAGCAGCACCCTTATCTTCCGGATAGCTAATGACAGATTCGACAGAAGAGCTTTCCCTTCACTCCTTCCAGCAAATAAGAACTTGCAGACCTGACTACAACAATTTAACATTCATTTCTTTGCTACTTACTTTATTATTTTCAATGGTACTTATTCTGGTTTTCATTCGATTCTAGATTGGAATGCCTTAATCGATATTTAAAAAGATTCCCTATCAAAATATTTATTATTGATAGATTGTTTTGTTCTAAATTTACTAAGGAACCCATTATTAAAAACAGAGATTTATTAAATCGAGCAAAACTGCAAATTTTTAAAACAATTTAATTAAACTAAATTCATAAACTTCTACAAAACTTTAAAAGTGATTTATGAGAGCTAAGATTAAATAGATATTTTTCTTTTATCATTCAAGCTATTAAGATTATTTATTGCAACCAATTTTTAACTCTAATTACACGAAAATTAAATTAAATTTTTTTTTAACTTGGCTGGGTAACTTTAATGAGCTTCATTATTATTTCCGTAAACTTACCCTCTTCTTTTGTTTAGGCCCAGAACTCTATCCAGGGAGCTAGTCCTGCCTCGCACCTAATGCAGAAGACCTCGTTCTCCTGCGCCGGTCGTCCTGCCGGATACTATGCGGACGTGGAGACGGGCTGCCAGGTATACCACATGTGCGATGGCCTGGGCCGGCAATTCAGCTACACGTGCCCCAACACCACCCTCTTCCAGCAGAGGATGCTCATCTGCGATCACTGGTACATGGTCAACTGTTCCAAGGCGGAGAGCAACTATGCAGCGAATCTGCTGATTGGTGGGTTATCCACAAGCGCTACTTTTCCAGCAGGATAATCTATGTCTTTTTACTCCACAGGCCAGAGGGACAAGCCCTTTGTAAACGACGAGGAGAACAACTTACGCACACCTCGGCCCGACCTTCTGGATCGACCCTATGCCCCGGACTATTCTGGCGAGTCCTTCCGCAGCCAATACAAGGTGAGAAGACTTTCCGATACTCAGATTCCAAGCTCCAACTATCTCTTATTTAGCAGCAACTATCACCCAGTCCGAATCAGATCCGGGATGAGTCCCTCAAGGCCGGAAGTCCAGGAAAATTCGATCCCCAGGCGTCGCAGACACGCTGGAGGATTCCCCCTCCAAGCCGGACCATCTTACCACCAGCTTACGAGCCACAGATAGAGCTACCAAGCAGCACAGTCAGGCCAAGGATCACCACCCCTACCACAACGACTCGCCCCACCACCACCACTGTTTTCACGACCACAACAACCCGAAGGCCATCGGTGGCCACAAAACGCACAGAGGCTCTGCACACACGTCGTCCCAGCTTCCCAGCGATTGAGGTGCCAGACACGGACGACCTGGGAACTAGCCACAGCACACGGTACAACACCTCCGCTGACTTTAACTCTGCAGAGTCACCCAGCAAGCAGACCAGCACTAAGCTGGTAAAGTTCATCAAGCCGCCCTCGAAGATCTATGAGCCGCCCTACGTGTATCCCATCTACAATTTGGAGGAGCCCCAGCCGAGCGGTGCCGTTGCCTCGGGAATCCGCACATCCACAGCGGCTCCGTTCAGTCCTGTCCCCAGCCGGCCAGAGACGACTACCACGACTGCACGACCACTTAGTAGACCAACGACTTTGGCTGGCGTGCCTTTCTCCTTTGCCACACCACCCACCACAGCGACCACCTTGGGAGCTCCGCCGCGTAGTGACAACCGAACTCCGGCGCCAGCGCAGAGCTTCCGTCTGGCTACTCCTCCTAGCACACCAGCCCCACCGGCATCCCCTGCGCAGCTGCCCTTCAACGATCTTCTGCCGCCTTTTGTGGATTTTGTGCCTCACGATATAGCCACCACCCAAGGCCCTCCCATTTATTACGAGTGGAAGATACCCTCGAACGGACTTGAACCGCCCAAGCTTGATCCGCCCATCGGAGTGGACGGGCGGGAGTACCCAGAAACCGACGGCAACTACGGCACGGGTGTCTCAAGCAAATCGGAGATCTTCAGCACCCGGCTCAACGACATCGTCAGCCATCAAAAGCCATCTGTCCAGCAATCCAGCACCAGCCGCCGAGTACCCATTTCACGGTCCATCAAGGCCAAAGAAGAGGAGGCTCAGCCGCAGCAGACGGCAGAGCGCCGCTCAGATGTGGTAGCTAGCTCCACCGACATTAGCCACCTTCGCAAACAGTTGCTCATCCCAGAGTACGCCTTCCCGCTGGAGTCCATCGGACGCACTGGCTACGGGCCGGGCAGTGGTGTCGTAGCGGGTGCAGGAGCCACCGGAGACCTATACAACTCGTTCCAGTTGAAGATTCCCGAGCAGCGGGCCAAGTGGTTCGGTGAGAACCCCAAGTGCCCGGAGTGCCATCCATCGTTTGTTCTTCCGGGCACCTGTGAGCCGTGTCTGCGCAGATAGTCCCCAATCCATCTGCCCCCTTCTCCCAATTCCGCATTTCATTATCCGCATCCGCATTCGCATCCGCATTTGCTCCTAGCCCTAGTATTAGCCGCCGCTGAGAAGCCCGGAGAGAAGCATCTACCACGCATTTAAGTGTTAATGTTATTGTATATCCGCAGATTAATAATTAAAGCTACGCAAATAACTTTGTAAATTATACAAAGGTGTTTTAATGGGTTTTTATCTAAAATTCTAGAATCCTTTTTAAAAATCCGGTTCTAGCATTATCTGTCAATGGTTTGATAATCTAAAATGTGATTTCCGACTTTATGGTTATAGAATACATTTTCGGTCTCGTTCAAAATTTTATTCAATACCTAAAAAGGCTGATTATGGGGGACAGTTATAGTCCAAGGCGTTTTAGTCCAAACAAGAACGAAGTTGCAGAAGTCCCCTTCGTGCATACTCCCCCAATCACAAAACTCGGAGACGCTCATGGTTTCTGGAGCTGGAAGATGATGCTCAAAATATACCTTCAAGCGGTCGGTTTGTGGGCTGGAGACAAGCCAAAAGAGGTAACAAGATTGGGCCTAGTATGCGAGATTGATTTTAGACAATCTTTTTGATTTTAGTGCGCCAAAACCAAGTTTATGATTCTGAGCAGCCTGGAAATGTGGGTTCTACGCAAAGAATACGAAGATCTAACTTGTGAATCTATTCTTCAGGATCTGGATGAGCGTTTTAACGTTATCATGCGCAAATACTCCCAAGAAATTCTCTTCTAAAAATATCTAAAAGCAAAGAATTTGACAAAAAAAACATTGATAAATAAATAAATAACAAATGACATTGTGAGCGTAAAAAGCCAAGAAACCGGATTCAAAATAAATTAACTCAATTGAAATTAAACTAACCAATTTGTGCTGTCTTTATTTATTTTATATATTTATCAAATAAAAGTTTATAACATATAACAATAGATTTTTCTCTCTGTTACAGAGATTTTCTCATTGTTTTAGCAATAAACTATTGTTTGCTGTCCATTTTTTTTTTTTGGACTGCAAGTTACTTTTCTTGCTTCTTGGTATAAACATAAATAAATAAATAGTCATTGTTTAAAAAAAACGAAAGTATGTATGTAGCTGTTATCATTGATTTCTTTTTTAAATTTCCCTCCATTTATTATTTGAGTGTTACCAGCTTTCAACATTACCAGGTGGCATCTCCACGCTTTCAAATTATTGGAAATTTTAACAAATAAAAATTTAAAAGAAAATTTTAAAGAAAAACTTTATTTTTAAATTAAGAAATTTTAAAGATTATTAATCTTGAGCATATCTAAAAATGTTTTGCAAAATGGAATCAGATAGCTTTTGAATTGTAGATCTGAAATTACTCTCAAAAATATTAGAATGAAAGAAGTAATATGATTTACTTACTTGGATTTATTTGTAAATAAAATAACATTGAAAAAATAATATTACTGCTTACCCTGGAAAAGTATAAGCTACTCGTAGATACTGGAATCTATAAATTCCACCAAAAAGCGAACTATAGAGTGGCCGGTTGCGGCTAGCGAGGAAATCCTATCCAGACTTGATAGCAGACTGCTTAGTCTCACGGTTTTATCATCCACAATAACTAAATAATTTCGCGTCAACAAGCAACAAAAATTTACACGTCAGAAACTAATTCGGATCAAAATTATATCAATTATTTTACCATTATTCAAACACAGCTGAAAAATGACACGTAAGTGGGGACAGCGTGCGGTGGCCACGGCCATCTTGTCGTTTTAGGTCTGGAATACATATATTTTGAAAAGAGTCGCATATTGATTTGCATGTCAAGGAAAGCGACTAAGATGCTGCTTATATACCTGTCTTTGTGGCTGGGCACAAAGAACATGTGTTTTTGTCAGTTTGGTCAGGTGGGATTTCCGGTGCTGCTATGGCTATTGGCCAGGCAAAATCGATGAGACACCCCTGGCGCGCTTCTAACCTCTCCGCTCGATTAGATCACTTTGCACGCGCCTCCGGACGAGTGACTTGGCTTAGTTAGTAACTTATTAACACTTTATGTCTTTCAGGTGGAAACCAACGCGACCTGGCACGCGCCAAGAACCAGAAGAAGGCGGCGGATGCCAACAAGGGAAAGCGCACCGACAACCTAACCGTGGAGCAGCGCAAGGCTAGGTGAGTAGTAAGAATCCTGCATAGGCTGTACTTAGATTAACCTGAATTTAAATCTACAGGGACGCCGAGTTGATGAGAGAAAAGCAAAAGAAAAAAGAGGACGCCGCTGCAGCAAGCACAAGCAAATAATGAATCCTTCGGATGCTGGCAATTCTTCGTGAAAGCCAACCAGCTGCCAGCATAAATTGGACAGTCGTGAAGAGGAACCTCGATACGCCCCAGGACCTAGGATAGTCTACCAAGTGGTTAATAACTGTAAATGAACAACACGATTATGGGAACTGTACACATTTCGACGCCACAATGCGCATAGATATTAGCAGGCTGTAGAGCAAGCGACGTAGCAATAGCAATAGGCCACGATGGCTCCACTCAGACGGGCTCAAAGGATTTGATTTGATAGCGATTCGGTATTCGTTTTTCATTTTGCCATGCTGCTGAACGTTAATAAGTGAAATTATTTCTTCAATTACCTGACTAAATTATTTACTGTAATGTATATATAAATTTTCAAATAAAACATAATATGCAGCCGTTTCTTTACACCGCAATGCCTTGCTAAATATTATGTATTATGCGTTTAAAGAAAATATATATATAAATTATGGCACCTATTGACCAACATTTTGAACCCTTTGCTAGTGAGTCGACCGATCTGGGATGGGGTCGGAGATCGGTCGGAGAAAGAGAGATTTAAAGATTGATACTTTATTGGAAAGCCCCAGAGTAAAGCCAACAACCATGTAGTGCAAACATTTAAATATAAGCGAACCTAAAATGCAACCTTTTACTCTTAATAGGTCAAAAGAAACTCGATTTAAATGGGGGTCTAGGGAGTCGGATCCTGCAGGGTACATTTGCATACAATAGGAGACAGATGGAAATGCTAAAATAAACAAGGAAGCTTGGTGCGCCTTGATTGGATAAATATGAAAGTAGCTGCACGCCGCGGTTTGACCCACAAAACCACGCTCGCCCAACTGCCAATAAGTCGAACGCTGGCCCCGTCCATTTTCAGGCTTAGTGCCCAAAATCTTGGCAACTAGCTGGCCACAAATGGCCAGGCCATGGCGTGTCGACATATCTGTGGAGCGCATCTCGAGTTGGCCAGCCTTCATCCCGGTCCCATCTGTGTAACCGCTCGTCGAGCATTGTTTGGCCAAGTGTCTGATAACTCCATGCCGGAACAGCAGAGCAGAAACGTCAATCGGCATAACAGGTTTCGGACGTCGGAGAAAACTTCCCCGCCACGCCATCCAAAAGATGTTTTAACTAAAAACAGCGTTTAAGTTTGAGAACTTTTCTAGCAACCAGTGCTGAGAAAAAGCATGGAACCCGCCGAGCATCGTTAGATGAGAGCCAGAGCCACATACCGAGTCCACGATCACTTTGGCCTGCTGGCTCTCCGACGGCAGCAGCCCGCGATTTCAGTCGCTACGTGAGACCCGCTGTAATCGCATCGGAACAGCGCGCGAGCCGAGTCGAAATCGCGTGAAAAGCGAACGCACTGAAAAGAAAGAAATATTAAACACTAATTGATTGCGAGCCAAATCAAATCGGTATAAGGCTCCTGAATAAGGCGGAATAATACTGCAGTCGCCAATTCAGCAAGAGTAGCAAGTAGAAAGTGTAAGTGATTTTGGCAGACTGCCAAGAGACTGACATTATCAGCTAAAAAGTGCAGTGGGCAGCCAATTGGGCGGACTCGACCGGGAGAGATCAATCGAACCGATCACATGCAAATGAAGTGATAAACGATCGCTTCGAAATTGAAATAACAGGCGAACAGCTGCCCAACGGAGGTGGATATGCATATGTGTGTTCCGACAGAAATGGCAGAGGAGGGGCTGCGAGGAGGAGGCGGTAGCCCCCAGTAGCCGGAGACCTAGAGCCAGTCCCGACTTGAGGCGCGATTGCTCGTCTGCCTGCTGCGGTTGTGTGTGCCGCCGTGTGTTATTTATACAAAATATATTCAATTTCATTTAGCTGTCGCTGCTGCTGACGGTGCGGCAGCAATTTCAATATTCAAATGATCGCTGAACCTCAGACTGAGAGTCCCCAGTCCCCGGACCTCACGATTTTTCTGAGCGCCTGCATTCAGTCCGTAGCCCCAGCAAATTATGACAAATGTGCGAAAAAACAAAAGGCAATATTCAAATAATAAGAAAAATAATGCTACTGTTTGTTTTCATTTCTGATCAGTGATCGTTGATCGTCGATCGCCTGACCCAATTGAGCGTAGACATATTGGGAGAAAACGGCAGCCAACAGTTGCTTCTATATAGTTGCATATAGCTCGATATGATGTCAGCATTGCGAACGGCATTGAGAAGTCCCAGATTGGCTTTTTAGGAGATCTCCGACAGAAACAGGTTAGGGCACCAGGGGTCACGATGGGGCAAGTAGGCCAGACGGCTGCCTGTCCAGGAGCTGGTGTGCGGAGGCGTATACGCAATGTGAGCCACTTTTTAGTTATTCGCCTCTGCTGCGAACCATAAAAATCACATTCAAGCTCAAATCGAGGGGCCAAGCTCTGAATTTCAAGTAGCCACTCCCCTGGGCCGTAATTATAGGAAAGATTGGAAACTGCCAAGATTTTCAAGTTCGCTACGGCAAAGTTCAGTGACGCACATCCATCTATCTGGGAGAAGTGGAAAATTAACGGGCCAGAAACCAGAACAATGTGAAGGTTACTCAATTTACAAGGCAGCAGATAAAACGTCCACAAATATATGGCAAACAAAAATAACAAAAAGCAGAATGATACTACACACGAAAATACATTATGGCAGAATAAACGAAGGCGTTCGCACACCTACGCCACTACGCCAGATGGGACGGCCACAGTGGCGCCGAAAAGTTGGCCAACAGGTGCTGACAACGATAGACTGGGCGATGGAAGGCCCACGGACTGACCACTGTGCCCAGAGTCTGGGGGGCACTTCAATATCTCCATTACAGGCCTCCTAAGGTAGACGAGGCGCCTTTGTTGTTATTTTTTCTAAACCTCTAGCTGCTAGATTCTAGATCTCCCAGTTGATTTCTCGCGACCTTGCGAACTATTTATAAGCATTTCGTGTATTTTGTTTTCTATTCGAGAGCGCCTCGGTTATGAATCATTTTGATGGCAATCGGTTTATGATTTGACTTTCGCTTGGCGGGGAAAACGAAAGCCCAAAATCCGAAATATCCTCGGCGATTGAGTTTTTGAACGCGTTCAATGTCACCGCAGCCTCCCTGACCCTGAAGAACGTTGACAGAGTGCCGCGACACTGTCGACAGTGTATCTCGCGGATACGCACATTTGTATCTTTGCAACGCTGTCCGACGTGCGTGCCGCTGCTCCAAGTAATGGCAAAATCATGACGCTGTACTCTGGTCGGCAAATGCAACTTCAAAGGCTGCAATTGAGTTTGCAGCTGCAACGGTTTTAATTGATTTATAAGGCAAGTCGTGTTGTGATTGAAAGCCTCAGCAGCAATTTGACAAAAAAAAAACTTATCTGGCGACTCAAGTGGGGGAGCAGGAATAGCAGAAATCGGGGGATAAATTGGAGAAATAAATAAAAACCAAAAATGCCGCGTGCTTTGGACCTGTCAAATTTGGTAGAACGATTTTGACCGGTTTGTCCAAAGGGGGCCCCAAAACCAGTCAAAATTGAGCAATTTCCAGTCACATCGCCAAGTCGCCGTCGAATCGCAGATACAAATACCGAGTGTATAGCCTTTTGTGCCAATCCGCTATCTTTTGTGTGGTTGGCGCGGAAAAAGTAGCGCAGAAAAATGTCAAAGTTAATTAAGCGTTGAAGCGCAAACTAATTGCTGAGTAGCAGGCGGCATGGGGTCAGATAAAGCCCAAAATAATTGACTTTAGCTTTAGCTTGGGAAACAATAACGTATCCGACGGATACAAAGACCCAGCACGCGTTGGCTGAACACGAAAATTACAATCGACGATTGAATTGAACCCATTTTCAGTTTTTGAATAGGCAGCTGCCGATATCGGTTCACATGATTTATATGAACATTACTTGTATATAATATTATTCTATCCGCTTGCTCAGACAAATGGGTCAGCAGTTGATTAATTTAAACGATAAAATTGTGGTTTGGATATTCATATTTCAGTTTAATTGTCGATTATGACATGACGAATAGAAAGCAATTTTCAAATCTTTGAGCAAAGTTTTCTCGGATGCATCAGAGCTTTCCCTGATCTCATGCATTTATTTGACAAACATTACCTTTCACCAGCAGCATCCGACTCCCACACATTCCGCAATCAACTGCGTCCAGTTGCACTTGTCATGTCTCAAGCACTTTCCACCTCCGAAGCCCACACCAAGTGGCTCTAGACATTCCTCGGAAAGAGTCGCCCACGCAACGCTTGAACTTGACTCTAGCGCGGATCACGCCCATATTTCAACTTTGTGTGAGGCGAGCGGAAGTCAACGTCAGCATTAGATGATTTCATGCGAATATTATCGCCATTAGATGTAATCTTGGGAGGGCAGAGGCGGTGTACCCCGTCTCCCTGGTATTGCGCAGTCGCCTCTGACCCAAATCGAATCTCAAGGGGCCTCGAGTGCCTCTCTAGTGTGTTTGAGGCCTAACCAGGCCAAAACCTATCGCATAACGGCAGAACGTAACCCAAGATGGAGCAGTAATGGAAGCCAGCTAAATGCTTGTTGTGGGGTCTGTGGCCAATCGTATATAGATAGATATAGAAGTACAAACAGATCCGACGGCTGAGAAGAGAGCGTGCGAAACGCGTGGAAACAGCACGTTAATGCGCCATATGTCCGGTTTATCAGCTCCCAGCCAGCTTGTGACGAAACTATAAAATGTGTACTCGGGCTTTCCGAGCATTTTGCTCAGAATGTGTGATCTTTGGGCATTAACCTGGACGTAGCCATCAGACCCCCATTCCCGCCGCCCCTGTTAATTGCGTAATTTGTTTAGCATTTCTGTAGCTTCATCGCATCTTTGGGATATTTTGAGGTTTGCTTTCCGCTGGCAGATCTCTGCAAAGTGTGAAAAAGACGGAAATGTGCTTTAAATACCTACATCTTTATCTTTGGCTAGACCTAGCGGAGATAGTACCTGATGAACTTAAGGTTCGAGTTGGAGTACCCACTCCACCACTTCTACGGGCAATGACTCAAAGTGTAAGACAAGACATTTTGGCGTGTGATTATCTCATCAAGTTGTTCGAGCCCGCCGCGGGCCACATGTATGTACGTAATACGTATCTCCCAGATACAAGTGTATGTGCATGTCCATGCATCCGATAGATACAAACCAGCTGCATCGGCATCGGCATTTGCAAGTGCCAACATGCGCCACATCAATCCGCAGCCGGCTCCGCAGCCGAAGCACGTTAAGTGTTTGATTTAATGACAATGCCCGGTGGCGCCTTTCTGTGGGGTGCAACCCACAATTTATAGATACATGGCTGCATATAGATACATACACAGTCATGCCTCATGTCGATCGTGTGCGCCTGCGCATGTCCAAGTAGATTATATCAACTTTCCCAAGCCATAGCCTGGGATCAATCAGCCCTATCCGGATTATTCATGGCAGTTGATGATTTATTTTATCGGTTTTCTAAATTTAAGTCTTACGATCCCTCGACTACTCCCCACCAGCTACCCAGTGTTTTCTTTGTTTCTTCTATTTTTAAAGCACATTTGTTTTATACACATTTTTATTCGTTTGACGTCACAAATTGCCAAATTTTTCTCAATCTTGTTTTTTTCGCGCTGTTTATCTTTACCTTTACAATTTCCAAGGCGGTCAAGGTGGAGGAACTGAAATGCCATAAATATTTCTCTAGTTTCCGTGCGAAAACAATCGTATTATCCAAATTTGTAGCCAGCCGCAAACAATGGGAGGAAAGGAAACGGCATTGCAGTCCTTCATGCTTCAAACTTAGTCTGCAGTCTTGTAAACAAAAATTCAATAAAATCATCCAACTTTATACTCATAGAATCGTTTTATCTTTTTTTCCAGAGAATACCCCTAAAGCTTCCAAAATGCCAAAGCCCTTGGTCAACTCCTGCTGCCTGTGTCAGTCCACCCGGAATGGCTCCGTCATATCCGGCATCCTGGCGATAGTCCTGTCGATCATCACCATTGTGGTGATCTTCACGACCCGCGTGCATTTCAAGACGATCATCTTCGACAGCATCTCGAACGACGTCGTCAAGATAATCCTTGTGATCAACCTCTGCATGACCATTCTGATATCGCTCCTCATGATCGCTGGCGTTCTCAAGGTAAGCTTTCCTGTATATCCTCTGGGTGAGATCACTAACAACCCAAGTACTTTCAGCGCAACCACTATCTGATGGTGCCTTGGGTCGTTTTGGGCCTAATGATTGCCATTGGCCTCCTGATCTCCGTCATCTACACCGCAGTCGTCTTCTTCATCGACGGCTACGTGCTGACGGGGGTTCTCTGGCTGATCTTCGGCTTAATTTGTTGCGGTAAGTGCACTTCCCCACCACAAGTGAGAATGGGGGGCAGCTGTGACTTCTCCTTAAGTGGTTTTTAGCACCGGAAGGCGGTTTATGCGAGTCTCTTTTTCTTTATTGACGCATTTATCATGCGTTGATGGGCCATTCCGCCAAGTCGAAGTAAGCGGCGCCCCGGGAAAGGGTCTGGCAGGGGATTAGCGGGTGGAGCAACAAACGAGGCGCGAACTGTCTGACTTTGGTAATTTTTACGACTGCCATGGGGGGACAGAAGATTACTTTAATGCGAATATCGTGAGCCTTATAGGCTATAGGCATATAAGATTAAATAAGTAATGAAAACTATTGGTTAAAAAATTAAATTTCGGTTCTTAGAAACGATTATGAGGATATTATCGTTTTACTACAACTTTTATATCAATAAATATAATTTATTTATATTTATAATTCTGAATTCTTATCCGATTCTTAATCGGAGTACCTTAAATGAATTGTGGATCGATTCTCCATCAATCTGCATCAAAATCCAGAAACAAAATATTTTTTATATTTTTTGTCAAATTTTCTGGGCAGACCCCTTCCAAAATGGGGGAAATGCATGAGAGGTCAATATGGCCCACGCCGAAAGCCATATCTCTGCCAATATTCATTAGATTCTTAAGCGGAGTACATTAAATGAATTGTGGATCGATTCTCCATCAATCTGCATCAAAATCCAGGAACAAAATATTTTTTCGATTTTTTGTCAAATTTTCTGGGCAGACCCCTTCCAAAATGGGGGAAATGCATGAGAGGTCAATATGGCCCACGCCGAAAGCCATATCTCTGCCAATATTCATTAGATTCTTAAGCGGAGTACATTAAATGAATTGTGGATCGATTCTCCATCAATCTGCATCAAAATCCAGGAACAAAATATTTTTTACATTTTTTGTCACATTTTCTGAGACCCCTTCCAAAATGGGGGAAATGCATGAGAGGTCAATATGGCCCACTCCGAAAGCCATATCTCTGAGCGGAATACCTTAAATGAATTGTGAATCGATTCTCCATCGATCTGCACCAAAATACAGGAACACAATATTTAAAAAATTCTGTTGCATACTTTTGAGCTTATTCTATTTTGATTTCGGTGAGAGTGCATTCTTTAATATAACTTTCAAAAGTCGTATATATTCATTCATTTTTCAACATATTTTTCTTGTTTTAAACTTTTGCAGCTGTCCTCACCTACTGCTGGTGCGTGGTCTACAGCGAGTATGCCAATCTGTCCGAGGAGAACGAACGTGGACGATACAACAAGCAGCCTTACCGCCGCTAGAATCCTGGAAGTCCTTTAAAGTTTAAGCCCCAGGCTCATCACCATTTGCATTCTAGACGCAAACACCATCTCACATTTTATCATCTAGCTGCTTATGTTTGTATTTAGTGCCTATGTCTAACTAATAATTGTAATTTAATTAATGGAGGCGTGCCTGCCCTTCGCTCACATCGAATTTACGCAGCCCGCGGCAGTAAGTGCAATGGAATTATGTATTTAACATTTAAATAAAACTTTAATCCGGATATTTTGAGAATTTTTGTTGTAATTTGTACGTAATACTTATAACTGAGAATGAGAAAAAACTTAAATAGATTAACACGTGAAAAATAATAAATAAAGTGTTTTACTTATCAGCGCATAGAGAGCCGGGGATCAGGTGTGTTTGTTGTTTTTTTATTTCAAAATAGAGTTATCTTTAGGTATATAGTTATAATCAATTCTCTCAAAGTCTATCAAAATTGTAAATTAACTAAAAATACGGCTGTGTAGTGGGGCGTTTCGTGTTGTTGCTGTTCTTGATGTTGCTGAGGATTTAGCTAAGTGGGCGTGTTCCATGTAACTACACAAGTATCTATAAATTACATTTACAGTTCGCCGTGCGCGTATTTGGGCTTCAACTCTTCGATACGCTTAATGAAGTCACCCTTTTCCAGACAACCGTCACAGCTTTCGTCCCAATCGTTGAGAATCTTCTTAAGGTCGCGCACCTTCAACTTTTTCAGGTCCACGTTGTTCAGATCGATTTGCTTTTCTGAAAGTGAATGTATTAGTAAGTCTAATAAATGGTTTGGAGTGGAATTTTTTACCGTAGCGCAAATCACAGATCTGAGCATCCTTCTTTTTCAGCTTCTCGCAAATTTTCTCCGCTGGCATGGACCAGCTAAGTGGTTTGCTCAACTCGTTCAGGATACCTGTAGCTGACTCCTCCAGTCCGCCGAGGTAATAGCACTACGTGGAAGAACGCATACGTGTATCGTTTTACAAATACGCAGGGGAGGGGGGCGTTTGCCGGTTACTTACGAATCTGTGTTCCTTGTTCTTTTGGCCAGAGCAGAACTTCTTGAAAGCCGTCTCTATTTTGCGGTAGTCCTTTTTCGTGGCATCGTCCAGAGAATCCCCGAAACGTCTTACGGTCTTGACGCACACTGTGGAAGAAATCAGCCGGTAAAAATCTGTCCCCAACAGAATCACTTACGTGGCCCAACCAACCTTCGCAGTCCTCCTCTTTCAGCGCCTGTGTCGTTTGCAAGGCTCCTGCTAGGAAGCAGACTAATACCACCAGATTTGCTGTCTTCATCTCTTCGTTGTTCGACCGTGTTTAGGTTGTCTCTGATTTATTTAATTTGTTTTAAGGTGATTTAGCGACGTGCCAAGCTGCCTCCTAGGGATGGAAAAGCAATGTGGTTTTTAAATTTTTTATATCGATGATATTGTTTGCTGTGACTATCGACTTTTAGAACACTAAACATTTATGAAGTTTAGATCATGGAAATAGTTGAAACTAACAAGTTTTTCAATTAAATTCATATAAATTTTTTTTCGTATTCTACCTAATGATTTTATCTTAGCAACGTCATTTTAAAATACGAAGATGAAAAATACCCTACCCATTCAAATTAATCGTTATCGGGGCGCCACGTTTGAAAACTCTCCCCAAAGAGAACAACCTGTTTACACAATTCTCTTTAGAATCCACAAACAGGTGTGGGGGATCACTCAGCTGGGCTCTTCGTTTCCCCCAAAAATATTCTTGATTACTTTTGAATAGCGCGCGTTAGCAGACGGACGAAAATGAACATATATGTACGTATATAAGAATTCGCACAAATATGCGGCCGAGCGAACTTTACCCGTGACGTTTTCGATTCGTAAACCCTCTTCGCGTTCCTTTAAAATAGCCGCGTTTTTGTTGGAGCTCGCACAGTATTTTCCAAGGCGGCCAAGTGCTAGAAACTCCGCTAGTAATTGCGGTTGTGTAACCGTTAGTAACTGCCATATCAAAGGAATTGACGTCGTTGGCACACACCCGGAAATAATTATCAATTACACACTCTCCTAAAAATAAACCAAAAATCAAAACAGAGCACAAAAGATGCCCGATGTAAAGTTCCTGTCCGTGCTGCCAACCACCGCGAGTGCTTCGAACCGGGTGACGAAAGTGTCCATTAGCGGCACCTTGCTCCAGAATCCCCAGCAGTGAGTATCCCCAAGCGCCAGAGCCCTACGAAAATCGATTAAAGGGCCTCCCAGCTATAAAAAGTGGAGCAATTTCCTTGTTGCGTGCAGCAACAAATTCTAAAAAAAAAATGCTGTCCTCTTGGGTATGTGACCCGGTTAGAAGAAATTCTCACGAGCCGATTGAGGAACGATTTATGGCAAACATATGAAACATGCAAATGGGCTATTTAAATTTCGACAATCTTGGCTAGTTTCTGGGATTCTTTATTTAGAAATTCCAAAGAAAATTATTAATTTATGATCTGCAAAGGCGATAAGGTGAAGCTTTTAAACAATAAAACAGCAATTAACACATGGGCATGAATAATTCTCAAATAAAATTTTAACACCTTTAGACTTTGTAAGGAAATAAACAAGGATATGTCCCATCTCGTGACCATAATCTAGTTAAAAACTGTGTTGAGATATAACCTTCAAAACTTGGTAAATGATATATTTTTATTGTTATAGAAAGTGCTTAAACTTAACGAGTTTCTAATAAATAAATAAAATTCAATAAATAAAATATTATTAAAATTAATAATATTACTCAACTAACTAAAAAAGGTAAAACAAAAATATTTTTTTTATAAAGGAACAATTTGAGTTCAAATGTGCCGGACCATTATGGGTTAAGCTTGATTTGAATGACTTTACTGTATCAATTCCAGAATCTATGACATCACCAAACAAAAATTAAATAAGACACGCGCTGAAGATGCCGGCCGAAGAAACAAAAACAAAGGTCGAAAGAATAATAATGGTCAAAGTGAAATCAAAAGCAAAGAAATCAACAAAATAAATGGTTGTGGCAAGGTGGGGAGATTGGCAATCAGATTTTTATTGGCTAAATGATGTCAGTTTACAAGAAGGGAGAATCCGGGTTGTAGATTTCCCACCATGTTTCCTACAATATTTTTTCAAAGAAGACCTTCCTTTCGTTATCTCTTCAGCGAATTGATAACCTTCATTGATAGCTTCTGATATGTGTCACCAGAAATACACTTGTATTTGCACTTGTATGCTTGTAAAACACTAGCTAAATATTAAGCAATTAAAGGGGATGACTCACGTTTCTTAAACTAGAAAATCCTGGAAATCGGGGAAATTTGACTTCATTGGTATTACATTACAAGAGATTCAAGATAGATAAGCTTAACAATAAGCTTTATGATAATAATGTTACACCCTAAAACTCTGACTAATTTGCATCTATTTGTGAAATTCCTAACGAGCGGACATCAAACATTCTTTGAATGCTTGGCACGATTTCTCACCAATATCAAACATTTGGGAGCTCCGGTCCATTATTCACATTGTGACTTCCACAAAAAAATGACTAAGCGAGGTCTCGTGCTGATTTAAAGTTTTAACAATTATTCAGCGACGTCACTAAAATATGAGCAGTATTATTTGTAGCAATATTTCATGAATTAATTGTCGACAAGTGACTGTTTAGTCGCTAAACTGAAGTGAATTATGTTAATGCCGTAATTAAGTCATTACCATCTGGTTGAGATAGCTTTCAGGGGCGTTGGAAGATAACTTTTCTTGGGGGAAACGTCAGGCTTAGATTATTTGATAAATTAATTTTCAACAAGTTCCTATTTGAGAAGTGATATAAAGGTTGAAGCTCTCAACTAAACCATTAACATGTAGGTGTTACACAAACTTTAAGCTTTGCTAAGTAAGCCTTCCCTCTTCCACAGATTCTCGGTGAACTTTGTCAACAGCCCGGATTGCACGGACAACATTACATACCACTTCAAGGTGGTGATTCCCACCAAGACGATAATCGAGAACTACAAGCGAAATGGCGAGTGGAGCAGCTTGCACCAAGAACAGCACCTGGACATCTTTAATGGTACAGGAGATAGTGCTAAGAATCCAACATTGACACAGAGCATCACCCTTATTATGAACGAGATTGACCAGGCTCTCCAACTTTCATCCACAGAGACTACGTTTAGCCTTGAGTTTGCCTTCAACTACGATGATTCCAAAATGCTGGTCTACCATGGCAGGGACGCGGGCTTCAATTTCATTACCCAGTACGAAACCCTCTTCTCACTGTCCGACATCCAAGCGGTGCAGGTGTGGGGCGATGTGCAGAAGGTCAGCCAGTTCGGTCTGACCTACGACTGATAGGGAGGTAGCCCACTATCCCCAGGTAGCCGCTCATTCCGCTTATTTGAATGCATCTTCCATCTGAGTTCGGTGGCGGTCCACTCGTAGACCTATGTAATAATGCACGGCCTTACTTTTCGCACTATTTATCGACTTAATTTGTTGGGTTTGGCACCGCATTAGCATTTTGTTTGCCTCATTTTCCGCTCTTTATCCTTAAAGGCTTTGAATCCCGCCACTACATCCCAAGTAGAACTAAAAATTCGTCACAATTAAATAGGCTTTTGAGCCTCTTAGAAAAAGGACCCCTAAAACCCTTCTCAGTTATATCATTAAGTATTTTGTGATGTTATTGCATCCGTTACATGAATTCCCGCTTGTAGTTTTAGCATTTGTTCTTTGTTAAATGTTATTGGGCCAAAGAAGTTCTTGTATCATACACGTTGAATGTCTCTGCTTGCTGAAGTCTTCCACTTAAATTTGGACTATGTAGTTTTAAGCTCCTCTGCGTAATGCTCTCACAAATCACGCCAAGTATTATTTATTACCAAGAATTAAATGCCTAAACACAAAAAATTCATTGGAATTGGTTTTTCTTTATGCTTACAAAAATGGATTCGGAAACAGAATAGGCGAACGCTTTCATTTGTTTTCCAACGCTTGCCAGCTATTGATTAAAATATGAGCTGTTTCGAAAATCTTTCAGAACTCGTGCCGGCCTCTGGATTAACCTTCCGAATTTCCCTCTTTCAGTGGGTCGAGTCTAACCAAAAATAATCACGTAAACATTTGGGCCTGTCTGCCCCACATCTGCTTAATAGCCGATCCGAACGGACGGCTCCTGTGTGCATTACCAAATAAAATGAAACATTCATAACATATTCTGCCATAAATTCTACATTTTATTTATTTTCGCATGGAATCATTGTTTTCACCCAAAAAGGTATTCACCATCGAAATGCTTACAACTTTGATGTAAAATAGATATACATACATTTATTTACAACTGTCCTAAATGTAAAATCGAATTGCGCACACAATCTTGAGATAATTCTTAAAATTAACAGCGGGAATATCGCTCTGCTGGTTTCACTAACTGAGAACCGAAACAAACAAAAACGAATTAAGCTAAAATTTGTATAAAATACGTGCAAAAACACGAGTAAAATCCATAAAAAATAATATTGCACAAAAGATGAGTAAAGGTAAACCAAGTGTTAAGTAAACATAATAAGGAACCAGCAGGTAGACTAGCACACGAGGTAAGGAAAGAAGTCTATTTTTCAATCTTACAGACTATTGGGTTGGCTGGTGCGGTGGAGTTTTGAAACGTAGGGAATCCCAGCTGCACAAAGTTAGCCAACGACGCGTTGATATTGGAATCGGGCGCCTGCGTTATAGTTATGGTATTTCCGGCCAAGTCCTGGGTAGTCACCACATGCATTATCTGCGCCTGCTGCGGTTGCGCTTGCGCATGTTGCTGCTGTTGAGGGGCTTGTTGCTGCTGGTGAGGAACACGCTGCTTCATTTCATAAATATCCTGGAATTAGGGGAGGTTAGTGTCACTGTTAGCTATACCTATGTAGACTTCATTACCTTGTTGGGTCCCTGTGGGTTGCTTCGAACTTGGGAAGACACAAGGGCAGGCGCAGCTGGTGGAACCGGGGCAGAAGTAATGCTCTCCTCACGCGGTCTTTTCCCCGTGTGCATTTCACGATGCTTCTCATAATGCATTTTGTTGGAAAAGTTCTTGTTGCAGATATCGCAGCTATGCAGGGTCTCACTTACGGGCTGGGTGTGGATTCTATAGGAAGAAATGATAGTAAGAGTAAAAATTATAAAATAATCTTTAAAAGATTAGTATGAGTACTCACCTCTTATGCTTGTTAAGGTTGTCCTTACGGGAGAATGGCTTCCGACAGACCTCACAGGTGTACATTTTCTGGCCAGAATGGGAGACCAGGTGACGGGATAAATGTTCCTTGCGGCTGAATGCCTTGTCGCAACCCTCCTCCGAGCACTTGAAAGGTCGCAGGCCCGCGTGAAGCTTTACGTGTTGGGTGAGATGCTCTTTCTTCTTAAACTCGCGATTGCAGGTGGGACAGGTGAGTCCTTGCGAAAGAGTAGCCTGCTGACTATCTTGTTGTGGTAATGGCAGAATTTGCTGCTGGGGACGCGCAGCCTTAGCCTTTTGATCAGGGGATTCCTGGTTTTCAGGAGGCTTGCGTATAACCTTCTTGTGCTGCGATGCCATTGGCGGTGGCTGTGCTTTGTTAAGCGCGGGAATTGAGACAGGAATGGGTTGTGGGTTATGTGCTGGAGCTGGTACCGCCGATGGTGCTGCCATTGGCTGCTTCATTTGCGGCTTGGGTGTGGATTGGGAGGAGATTCGACTGATGGTTAAGTTTTGCTTATTAATTACTGGCAATTTAGGCGGAGCTGAGGCTGGAGCTGATACCGGTGCTGGCGCCGGAGCTGCGACCGCAGACTGCTTTGTTACTTTGGTGATAGTAGTGTTCGAGGATAGCCGCTGTAAGGCAGAGTTGGATGAGATCGAATTCTGGGTGGCAGTTGTGGCTGCTGGTAGGGGCTGTTTAACGTGTTGCATCTGTTTAACTTGAGTCACTAATCTCTTTGGGTCTGGAGCTGATCCACCGACGGGTTGTGCTGTTGGCAAAGCGGAAGAGGAGATCACCTTTGTCTTAGGTGCCGTGACAGGCCTCTGTCTAGGTGAGGGTGTCTTAAATACAGGTGCTTCTTTACTACTCGTTGGAGTGGTTGGAGTAGATGCTGAGCTCACATTGCGGATCACCAACTGGGGATTCGCAGAGGCGGACTGGGGAGATCGGATAATTTGCTGAGATGTTACCTGGGCCGTGTGAGGTGGTAGTTGCTGCTGCTGCTGCTGGGGAATTATTTGTTGATTCTGAATTGGCAGCGGTTGCGCGGCCTGTGGAGTAATGTACTGGTTTTGAGCGACTGTTGCCTGCGTACCCCCCAATGTTTGCGGCGTTAGCTGCAATGTAGCCGGTATGGAAGTGGGTGTCAGCTGCATTATCGGCTGTCCATCAGCGGTGGCCAACTGTGGCTGCAGCTTCATCTGCACTTGATAGGTGGTCGGTAATACCATGTTCTTTGTGTCAATGTGCGCTACAATCTGCTGATCCGAGTTTTCGTCTCGAATAGTGATGGGCAGGAAGCATTTGTTGGGCGAGAGAAGGTTGGGTGTCGTTTGAGGAGTTGTAAAGCAACTGGAGAGTAGAGCAGCAGCGTTGATCTGCGTAGGGACTGGAGCGTTCAATGCCCCAGAAACTCCTACACCGCCGCCTCCTGGCATCAACTGCAATTGAATCTGTGGCTGGGTCGACCCAAACTGATTTAGTTGCGTGGAAAATTGCGGAGTTGCCGGCGAGGAGATTACGAAGTTGAGCTTCGGCTTTTTTGAGTCGCTGGGTCCGCCAGTATCATCGGTCGTGGTAGTTAATTGGCTGTTTAGTTGACTGGTTAGTTGCTGGAGCTGTTGCTGCAGCTGTAGTTGCTGTATTTGCTGCAGGAGCGGCTGAAGTTGATCACCCAGTTGCGGTTGCAATTGCAACTGCGGACTGGGGAGCGTGGTGGTAGTGTTTGTCACGGTCTGCAGCGGAGGCGGGGGCGGCTGTTGGTTTCTGACGGCAGCGTTGGCGTCCTTCTTTCCCAGCGGAGTTATTTTAATATCCGGCTTGAGGCGTATAAACTCCTCTAGGACCCTAAGAGGATAGTCTGGATGTGAAATCATAGCAAACATGGAAGATGCGTCACTTACGTCTGCTTATCGCTCTTGACGGGTTCGGTTGGCGGCTGCAAAGGCTGCTGCTGTTGGATTCCGTTGTCCAATGTTATGGTGTACTGTTGCTGAGGCTGCACACTCACAGCTTGCATAATGCTGTTGAGAAGGTTTCTTGACTGCTGGGCCGTTGCGGTGGTCGTAGAGGCAGCTGGAGATGCTTGGACAACGCCGAGGCTTTTTCCAGAGTCGTCAATTGGATCTCTAATGTACAACTTTTCACTGGTTGCCGCCGGCCTCATGGTGAGGCACTTGCTCAGCATGTTTTGAGAATTTCGGCAAGTGGCTCTGAACCCGTCCATCTGCTCCAGCGTCTGGATACATTGACTGCAGACGCCTTTCGGGAGGCGGTCTTTCTCTTCCACCTGCAAGAACGGAGGGTTAGCCGCCACAGTAACTTAACAGGGTAACGAGATCCACTTACCTGCAGCGAGAGGACCTCAAAGATCTTCTGGTTGAGGTTCTTCGCGCGTCCCTCAGGCGAAAAGATATGTGTCTTTTGGTTGGCGCTGTCCGTGCAGAGGCGACACAACTCATAGTAATCGATGCAGCGCACGCTGGCGCCGCCACTTGCCATTTTCCCGCTTAAGCTTTTATTTACCAATTTTAGTGGTTTGTTTTTATTGTATTTGTTGTTTTTCCGTCTGCAGAACGACGCTTAGCTACTAGAGATGATACTTTGCCGATAACAGAAGGCTGTCGATTACCAACCCCAGACGCAAAAAAAAGGTGTTTTTCGTACATGCTTGAACGGTCACATATCCGCCATTTGCATTTTGAGAAGAAGAAGAAATCTGACAGGAAAAAGTCTACGAAATTATTTTCTGCCAGTCGAACTATTTCAACGTGTGATATTTTTGCAAAATGGGTTCCCGAAATGAGTGCCGCATCTACGTTGGAAACTTGCCGCCAGATATTCGTACTAAGGACATCCAGGATCTGTTTCACAAGTTTGGAAAAGTGACTTTCGTAGATCTGAAGAATCGGCGTGGGCCGCCATTTGCCTTTGTTGAGTTCGAAGATGCGCGGTGAGTAAGCGAATACATACAGAATTGAAAGGGCTTCCTAACTGAAACATTGTTTTGTGCCCACCCTTCGGCGGATTTTGGGCTTCTTTTTTTTGGCTAATACAGCGATGCAGATGACGCGGTTAAGGCCCGTGATGGCTATGACTACGACGGGTACCGCCTACGCGTCGAGTTCCCGAGGGGCGGTGGTCCCGGCAGCTACCGCGGCAATCGTAATGACCGCAGCCGCGATGGTGGTCGAATGGGTGGCCGTGGACCTCCGGCCAAGCGTTCGCAGTACCGTGTCATGGTCACTGGTCTCCCGGGCTCTGGTTCCTGGCAGGATCTGAAGGATCATATGCGTGAGGCAGGCGATGTGTGCTTCGCGGACACATACAAGGATGGCTCCGGTGTGGTAGAGTTCCTGCGCCATGAGGACATGAAGTATGCCATCAAGAAGCTTGACGATTCTCGATTCCGTTCCCATGAGGTATGTAAATTAGTTCCATTGCCTATTCGGGTATATTATAATGCTGATTTATACTGAGAGTTGTTCATTTGCATATTAAATGTCTGTAAAATCGCCGTAATTTATGCCCGCGGAATACATTTTCACAAGTCTGTGTCACGACAATGCAAAGTCGTGTATATGGGCTGTGTTAGATGAAATATAACTTAGGTTTCTTATTAAATTATCTTATTTTCTCCACAGGGCGAGGTTGCCTACATTCGGGTGCGAGAGGACAGTGGCGACAACGACCGCAGTGGTGGCGGTGGAGGAGGAAGTGGTGGTGGTGGTGGCGGAAGCGGCGGCGGCGGTGGTGGAGGAGGCCGCGATTACCGCGACAGGTACGCTAAACATTAAAACCTAATTTCATAAAATACCGATCAATACTGTATTTCTTTCAGGTCTCGCTCGCGCTCCTTTTCTTCGCGGCCGCGTCGTAGGGGAACACCCACATATTCGCCAGTGCGGCGTCAATCCTATTCCAGGTCTCGCTCACGCTCTAATTACTAAACACTACCAAACATTATCCATTAATATATAAAATATTTTTTACGAGCAGGCACCGTTAGGAAAAGCAAGATAAATTAAGAATGCCCATTCAATGTTTGTTCAAGTCCCAAACTACATTGTAAATTGACAAGCAAGCTATCAGCCAATCAAGTCCATCATTCAAGTTTCAAGCTCATGTCAAGGCCCATTAAAGTCTGTAACAACTTGCTTTTCCACCAGAGTCACAGATCTAAAGATGCAGAGGTGTTATCTTAAAAAGCATCTTAGCTGGCATTAATATTTGACGAAAAAAATAGTTTTTTTTAATCAAAAATGTTAACCAGGGAACAGTCATTTTGCCACGAAGCATTCCCTGTTTTGCGTTTAGATTATTTTTAACCTTTGCCTGCCTCTGCATCATGCAAAATTAATTTACGAGCTCATTTTTTGGGTCCATTCACCACCAAGCATAATTTATTAGATTTTACCTTAACGAGAAAACAACAAACATCGATACAGAATAAATATGTTTATAATGAAAGAAAAAAAAAAAATAAGAAACTGAACGAACACAAATTGAATTGTCAAAGAAATTTATAAGCTAACTATTAATACTTTAATTTTTATTTTCTTCTCTTCCCCATTTTGCGCGTTTATGTTTGGAGAGTGGATGAGGAGGATTGATAATGGAGGATGTGGATGAGGATTTATGGAGGATGTGGAGGAGGATAAGGAAAAGGATATTTTGATGTTGATTTTGGATGGAATTTAGAGGAGGCAGGATGTGTCTATAGATCTTTATAAATATGAGTATATTTTAAAGATATCAGGAATGGATTTGGATTTGGATTTTGGAATTAGGATTTTTCTGTGCCCTTCGCTAGGACAACGTGGGATGCAGTATCCTATGGCTAACTCGCGTCTCCGAGGAGGAGGATAAGGAGACGGAGAATTTTCATTTTGTGCTGCACGCTTGTGGATATTGTGTCTATCCTTTGGTCATATCATGGTATGGGTAAAACACATTTTTGGATGAGGTGGAGAAGGAACACACAATTTGGCTTGGACAGGCTCTGCCGGACTTCCCGCCTCGCCTCTCTTCTCTTCTCTTCGACGGGATTGGGATTCTATTGGAAATGCTCACATGCGTTGTTCTGGCCTTCTTCGGATCGCTCCCACAGACACTCGCAATCACACTCACACAGGGAATCCGCGTATTTCGAGGCCTTTGCGCCCCAGTCGTTGTCATAAACAGGATTTGCTGTACATCATCCAACGTTGCTAGCAGCCAACGCTGGATAGTGGATAGTGGTCCTTGGTCTGCTCCGCCTCCCTCTTTCTTGCCTCCTAGCGGTATGTTCGATGTTCGACTCTATTTTAACATATTTTATTTTGCGTTTTAGTTTTATTATTTACTTAAAATATTCTTACCAAGCTCTTTCGTCTCCATTCGTGTTGTTACCTTCGGAACGTTACGAAAACGTAATGTGGGTTTCATTTAATTTTATTTTTCTTGTTTTTCACGTTTTGAACAGAAAAAACATTGAAAATTAAGTTCCGCTTAAGTGGCCCACGTCCTTTTCATTTGCATGAAGTTTCTTTTTCCCGATCTAATGTAACAATCCGCAAAGAACATAAATTCTTTTTAAATGGAGTTCTATTCTACATATTTAAGTTTTCTAATATAAATCTTGATAAAAATCATGAACATATAAATAAACCGATTTTAAATACAACTAATTTGTTTTGTCTAAATGGGATTTTAGGGGTTGACTTCATTTTTGTAGTTTATGGACAAGGCTTAAAAAAATTTTAAAAAAGCGTGGAAAGGCTTTCATAAATTCCATTTCTTTTACAGATAAAAAAAACAATTATTTTAATGCGGGGCGGGGCACAGAATGAATGACTACATGGGATCCGAAAAAAACTAACTTATAAAGATTTAAAAAAGGTTTCTACATTTAAAAAAATGATAGTGTTTTTCATAAAAATCATATTCATTTCTGAAGGATGTATAGAGTAGTACTTTATAATTTAATTTTTATTACCAAAAATTTAAAGTAAAAGTTCTTCAAGTTTTAAAGGACTGACGATTATTTACATCGGAGTGACCAGAAAAGATGGTTATGATATAATTATAAAATTACCATTTTTGTAGAAAATAACACTATTTTTTTAATAATTAAATAAAAAGTAGTTTTTGTACAAAAATTAAAAATATCCTAATATTTGAAAATAAAAAATTATCCTGGAAAAGATTTTGAGAGAGAGCGAACAAACAGGGTGACTCCCAGACTCTTTAGTCAGCTGTGCACAGGGCGATTCGGAAGAAACGGCCTTGAGGGGGATGGTTTTCCACCTGGTTGAATTTCAGCTGGTCACACGACAGAGTCTCCCGGTTCGCGGAGGAGGTCAAACGCAAGCAGCAGTACTGCCAACTTATCGTTGTGGAGGCCCTGTTGTGCTCCAACTGCTCCACAGCCCCAACTGGTCACACTGCTCCAATCGAACCGACCGAGCGAACGTGCGTCGCGGATATTTGAACGCGGACTCCCGCGCTCCGACAAGACTCGCATGTGCCCCGGGCCTGCGGCAAAAAGTGCGCGAAAAGTTTGGACCACCACCGCTGGACAGGAGCGCCTATACAATACCACCGGGAGTGATCATCCACTAATCCGTAGCAGTGTTAAGACCACAAGCGAAGGTGAAGGGCTGTAGAAGGTATTGTTTACCTGGCCGCCGTGTGCATTTAGTGCTGCCGCCTTATCAGCGGCATTTTCTCCACTTTTATTGAACCGGATCGGGCACTGATATCTGCCGCCTCTGCCGAGCGGCAGCTGTTAATTGTACAACCAATTACCCGGTTTATCATCTAACTTGAAACACTTGTGAGCGACTATAAACTATAAATAGACGGTGAAGTGTCGAAATGAAATCGTGAATCGACCTCAAACTTAATTTGGATCGTGTTTTTCTGTGCAAACATAAACTGGAAACAGATTTTAGAAAAAAATCAGAAACTTCATCATATATCCAGAAGGTAAGAGGAACTGCATTTACACCGATGTTTGCACGACCGTGGAATTGCTGCGATCGTAAAAATCGCCAATTTAAAATGCAGTCTAAGCAAATCACTGCATGGGGAATTATTGTTCTTGTTCTCCACTTGAAAGGTTTTTTATTGATCATAATTTAAAATTAGCTTAATGGACTAGGGCAGGCCAAGCAGAACTATTGTTTATAGTTCCCATTAACAAGTCTTGTATTGGTTTCTCTGGCACTTCCGCATAATTCTTCAGGGAATATAGCGAATCCCGATCACTTGACATTGGAAATGCAACCCACTGGGTGTATTGTCATCATTCGTTGCTTGACAGCTTCCTAGGGTGCTTCTCCGGTAATACGATACCGGATTTGTTGCCTCCAGAAGGTGTTGCCTCTTGCGGCAACTACCTAAAACCAAAACAATTCCACCTACCTGGAACTCTTCAAGGCTGCTTTTCACATCCAAGTGCACGGTTAGAAAATCTATTCTACCTTTTTGTATTAAATTATATGAATTTCAAGTTAAAAGGGCCTGTTTTTCGCAGTGTATGGCCGTGTTTGGGTAGGTCGTTAGACGACACCATGCCACCTGAGCGTCTCTAATCGCAGACCCGTCCATCTGCTCGGAGTCTGGTCTCCGGTCTCTGGTTTTTGTCCCACTTCGGCAAGTTAATCTTTTGTTGTGATGAGATGCTTATCACACCTACCGCCGCACTGCGACAGGTGCAGTCTGGAGTTTCCGGTGGCCTCCGAGGCAGAGTGGGATGGGGGGAGACCCATTCAAGTGCCGCAGTACTTTGCGCGAATGATTGACGGCCGGTAACGGCGACCCCTTAACCCTAACCCCTTGTGTGTGCAATCATTGAGCCGCAGCATGCTGGCAATTTATGTTAATTGTGGTTCGTCTGTACTCTCTCTTTTGGGATCGGTTTGGGTTATATATCCGAAAGCTAATATTTTTTGAAAATATTAAACTACGAGGGAGCTAAGCTGGCAATGGAGATAAGCTTCTCTGAAAATTCAGTGAGTAATCATAAATAATATAATAATGTATTACTTTTTAGAGTATTTCAGTGACTAGCTTCCGAGTATTGTGACTAACCGATTCGACTCGCTTGTTGGCTTTCACAGAGTAGCCAAACTGAGCACTTAAACAGGCACTTTGTACTTTTCCGAAACCGAAATGCAATACTTTGTTAGAGACTCCAACAAGTTGGAGCTGCCCGGTCGTCTAATTGTTTTGACTGTGGCAATTTCTCCAGGCCTTTTTCGGCCTACCAGAATCGGAGTCAAAGCTGGAAACTGGTTTCCCCGCTCCAAGCTCCACAATTCGGTCAGCGACGGGTTAAGGCTCATCGTGGAAAGAGAAAGAGGGGCTGCCTGCCGGCCAGAGGCGATGACTGGACCCCGAGGCATCGACCAGGGTAACGAGAACGATCCGTTTTGGCCTTTTACCGTAATCAGGTTTCGGTTTCGACAAGAAGACTGAATGAATGAATGAATGGCCGGCTGAATGAGCGATTGGGGGACTCTATCCAGCTGGCCGGCTCGGCTTGGCCTGGCCCGGCAATCCATCATGCTGTCCTCGGAACTGGTTGACCAATAGCACTTAATGAGTGGACAAGGCGTCGCCGACTCCCATTTGCATCCCCCCTCCGCGGATACCCCACACACACTCATCCCCCATGTAGCATCCACACTACACAGGCACGCAGAGTCATTAGCCGCCGAGTATGGCTATATGGGCTGATAGCATGCCAGACCAGACATGGCACGCATAAAATACAGTCATAAAAATCACCCAGGAGGCGGGCTGGATGGGGCACGCGTTTTGGGCGCCGTTTAATTGCGGCGCGCGATTTGTACGCGACTTTAAACGCCTCAATTTGCATTTCTCCCAGTCGTTAGGTCGGCCTGGTCGCTGGCCGCTGGTCGGTCCATAAGAGGAAATTAAACGCCCAATGGAGGCAGCTGGTTAGAGGGGCGAGTGGTGTGTGAATTAACACATCTAGTCGGGCTATCAATTTCAATTTGGTTCTTTTGTCTGAAAACCGATAAGGACCATTGATGGGGCACTGACACTATCTGGGGTTAATTGGACACGTTTTTGTTGTATCCGATGGTTGGGGGTACAAAGATCAGCGGGAAATCCATCCGTCCAGTGCGTGGATGCTCCTAAGCGAGGAAGGCTATAAAACATAAAAATAGAAACTGAGTAGTAGCCCCCAAGTCGGGTTTAAAAACGTCAGTAAATCGCGTCAAACATTAACTTCAGCCGCAAGGGGTTGGTCCTCGTAATTATAAGCGGCTATTAAAATAATTTAACCCGGCTGGAAACGGATTACCCGGCCATCCCACCACCCATCAGGCTTAACATAATTTTTGCTAATATTTTGAGCAAGGCTTTCGCAGCATAATGCGCTTAGAAAAATATGAATAAAGGCTGCATTAACCTGAATGGTGGCCACGACGACAGCTGCACCAGGAAGAAGGCAGGAAGGGAGGAACAACCTACGGGAAGTCGGGAAGGAAAAGGGCAGGCTCTGCTCTGATCCATGATGAGCTGTGCGGCAAAAACGCGCCAAAAGGCAGCTACGTCGACTGCAGCATTAAAGTGGAAAATCCTGTCTGACAACATTTAAACTAAAAAAGAAATATATATACCATGCCAGCCTATACAAAATATGTAAACAACAACAGCCACCACATAATAAGCGTGAAAAAAGAGGCAAAAATGGGAGCAACTCTCTGTTCCAGACACAGTCTCATTTTCAGTTTCCGACCAGGCCAGGAGCGAGGAATGAAAAGCGAGTGTGGTTGTGGCTGGGAGGAGGATCTCCTCCATCCACAGACAATGGGAACTGAATTCCCTTCTCCAGAATTAAAGTATTAAGATTAAATACTCAAAAACTGAATAAATATTTTCGAAATTCGATCCCAAGGCCGATTCAGCACTAAAACCATCCTGCCTTGCAAATAATTCACGTTCCCGGGCTGCAACAAATAAATAAACAAATACCCGAAAACCACACTCATTACATCCATAAAATTACGTGTTTGTTTTTGAGTTTTCGGGGAAAACAGATTTAATGATGGATGGATATCCCATCTGGGTTTTCCGCAAAGCAAACATGACTAAGAACCACCTCTGCTGAAATAAACATAAATTTAAATTAAATTAATATAGTTTTCTCATTGGTTTAATTATCAATTTTTGGGGTGGCGTTGAAAAGCCAAAATATACATTTATATTTCGCGTGCCAGATGATCTTGAACCTGTAGAGGTTGTTTGATTAATGATGTGTGCAATATTGAGGAACTCTCCGCTGGAATATTTCTCACAATTCTCCCAGCCGGTGCTAATTGAAAATATTTCCTAGAAGCCCGAGTGTTGTATTGCAAAAGCAATTTGTACTGCTGTCATCGTATTTGACTGCGATTAATCAGTGAGTTTTAAAGCCATTCATGGGGAGTCTGTGCCTTGCAGTGCCTTGGCTTGCTCCAGATTTCGGCCTAAAACAGTGACAAATTAAAGTAAATATTTCAAAAAAAAATTTCTGTAAATGTGGCCTTCAATTTGTCAAAGTCAGTGGCAGGTAAGAAACAGGTAAGAAATCCTTTCTTCGGGCCAGAACATGTGCTGTAGGCCCTTTTGTACTTTGGGAGTGTCGGTAATGACACCCCAGAACCAAAGTAAAGTCCCAATCCATAAATAATTCCCCAGCCCCAGAGCACTCCATCAAATGTTCAATTGTTCCATAATGAAATACCTGGCCTGGCCAATCAATTAATAAACTTTTTACGAATGCAATTCCAGCTATGAATATAAACTGGCAAATGGTAATAATAAACAAGCTATTTCTGATTTGCATGCTCCGCTACCAATTCAATCAAGCCCCAACTCTGGCCGGAGGCGTTTATGGCATTGATTGTTGGCTCGGTTTGAGTTATTTTCGCCAAACGATTTGTTTTTTATTCGATTTGTGACAGATTTATGAACAACTGCCCAGTGTAGTAGAGTCTAGGGTAATTGAATGAAAGCTAATCTCTCTAATTGCTCGTTGACTCGAAAAGCTTGTATTAAAGATAACCGATGGAATTTTTTCCCACATTCTACAGACGGATTGGTGGTAATTGGTGCGTAACTTTTGCTTTCCCCATCCGGATTCTAGACTTCCACCGGGTTTGCAGCCAATGGAGCGTGCCCAAAAAAAAAAAAACATTATTGCCATTCGAATTGTTTGTCTTCCTGCTCGTTGTTCAGTTGATGGCATGAAATCATCGATGGGGGAGCTACACTACTCTGTACTATACAACCTGTTTCCCTTCTACCAAGATCAATGACTTTGGAAGTTTAGGGAGCCCAGGGGAGGCTTATCAGAAGGGCTCTCAGTGCTCGGGCTGTTGATAAACTCTGGGGCGGCATGATAAATGGACAGCAATCAATAACGAGGAGCAGGCTGTCCAGTTTATTTACCTGCAATCAAAACCGTTTATGTTTTTTCCCTTTCAGTTTGTTTGTCTGTCTTGTATGTAAATAGACACGAGAGGCACAAATAGCCGGGCAAACAAGCCATAGGAGGAGGCACTCTGCCAACGCTGCGTATACGCAGTGGGTGATGAAGTTTCTTGTCGATGGGGGCTTCGATTCGATTCGATTTTGTTTACCCGACTTCAAGGTTGCCAGGGCTTTAATTTGCATTGTTTGGGTGTTTGCATGTCAAGCCGACACTTTCCCAAAAAAAGATCCGAGTGATAACATGGCAGAAAAGTACTAACTGGGCCAGTATTGTGCATACGCAGTGTTGCAGTCGAGTCGTAAAAAAAAAACTGGAAAGCCAAACTTGACTAAAAGTTAAGCGGCAGCTGTTTGTTCAATAAAAGCCAGATAGCCTCAGGATCAGGCAGAACGAAGTGGGGATACTCTTTCTGCAGAGGTGTGTGCTACACCCCTCACTCCCTAGTCCCTCCAACAAATCCCATTAATTCGCATTCACATTCACGCTGCAATCATTTTCTTGAGAGCTCCGTGCACTCAATTAAAATGCCAAGTTCAGCGCCTGCCAACATTCAAAACTGACAGCTGACAGATGGAAATGTACTTACTCGCCAAGGAAAGCCGCGTCCAGGTCACGGACGCCTCTCCACTCCACTTCCTTTCAATCCCCGCTTCCAACTATCAATCATTCAGAGACAGGTGCAAAATGTGTCAGTTCACGACGGTCCTTTCAGGATGGCTTCTGAGGAAATGTCACTGGCTTGAGCTGGGACGGTTCTCCGTTTTAATTGAGATGAATTAATGACAGGGCTTCCTTCCTGATTAAGATTTCCCAAAAATATACATTGTTTAACTTATTTGATTCTTATTTTTCAGATTAATCGAACAGAGATCCTAATTTCTTAACTCCGCTTGAACTTTGAACTATAAGGTGAGTTAACATCGCTCCTTATATTGTGAGCTCTTCTTGAATGAAATTTTTGGGATGAAAGGCAATTAGCTGGAGTTGTAAGTCATAAAATACCTTACCGTCTTGGCCTTTCAACCATTCTCCTCCATAGCCTCTCGAGGCTCTTGAGGCAATTGAATTCAATCCCCCCATCCTACAATGCCCCCGAGGGTGAAATGGGCGTCTAATTAATGTGCAAAATCACGCGTCTGCATTTAATTCACTTTGGGGCCTGGGAAACCTCCTCCAGCTCCGACTCCTGCTCCTGCTCCTAGGCGAGTAAGCCACTCGAAAGATTGCCATTTTGGCCAGCATCTCGTCGTCTATTTAAGGGCATTGGCTGGCAACATCATCAGCTTCCCAGCAAACGCCATTCCCGCTGATGTCAATTGTCCTTTATTGCAATTCCTTCATTAGGCCCGCGACTTGGATGGCATTTTAATGCAATTTTTATGCGCATTTTTGTGCGATGTAATGTACCCTGCCTCCCTCTGGAAAGATAATTTCAATCGTAATTCATATAATTCGCTATATGGCTGCCTCAATAGGCCTTTGTTGTGTCGCCCTGTAAGTGCCCCCGGGCCGGCTTTCACTTCCAGGGAGTGCTCGGTTGCCGCTTTTCAGTGGGTCTGCTATGAGAAGCAATTAGATTATTGTGGTTCCAAAGGTATCAGATGCCTTGACATCAGATTTTCTAATAGAATGGTTGTCTAACTTGCTAGCATTAGCAGTTGAATGATATTTTTCACAAGTAATGTGCTAACAAACATTGCAGCCATTTACAAGTTGCTTCTTTCGGAAATGGCAGCTGTTGCTGTCGGACAAAATGTTTAATTGGGCATGGAAATGATTTAATCCATAAAAGTGCATTAAAAACACATAAACTTTGAAGCAGAAGCTCGTCTGCCAAGCAAACATGTTCGGCATCCGAGGAGCGACCACAAAAGCGCCATCAAAGTGTCAGAAATGGAGCAGACTCCGCGGCACAAATCCCTGCTGCCGGAGTCTCTGAAGCTGCCGGAGACATAAATTAGCTCATAATAAAGTTCAAAATAAACTACGCCGCCGCCTCAAGTCTATAAAAATAGCCTCCAGTGGGGGAAATAAACCACATTATATATTTGAGAAGACATAAATGCGTAAACAAGACTGTATTTTTGGATAATCTTGAGGTCAGTCAGACGAATGAGTAATGTCTGGTACTAGTAGCTAGTAGTTATAGTAGTCTCCCCAAAAACACAAACCATACATACGTGGGAAGTTGTAGCCACACTTTATTAAAATAATAAATGTTAGTACGCCATGACATCGTGCACCCTCCGGAAACGGGCACCCGCCTGCCGCAGGGTCATGCCCCGGGTCTCCGGCATTATGGCCGCAAAGACCACCACACCCACCGCCAGGATAATGCCCACGGCCACATAGTACCTGTAATAGTAGGCAGCGCTGGAGGAGAACGTAACGATCACAATGATGTGGATCACCTGTTCCAGGCACACGATCAGACCGATCAGGAAGGGCTTCACCCGCATCGGGAAGGCCTCGCCCAGGTACGCCGAGGAGCTGCAGACGAAGAAGCCGGCGAAGAACTGGAAGGCCATGTCCAGCCGGCACACCTGCCACATGAAGTAGTAGTCATACACGTGGGAGTAGTCCCCGTAGACTCCGGCCATGCCCAGCATCAGTCCAGCCATGCAGAGCAGTCCCAGCAAGGCGGAGAACTTCCGGCCCACCGTGTCCAGGACGCCGATGGTGATAAGGGCGCCGATCAGCCGCAGGATGGCGAAGATTATGGGAGGCCAGGCGTCCACGGTGTAGTACACGAAGGTGGTGCTGTACTGCAGGGACTGGGAGAGCGGCATCGAGAACGTGAATGCCACGAAGCAGCGGAAGAGGAGCAGCTTGAGGAAGGGCATCATAGACTCGCCGAACTGCTCCCCGTAACCCTGGCTGCTGCCTTCCACCACGTACAGCTTGGCCTCCTCGTAGGCCTGATCGCCGGCCTCCCTCGTCCAGTAGGCCCCCATCAGTCGCTTGATACTGTCCCGTGCCTTACTCTCCTGGTTCTGCCGGATGTAGAAGATCGGCGACTCGGAGTTGACGGCCACGCTACCGAGAGCGAAGGCGGAGAAGACGATTCCGAAGATGCCGTGCACCCGGTTGATGGTCATGTCCAGGCTGGTGTTCCACTCCGCATCGTAGATCACCTGGATGGCGATCCCCAGGGCCAGGCCGTACTGCTCCATGGCGCAGCAGGAACCGCGGTTGCTACTCGAAGCCACCTCGGCGGCATGGATGAGGAAGGGCACTGTTATGAGGCCTATTCCCACTCCACCCACGTACCTGGCGGCCAGTATGGACTCGTACTGGTAGGGGGCACTCACAAAGATGATGGCATCGATCAGATTCATTACTCCGCCAAGACCCTGTGAAGGATGAGAGAGTTAGGGGATGTCCATTATGCCTATGGGACTAGTACTTCTTACATAGAAGATCATTTTGGGCAGGAAGGAGACTGTCAGTGCCGATACCACGGCTCCAATAATGACTCCGATGAACCAGCTGTACTGAAACTCCAGGGTACTGTTGAAAACTGATTCATTCAGGCTCCATCCCAGCCCCTGGGCCATGTCCATGCCTCCATAAATAAAGAGTAGAGTGGCTAAAGAAAGAAATAGGAATTTAAGGGGTTCTATAACACAACACTTTACAAATATATAAATAGGCAGATATGATATTATTTTCCACTATTCATTCCGAATTCCGAATGCCAGGTTCCGAAAACTTCGACATTTATCTGCCCGCGGAATGTAGGAATTAGACAACATGCCAAAACCTTGTCAGACAAGTCTTATCATCAAAACATTTCTTTAGACCCATGTCTGTACTAAAAGCTATGCTAGATTTCCACTAAAAGGTACAACTCACCAGCTGTTCCGGAAAAAGCCTGTCCACTGGTGGCCCAGCGTCCTGTATTGGGAGCTGTGACCACAACCACGGGTGGCGGCGGTGGCGGTCTTCCGGTGGTGATGTACGTAGTCTGGCCTTGCTGAGGACCCGAGGAAATATAGGTGGTTTGCTGGGCGGGATATGGGCCCGCGGTAACATAGGTAGTCGTCATATTCCCACACTTACGTAACCGAGAAGTGAGGTTTTTACTTCCAAGGAGCACGTTTGGTTCGTTCGACTTGGCTGCTAGTAGCGGACTGGGCTTCTTTTTATTAATTTTTGCCGCGTAAGTAGTAGATATCAGCATAATAAATATCTAGCCGCCAGATAATTGATATATATTATCAGCTGGTAGATACTCGTGTTCTCTCTTTTACGGTAGGCCTGCCAAATGCCGTGATTCATGCCGCGAAAGCCTCGATAAGTCCTGATAAAGTCATTGGAGCGTTCAAGGGCCCTGGCTCCGAGGCGAGGTTACTCACCACTCTGTGGGATCCTAGTCGAACAGTCAAATGGATCGCTGGCAGTAAATGGACAAAGTTCAGGGGTGAGACATCGCCTTGGAGGGGTATACCCCAAAAAAAATGGAGAACCTCTAATGACGGATAAGCTTGTGTGGTTGATACATTAGAATTAATGGGAAATGTGTTATCACTGGCCAGTAATTGATTCTATTAACAACTGTCAGAGATAAAATAATTATCATAGGATAAGATAAACGCTATCATTCCCCTAAAATGTTGGGTTTGTTTAAGGTCTTTATTCGTTGGGGAAATAAACTAAAAGCATCTCAGGTTGTGCCATCGCTGGATCCTCCGGCCGGCCTCTCGAAGGGTCAGTCTCTTCGTCTCCGGCATCACGACGGCGAAAAGAATCACTCCCAGCAGCAGGATAATCCCCACAGACAGATAGTAGTGGTAGAAGAAATCTGAGGATGCCTGCCTGTATCCTATTATATTTATGATGTGAACCGTCTGCTCGAAGCCGACCACATAGCCCACGAGGAGGGGCTTCACCCGGAGCGGGAATGCCTCGCCCAGATAGACAGGCGAGCTGCAGACGAAGAGGCCGGCAAAGGCCTGAAAGGCCACGCCCAGGCTGCGAATCTGCAGCATATCGTTGAAGCTCCGCACGTTGTTGGGGTCCTCGTACAAGATGGCCATGCTGAGGATCAGGCCAGCCATGCAGAAGAGCGCCACGAGGGAGAAGAGCTTCCTGCCCAGTCTCTCGAGGAAGGCCTGGGCCACGAGGGTGCCCAGCAGACGCACCAGACCCCACACAGTCACTGGCCAGGAGGCGATGTAGCCCTCTGTTAGCAGGGTGCTCGAGATCAGTGAGGTGGTGAGTGGAAGGGAGAATGAGAAGGCCACAAAGCCGCGATAAACCAGTACCTTCACCAGCGGCACCAAGGACCTGAGGAGCTCCTTCCAAAAGGTCATGTGCCTGCTCTCTTCCACATAGCCCTTGGCCTCTTCGAAAGCCACATCCACCTTGTAGATAAAGTTTCCCAAGATCTTCTCCTGACATCGCCGGGCCGTCTCCTCCTGGTTGCGTGTTATGTGGAAAATGGGCGATTCAATGGAAAGGCTGGTCAGGACCAAGCCCAAGAGGCAGAATACGATGCCCAGAATCCCGTGAATTTGATTGACGGATGAATCCCTGTCGTCCACATACTGGGAGTCGAAGATCACCTGAATGGCAATTCCCAGAGCCAAGCCGCACTGCTCCATCGATCCGCTGATTCCGCGATAGTTGTCCGACGCCACCTCGGCACTGTGAATGATAAAGGGCACTGTGATGAGGCCCACTCCAATCCCAGCCACATAACGAGCTGCCAGGAGTACTGAGTAGTTGTAGGGAGCAGTGGCGTACATGATGGCGCCAGCTAGTTCCATGAGAGCTCCCAGAACCTGGAAGGATGTCATGAAAGGGGATTCTTATTACAGAGCTCATAGAAAACCTACATAGAAAGGCATCTTGGGTATAAAGGACATGGCCATTGAGGATATAGCAGCTCCAGCCAGCACTCCGATGAACCAACTGCACTCGAACTGCTGGGAGGCACTGGCGTTCAAGGTCTGATTCCATCCGGAACTGTGGGCCAAGTCCATGCCCGCGTAGACGAAGAGAAAGAATACTGCAACCGGAGGGGATATTTAAATGAAAATTTTAATGCCCGATGGACTTCGTCACCTGAAGCGGCCGCACTTAGTTGCCTGCCCATTTTTCGCCAGGATCCCACATCGTTGATCCTTATGGTCACCACTTCAACTGTGGGTACAGGTGCTTCCTGTGGTTCTTTAAAGATTACTGGAGGTGTTTGGACTCTTCCGATCTCGGCGTTTTCATAAATAACCGTCATATTTTCATTCCCAATGTGCCACATTCGAGGTTTTCTCTTCGAATGCCAAGTGCAAACTGCAGTTTCCTCGGAAATGGACAATGTTGTTAGTTACTTAAGACCATTGAGGTATTATCTGTAAGCCTTTTCGGTCCTATTGATAATAAAAGAAAGCCTCAATAGTGCCGATAAAATTATTATATATTTTGTAACTTGTATCCTTATGAACACGATTTATAGACAAATCACCTTCTTGGGTTACAAAATAAGGGTTTTCATATGTTTACTCTGTAGATGTATCCAACCAACCCTGCTCCTCCACAAACTCCATTATATCTTTAAAGTTTTCCATAAAAGTACTACCTATATTTCTTTAAAACATACTAGTTATAATACTAAGAACTATAATATTATATACATGGCTCTCATTTTATTAGTCTAAAGTATAAGTCACCAATGAAGAGTACTTCCTGACCAGGCTTATATCATCCTTATATAAAGTAGTTGCTGGAAACGTTTTCCGGATTCTCGAAGGGTAGTCCGTCTCGTCTCCGGCATGGTTACAGCAAAGAGTATGAGGAACACTACCATGATTATGCCCACGGCCAGGAAGTACTGAAAGTACACCTCAGAGTCTATAGTGGTCATGCAGGCAAGGACGATGAGGTGGACCACCTGCTCCATGCAGACGATGAAGCCGACGAGGAAGGGCTTCAGACGCAGCGGGAAGGCTTCCCCCAGGTAGGTCGAGGTGGAGCAGACATAGAGTCCGGCAAACACCTGGAAGGCCAGGCCGACGTTGGAGGCCGATGCCATGGAGTACCAGTTGGTGATGTTTCCATAAATGCCGGCCAGGCCCAGCATCAGGCCGGCCATGCAAAGGAGTCCCACTAGAGACGCAGCCTTGCGGCCCACCAAGTCCAGACACATCAGGCCTACCAGGACGCCGATGACGCGCAGGGCGGCCCAGACGTACATCGGCCAGGCGTAGAAGTAGCCAATGGCCAACCGGCTGCTCATCACAAAGGATCTGACCAGCGGCAACGAGACAGAGAAGGCCACGAAGCAGCGGAAGAAGAGCATCTTGATGAAGGGCAGCACAGATCCCAGAAGATCCTCCAACAAGCTTCGGCTATGGCTCTCTGCCACATAGATCTTGATTTCCTCCAGGTCCTTTGTTGCCGAGGCGGGACTCAGCTGCTTCTGGCACTGACGCGCCTTCTCCTCGTGGCTCTGCTTCAAGTGGAAGACAGGCGATTCCACCACAAGAAGGCACAGGAGCAGACCCACTACACTGAACACTATGCCGACGATGCCATGTACCAGACTAGGCGACAAGCCCACGCTCTCCCATTCGGTGGAGAACCACGCCTGGAAGGAAATTCCAATGGTTATTCCCGCCTGCTCCATTCCGGCTCCGACGCCACGGTTATTGACTTGGGAAACCTCGGCATTGTGGATGAGGAACGGCACTGTGATCAGGCCGATGCCCACGCCGCCCAAGTACCTGGCGGCTAGAATGGATTCGTTATCATTGGGTACTGCGGTGACGATAATGGAGGCGATGAGTTCCAAGACGCCGCCTAGAACCTGTAAAGGAAAGGACTTTAGGTAGGGTATTCCTTGGAAGAAGAGTTTATGATGGTTACTCACGTAGTAGGCCACCTTGGGAATGGACATCATAGTAACGGATGAGCCCAAAGCTCCAATAATGAATCCTATGAACCAGCTGTATGAGAAGTCTGACGTAACCAGGAAACTATAGGACTGGTTCCAGCCCAAGCTGTCGGCCATGTCCATCCCTCCATAGATGAGGAGGAAGAAAACTAGCAAAGGAATCAATCTTTATGGAATCATACCAATCATTAAAAGAAAACCCCAACAATACCTGCATTTTGGACACACATCTGTCTATTTCTTTGGAAGTAATTCCTTGAAGGAGTGACTCTTACAGTAGGATTTGGTGGTTTTGGAGGCTCTGGTGGTGGTGCAGTGGCCACTACGATGACCTCCCTGGGGGGCTGAGGGCCCTCAGTCACGTAGGTGATTTGCGTTCCACTCATTTTGTTTTCTTTTATCGAAAGTCGGTGGAGGGAGTGGATCGTTCGTTGGTTCGTTCGTTACTGAGACGCGAACAGAAGCCAACCAAGGCATTTAAATCACAAAAGTGTGGTCGATAATTAGGTGATACGTAATTGAGTTTGTTATCACTTTATAGATACAAGTGGCCTCACAAATATCTTTCTATCGAAGTGCCTCCCTGGCCTTCACTGTGATTCAGAATCACTCCATAAACGGGGGAATCTTTCATAGTAGTTGCCAGGGGGTTGTGTTATTTTTAGCGCCTCTGAGTTGTTGACAAAAATATTGGATAATCAATCATAGGAATATTTACATATCTATACTTTTTAAAACTTTATCCTCTAGAGCTCTGACCAAAAGTGGCTTTCTCTATTTGTTATTCTAATGGAGCGGCTAGAATTGAATTATTTTAGCCCCCGGAATGTGTAGCTCCCCAGCGCCTGTCTAGTGTCTTCATTATTTTAGCCGCCAACCGCCAAGAGAGCTAGGCATCGGGCTCATAATCATCTTGGTGGAGGGACTCGGCGAGGGCACTCGAGTGCTTTGCTTGAGTTGTCTCAAATTGCGTAATGTCTGCTCCAACATTGCCATTTCCATTAGCTCCATCCAGCAAACAGCGAGCACTTGATGCCAGCCAGCGCACAACATCTTCGCTGGAGCCAATCTATCTTATTGCCCCTCAAACTGTCAAATCGCGCCACATGTCCCACGGTCCGTGGCACATACAGATACAGTGGGCACTGGGGAGTCCGACGGGATGGGTATGGGAGTCGGGGTGTTGCCAGTTTCTGTCATTTGACGCTCCTCGACAAATTAGCCAAATGCGAAGCCATCAGAGCTCCAGATCCAGCCACAGCCACTTCCACATCTGCAACGCCGTCTCCATTTCGTTTCGGAGGGGATTCAAGTACATTTTAATGAGTTTAGGCACAAAGTTGTCTAATGGCGTAAAAATTATGAGCGCCAACATATGGCCTCGGGTACCAGATATGGGCATGGCTGTAGTTGGAGATGGATCTGGAGATCTGGGCACTTGGCACTCGGCACTTGGAACTTGGCACCCAACACCCAGAACACAGCACACACCACATGGCACATGGCATATGAGGCACTTTGCATAAATTTCTTAAGTACTGCCTTCGGAAGAAACGCGACAATGTCTGCCAGCCAACTAATGGAGTCTAATTACTCCGGACGACAGCCTGTCGCGAATCTCTTGGCTAATAAAAACGTATTAAGACAGTCCACAGGCATTTCCCCAACTGTCGTTTATTCATGTGCCTTATTGGCTTCTCCAAAGTGCGACATATACAGAAAAATAATCGTCACGTGACCATCAAATGTGGTGTGCCGCTTTGGTCCGTAGATCCTCCAGCTTGTGGTTTCCAGATTTCAGCTGCCGCTGGGCCAGGTGGCTCTTCACCGACTTGGACAGGCATTTCTGGGCGAACTTCACCACCAGCATGAAGTAGACGCACTTCAGGGAGAGGAACATCACCCTTTTCCAGTTGAGATAGGTGCGTGGCCAGGAGGAGTGGTTGGGCATGGTTGGTATGTCCAAAATAAAATTTAAACGGTTAAAATTTTTACTTCAATAAAGGCCTAATAAATGACACTAAACTCGGGTATACCTTATGCTTTTTCGATAAATCATTTTCTAATTTAATTTATTAAAAAAAATAAAAATACTTCCAATTGTTTCCGCCCGGGATTGAACCGGGGGCCTTCCGCGTGTTAGGCGGATGTGATAACCACTACACCACGGAAACTCTTGCGAGGGCTGCTTTCAAAGTTTCGTTCTTCAAATAAAATTATTCAATAAATTATTTAATATAATATATGTATCTTTTGTACTCGTCCATATGTTTCTCTATATTTATACTTTCCGGAAAAGAATAAAAAATAAATAATAAAAAAACAGTTATTGCCGAAACCCGGGATTGAACCGGGGACCTTTAGATCTTCAGTCTAACGCTCTCCCAACTGAGCTATTTCGGCTGTTGTCCAAGTCCCGACAAACTAAAGATTATAAGCCCCTACGAGATATATTTTATTTTTAGTAAAAATGGAATAGTCCCTCTTTCAGGAAATCCACAATCGCACAATCATCTATTTTTAAAACACATTTAACGGGATGCAGAAATAAATCTTAAAAATTTAATTTAGCTTCCCTGTCTGTCAAAATTTTAGACATTTGCGAAAATGTACTCTGACACGGGCATGTCTTAATAGGCGTTCCATTTATTCTAAAAAGACTTTTTGCAGCTGCAGCTGAAATGGACTTTCCTGCCAAAATATGATAATAAAACGTGAATATACATATATTCAAAATTTGTAATAATTTCTGGGCAATAATAAAAACGTTAGCACCGAAGCGCCTCAGACACATGGCAAGGTTACATTAATTAGCATTTGTTTAGTTGGCAAGCGTTCAAAAAAACATTTTCTGATCTCTGAACTTTAGCGAGTGTCCAAAAACAGATATTTTAAAGGCAATAAACCTTACAGAAACGACAATTTGTGTTGGCCATCATTTTGGCACAAATGTTTATGCATTTTTCGAGTACAAAATGTGCTTATTTCATTCCAATTGCCGAACCTGATCTCGGAGGAGCTCTGCTGAAATCAAAGTCCACTGGCCAATGCCTCGGGCATCGGGCATCGGACAGGTATGTCTCGTGTCCCTGGAGGGCGTACAACTCGATCCGAAACCCGAGGTGGAGCACCTTTATATGGTGGAGAGTGTGAGTGTGCAACTAATGCGGCTTCCGTTTGACGCCCGGCGCTGAAAGCTGATCCGACCCGAACTTGGACAGAGGTCTGAGTCAGCCGCCTCCGATCCGAGAGTCTTCATCATCTTCGCTGCCGGCCTGCCTGCCGGCCTGACTATCCCTGGCCTTTTTGCAAATGATTCACATTCTTGAAAGGCGATCGTGTGGCAGCCCCAAAATTCTTTTGAAAACGAATCTGACCCAGCCACGCCCACACTCCAGCCCCGTGGTTGGATATGATTTATGGCCAGGCCGGAGCATATCGTCCAAGGCAAGCCGGCATTTGCTATTATTTTAATTGTGCTCGGGTTTGTGTGTCATGGAGGCCTTTGGGATCTCTATATAAAACTATATATAACTATAGCTGTGACGACAAGACACAGCATTCCGCTGATATGTCAAGAGAATGTTTAGCATTTTTGCTCGAATTTCTATTTTTGGTCGCTTTGGGGCCAGACCTTGAAGACCAAATGGGAATGATTAAAGTGCCCCTAGGGGGGAAGACCTTTATTGTTCGATTTCTTGAAAGCTCCATAGTTCTGGGTCTCTCAGGTCTATGAACTGATAAAGTTGACTCAAGTTTTTGGGGCCGATAAGGGGAAAAGTATAGCCAGATAAGAAGTGGAAATCGATTTCCAAGAACCCAGCCAATGCGCAAAAACCCATTAGGGAGTAGGCCACTCTCCATGGAGAGAACCCCCCCTGGTAATTGTTGGCAAAACAAATTATATGCAAATGTCAGGCAACTATTCAGACATCCTTATTTCTTGGCCACAGAAGGCAGGAGGGGCACTTGGGCCGGTGGTGGAGCACTTGGGTCGAGTGGAGTCGAGGACACTTTTAGCAGCCGTAGCCACTGACGTTGACTTTTTGCCGGCAGTGTGCATTGCAGTGGAAAATAGCTAAGTGGGTCACAATTGGATTTGATTTGTTTATGCCACAATAATAAAAACAACTATAGGAGTTGACTTCCTGACTTGTTTCGGTTCAGGCCACACTTGGAAATTATTTATTATGCTGGTGTGTTGTCCCAATAGAGCAATTTCAGCAAGTATACCTGAAGTTTTCTTACAACCGACTAACTTTTAACCTTTTCAAATGGCCAAATACTAGTTATTGGCTAACTATAACCTGTAATTGAGTTAACTGCTGAAATTCTTGTTTCCAACAGCTGCAGCTAATTACATGGTTATCGACTAAACAAAAATAGGAGTCATAATTTAATAAAATATAAATATTAGCCTGCCAATTTAGCAACTCAATTGCAAACCCAACCAGGGCGTTACCCTCTTCCAAATTGACAATAAATTGAGCTGAACGGGAATCTCGGCACTTGACGGGTCACTCTCCTTGTTATATTTCTGGAAAAAAATCTCACAAACCTCAAGATTTATTGGCAGTCATTTCGCAAACAATTTGTTGCCATTGAATTTTATTGTGGCGACTCGAGAACACGACTTAAATGTGTTCCGCCCCAGTCGCTCCCTCACGACATTTGTATTTCTTTTATTTCCATTAACGGTACGCTGCTAACCCACTCCGATTCCGATTCCCCCACAATTTGTATATATTTTGTTAATGTTTAGCGGCTTTCTTTTTAGACCAGTCTGGTTCTGGGCCTGTCGTCTGTCACTTGTCATTCCCCAGAGTCATTCACACTGGGTTCCGCCTTGAATAATGTCTTTATCCCAAAAACAGTGTCATTTCGGTGATAATTTTTCATAATATTCGGCAGGAAGGCATCTGAATAATTAACGCTGTGATTACTTCTGGATGATTGCCTGGCTTGTCGCTCTCATAATCCTTCTGTGGAGTACTTGAATATTACAAGTCCATTACAAAACTGTCACAACATGTTGGGGTTTAGCGGGTGGAGTGAGCCAAACGCAAATTGGCTTACCGCAAAATCGACCTGGTGTCGCCCCATAACCTCCGCCATAACCCCCCGGCATGTTCTGTGGGTCTTTGGGTTCTGCAATGGCTGTAGGCGTTGTGGGACCCATTAAATATGCATAAATCGAACTGGAAAAGCCGCCAGCACCGGCAGGCAGCACCGAAGTAACGAAGATGCTGCACTTTGGTATGCGTGGGAGGAGGGATGTGTGGGAGGAAGTTGTTCAGAGTCCGCCACGGCGTGCATGAGATAGCTTTTAAATAGTTAGTTAAGCGTTAAATTGACTTGGCAAAGCCATCAACTGGTCACATGTCAGGCCCAGACCCAATCCCTAAGCGGCGTCCCCCCTGCCTTGCCTTGTTAATTGCATAATTAAGCGCAAAGTTGGACTTGGCAGGGGCCTCGGCCTACGCAGCAGTTGCTCCACATTTGCAGACCCACTTGGACATGGCACTGTGGTTCTTTATATATAGTTATATATAGCTATTTTCCTGTAAAAAGAGCTAAGTTTTTTCTTATTTGTCCTTAATAACCACTGTGCCTTGCTAGACTGCTCCATTGGAGACCCCTTTCTTGGGATTCTCCCCCTTGAGATGCTAACATGTCCACTAATGAGTCGCTAGTCCAAGTCGCAGACCACTCCAAGTTCCTGGCAATGCGTTGCGATCCCGGCCTGATAAGGCGGAATTTATCATCTGTGCCTGGCTGTCAGATTAGTCCACATAAGTCTATTTGCATATTCATAAATCTTAGGAACGAGGCGACCTGAGGACTGGCCAGCCACTACAAGTTCTGCATCTGCATCTGCAGCTCTCAAGTGGTCTTCGGCTCTAAGCTAATTGAAATATGTATTTACATTTAATTGAATGCTGTCTGCCAGCTTTCCCTTTTATCCCCCAGTTGGCTTCTGTTCCGTGTCTGCTGAGTAATCATTTTGTCCACGGAATAACAACCATCTAGGGATCTAGGGATCATATAATATATATACCACCAGTTTGGCTTCAGGCGGCGACACGGTACGCCAGAGCAGTGCCATCGGGTAGTGCAGTGCATCCTGGACGCGTTTGAAACCAAGAAGTACTGCATGGCCGTCATGCTGGACGTGAAGCAGGCGTTTGACCGAGTCTGGCATCCCGGTCTTCTATATAAATTAAAGACTGGCCTACCCCGACCATACTTCCAGTTCCTAAAGTCGTTCTTGGAAGACCGTAAATTTGCTGTTAGATGTGGCGAGGCCATCTCCGGTATTAGAGAAGCTCACGCTGGTGTACCCCAAGGCAGCGTTCTTGGCCCGTTGATGTACAATGCTTACACGGCCGACCTCCCTGTTCTTCAGAGGCCTGACCTGCTCGCAGCAACCTATGCAGACGACACCGCCTTCCTTACCACCGCCGATAGCGCATTGGGGGCAGCCGATACGATGCAATTGCAGCTTGACTTGCTCAGCGACTGGCAAAAGCGATGGAACATTGCCGTCAATAATGAGAAGTCCACTGCCTCCACATTTTCTCTCTGCAAAGGCAACTGCCCTCCAGTTAACCTTAACGGCTCTCCAATCCCACAGGTAGACAATCCCAGGTACCTGGGATTCACCCTAGACAGAAGGCTCACCTGGAAGCCCCATCTGATTAAGAAGAGGAAACAGGCTATTCAAAGACTTCGATCCTTCAACTGGCTTATGGGTAGGAGATCGAAGCTGAGAACTTCCACTAAACTCCTCGTTTACAAGGCAATAATACGCCCTATCTGGACGTACGGCATACAGCTCTGGGGAACTGCGAGCAAGACGAATGTCCGAACTATGCAAGCTTTCGAAAATAGAGTCCTTCGAATCGCCACTGGGGCCCACGTCTATCATGACAATCGCACCATCCACGAGGTTCTCAATTTCCCTTGGGTCAAGGACGAGATACAAAGAAGCAGCGCACGTTACATGCAGAGGCTTCATAATCACCCGAACCGGTTGGCCAGCTCCCTGCTGGACAGCAGCGAGCAACCCAGAAGACTTAAAAGGACACACCCGCTGGACCTCCCCTACTACTCTAATTTTTTTTTTTCTACCATATTAATATTTAAAAATATCTATACGTGAAGTTTACGTGATAAAATTTAATGGTTGTCCCTAATGGACAGTTTTAAATAAACATTACCCTACTATTACAAAAAAAAAAAAAAAAAATATAATATATATAAAGTTTATGACTTGAATCTGTCGAGTCAACATGAAACTCTAACGCGTGAACTGATGATCAGATTACAAATATTTACTTTTTAAAATAAACAACAGGGTTCTCTATAAAATAATACGAAATTCAAACCACCTTTCGACCGAAAACAGAAACCTATAAAAATGCCAACCATCGAAACTTAAAGAAACTGAAAAGCATCCTTCAAGAAAAACTCTGTAATAAAATTTTACGATCGCTTAGCAACAAGCACGACTTTCAATCGCAAGAAGATGGTCTCGGAATTGGAATTGCTTTGGACCTGGGTGATGGGAGCTGGAAGATGGGGGGACTTGGTCAGTGGATGGGAAAAGGACACAAAACGAAAGTCATGAAATTCATGAATGAATCAGGAAATCGTGTTGCCTTTCATCCTCCCTCCTTGCCGCCTCGAGCTGTCCGGGTGGGACTGGACAAGTTTGGTGCTGTTGCCAGGCCGGGCACACGTTCTCTGTGGTCCAGGTCCAGGTCGGAATGCCCGGCTCCTCCTCCTGCTCCCCTGCGCATGCGTGACGTCTGTCAGCAGGCGACAGGAAGATGCCGCACACAAAAAGTGCCAGACTTGGGTTTGTTTGGTTTGTTTGCCGAGAAACATGTTTCCTTTTTTGGTTCCAGGGATTGTTGTGGAGTGGAGTAGAGTGGAGTGTGAGTCTGGCTGGGCCTCAAACTTGTTCCCATCCCCGTGGTTTTCCTTCGGGTTTCAGTGGCCATCTAGCAAATTGTGCTTCCAAAATAAAAATAGCCTTGGAACAAAACAAGGAAGCTTCATCTGTCAAGTGGCGGAGGGCTTCCAGCTGCCAATGAATGCTGCCACTTTAGTTGGGCTTTCAAATCTACTGCAATATGGAGGAGAAACGAAAACAAACCAATCACATTCCTGCTAAAATATTGCATTTTAAATGAGAAAGCCAACAAAGCTCAAGTGGCTGCCTGAATTGGCCAAAATCCATTCATCCATCTATCCATTTACCAGCCGGATATTGTGCATTTCCATTTGTGTGCTGTTTCTTTTTTTATTTGTTAGATTGCATATTCAACTAGATATTTTTTTAGTTTTCTTGGAAATGTCAAAAATAAACGAACTCCACACCCAAAATTGTTGTGCAGGAAGTTTGTTTGTGGGGATTATGCAACAATTGAACTTTTTTATGGATAGGGGATTGAAATATAGTCCGGTTTCAGAAAGGCTATGGCTTAAGGCTTTAGAGGAGTCTTGGGAGAAGTCAGACCTTTAAAAACTCTATTAGTAAACTATAAGTTAAGCCCATCAAGGTCTTAAGGTGCTCAGGTGGTATTTGACTTGCAAAGAAGTCCCCCATGAAGTCTACTCCCTCCGGAGAAAGCAACAAATAGTGGCCCAACGACCCATCACATAAATCACACTTAAACGGCCCCCGGAAACCTCTTTATTGCAAGCCGTGTGGGTGGCTCTTGGGCTCTTGGGCGAGGTGGCAGCTCAATGCCACATAACAGGCATAAGTTGCACAAGAAAATGCACGTGGATTGGACTAAAGGATAAGGAATAAGGGAAAAAGGAAAGCATTTCCAACGCAGTTTCACTTAACGGCGAGTGGCACATAACTTTCAGCAAGGACGCGAATACACTTTACCGCAATCAGGAGCCTTCTGAGTGGGTGGGTGGTTGCAACCTGCAACTTGCAACCGCGCGCTGACAGTCGCCGGCATTTCCTGATAAGTGGACAAAGTGTGCATCGCTCTGATTTTCAGCATCTCCTTCGCTTTTTGGCCAAACAATCTTGGCTGGCACTATTTGGCGGCAAGGGCACTCGAGTCGAGATGTCTTCGAGGTCAACTGGTGCATGAATTTCGGGGCAGGCAGAGCACCAGCTGCCAAACCGTCAAGTGCACAGCAGCTGCAACCGAAATCAGGTTCAAACCGGAGGCATCTCAAGGGGGGGCAGGGCAGTGGGGCATGCAGCATCTTCGATGTTCAAACGAAGCTAAAGCGATTCACTCTTTGCAGGTCACAGAACCATGACGAAATCCTAAAGCCTCGGATTGTGAAGCACTGTGAACGGGAAAATTCGTGACTAGCCCGACGATGCAGTGCTCCAGTCTGCGCCTGGCCATCGGTGGCCTCATACTGCTCCTCTTTGTGCTGCATGTGCTCAGCAAGGAGCCCTCGGTAGGATCACAGCACCACGACCATCACAGACAGCGCAGTCGCTCCGCCAAGCGATTCTCGCGCGACTCCAACACGGCCCGGGAACGGCGGCCTAACATCATTCTCATCCTGACCGACGACCAGGATGCCGAGCTGGGATCCCTCAACTTCATGCCGCGCACCCTACGCTTGCTGCGCGATGGCGGGGCAGAGTTCCGGCACGCCTACACCACCACGCCCATGTGCTGTCCGGCCAGGTCCTCGCTGCTCACCGGGATGTATGTGCACAACCACATGGTGTTCACCAACAACGACAACTGCTCCAGCCCCCAGTGGCAAGCCACGCACGAGACCCGCTCCTACGCCACGTATCTCTCGAATGCCGGCTACCGCACCGGGTACTTTGGAAAGTATCTGAACAAGTACAACGGATCCTATATCCCACCAGGGTGGCGGGAGTGGGGCGGTCTGATCATGAACTCCAAGTACTACAACTACAGCATCAACCTGAACGGCCAGAAGATCCGACACGGCTTCGACTACGCCAAGGACTACTATCCGGACCTGATAGCCAACGATTCCATCGCATTCCTGCGCTCCTCCAAGCAGCAGAACCAGCGCAAGCCCGTCCTGCTCACCATGAGCTTCCCGGCGCCACACGGCCCGGAGGATTCGGCGCCGCAGTACAGCCACCTGTTCTTCAACGTCACTACCCATCAGTAAGAAGATTCCAGAAGATATTCTCCACTGTTCTGACTAATCTCTTTCTGCAGCACTCCCTCGTATGACCACGCCCCGAACCCGGACAAGCAATGGATCCTGCGGGTCACCGAACCCATGCAGCCCGTGCACAAGCGCTTCACCAATCTTTTGATGACCAAGCGCCTGCAGACCCTTCAGAGCGTGGATGTGGCCGTGGAGAGGGTCTACAATGAGCTGAAGAGTCTGGGGGAGTTGGACAATACCTACATAGTGTACACCTCGGATCACGGCTACCACCTGGGGCAATTTGGGCTGATCAAGGGCAAGAGCTTCCCGTTCGAGTTCGATGTCCGAGTGCCGTTCCTCATCCGTGGGCCGGGCATCCAGGCCTCCAAGGTGTAAGTAGCTTCTACCGCATCTCTTACTTTTCTGGTGTCTAATCCGATTGCTTACTCTTCCCAGGGTCAACGAAATAGTGTTGAACGTGGACCTGGCTCCCACTTTCCTGGACATGGGCGGAGTACCCACGCCCCAGCACATGGACGGGCGCAGTATCCTTCCGCTGCTGTTGAGCAGGAACCGGGCTGTGCGCGACAACTGGCCCGATAGCTTCCTCATCGAGAGCTCCGGGCGGAGGGAGACGGCCGAACAGATCGCCGAGGCAAGGGCCCGTCTCCGAGCCGATCGTCGGAGCATGAAGCTGGTTAACAGCTCGCTGCTGGAGGACTTTATTGGCGGAGGCGGAGAGGACACCACCCCAAGCATCCTGAGGAGCAGCAGCACCGCCGCCACGCTGCTAGGACTCTCCTCTACCACATCCACCCACCAGCAGACCGAGGACGTGGAGGCTGATGAGGACACGGACCACGAGGACGACGATACGGACGATGGCAAAGGAGCTATGGACAGCTCGGCGGCTCTGTCCGATGACGAGGACGTGGAGGATGTGGCCGCCGAAGAGGGCGACGAAGAGTTGGACGAACAGGATTTCCTGCACCATTATGGCAACGACTTACCCATCGCTCCCTACATAACCAAGATGATGCGCCTGAACTCCGAATGCTCGGATCCGGCTCTTCTAAAGAACTGCCTTCCGGGGCAGAAGTGGAAGTGCATAAACGAGGAGGGGCGGTGGCGGAAACACAAGTGCAAGTTCCATGTAAGCTCCATTTATAAAATAGGAATCGGCATGTTCTAATATTTATTCTTTATAGCTACAGTTGGAACAACAGTTGGCCACCATGCCCCGCAAACAGTTCCAGCGAAACTGCGCCTGCTTCACCCCGGATGGCGTGGTGTACACCAAGATTAGAGCACCGTCGTCCGGCATGCATCGCGTAAACAAGCGAACCCAACACGGTCATGGCCGTCGCCGGAACAAGCGGGAGGTGTACCACACTGAGCTGCCCTATGAGATGGAGGAGCTCTTGGATCTCCACCAGGCCGTGGATCTCCTGGCCGAACACTCTCATCGGCAGAAAAGAGATGTTCCTGCAAACAGCAGTGGCGGCAACGAGACGATCACACAAGTCATTCAACAGATACAGACCACTTTGGAGGCCCTGGAGCTAAAGTTTAATGAGCACGACCTGCAGGGCTCTGGAGCCAGTTCCGTCTCCAGTTCCAGTCCGTTTGGGCAAGAGGAGAAGCTACCGAAATCAGGTGGGAAAGCGGGGCATCGTTGCTACGTGGACTCCGCCACGAGCAAGGTAATGTGCTCGGATGTGGTGTACGATGACGAGAAGACGTGGCGCACCTCTCGTGCCCAGATCGACATGCTTATCAAGCTTCTGAAGGACAAGATTGGAAAACTGAAGGAGCTAAAGAAGCAGCTGCGGGAGAACAACAAACAGGCGTTGGCCGCCAACCGGAGGAACGAAAACAAGCGTCGGAATGAGGCCCATCTCACGGAGAGCGGAGCAGGACCCGAGTTCAACATGAGTTACTTCACCGATGTGAGCAGTACGCCCAAGTCGAGTGTGGCTGGTGAAAAGGAGATATTCCGGGGATACGGAGGTTCCAATTCCTTTGATTCTGTGGAGCAGCCGCAGACTCATCATTTTGCTTCGCGGGCAGAGTGCTACTGCGAGCCCGATGTGGGCGAGATGTGAGCCAATCCCATATAATCAGTATAATCCCATTCTAATCCTTTTTAATCCCCAGTAGCTATGCCGACTCTAAGGAAATGGCTCGAGAGGCGCGCAGGAAGCTGAAGGAGGAGCGCCAACGCAAGAAGGAGCGCAAGCGCATCAAGAAGGCTCGCCTGGAGAAGGAGTGCCTTTCGGAAAAGATGAACTGCTTCCTGCACGACAGCCAGCACTGGCGCACGGCTCCCATGTGGAATGACAGTCCCTTCTGCTTCTGCATGAATGCCAACAACAACACCTACTCCTGTCTGAGGACAATAAATGCCACCCACAACTATCTGTATTGCGAGTTCACCACGGGTCTGATTACCTTCTACAACTTGACTATAGGTGGGATTATCCAAGGAACTCTTTAAATCTCTTTACTAACCAGTTGATTATCCCTACAGATCCTTTTGAGACCACGAACCGTGCGGCAAGTCTGACACCCGGGGAGAGAGCTCACATGCACGACTCCCTAGATCACTTGAAGGGCTGCCGAGGACGCAGTTGCAGCATCAAGCGACACCAGGGTCAGTTGGAAATCGGACCAAGTACCCCACTCCTGCCAAGTGGCGTCAACCAGGTTCAGCGCAACAACAAACGAAAGCATAGTAAGATTACAGAGAAATTTTATTATTCTATATACTAACGCTGATCTCTCGAAGCTCCCCTCTCTGGCACAGTGGCACAGAACTACGCCTTTGTAGGTCCTCGACTGGACCAGGACGGATTTGCCCCGCAAAACCGGAGAAAGCTTTCCAAATACCATAGGTATGGCTTTGCCAAATGAATATAACCACCAGCTAATAAAATGTGCTCTTCCAGATGGACCGGATCCCAGCAAACGCACCTGAAGCGACGACCCTGGAAGCAGCAACCACAGGCTCAGATGTCGCCAAGATATCCGGCCGATCAGCCCGTGACCACCTCGATGGCATAGGCTGGAGGCCGTTTGGAAACTACTGCCGAGTGAACAGCACACATATCTTACGCGTACCTTGCTTGCCTGAATTGCTCCTCAGTTTGGTTCTGCCCACATTGGATTTTTTCATACATAAATAAGACTGTGTTTTTAATCTATCTACTTATGTTTAGAACTCGTTTATTTAACCGAACCGAATTGGCAATATTGTTAGTTGCGAGCACAACGTTTTATTGGCTCTAAGGCGCCCTGATTTGTACATAAATTTAAAGGGGAAACAGCAGCCAGCGAATACAGAATGCTACACACTTGCATACACTAAATAAATTATTTAGAAAAATTGGTTAAAAGTTAAATTAGTTGAGAATTTATATAGTAAAGAAATCGATTAGCTGTAGCGAACGAAATCCAAATGAAATTCTATTTATTGGTAAATTCTAAAGAAAAAACGCTATGTATATGTAACGATCAGTTGTCAATATGTATTAGAGGATCGAAGCCGTATTTATGACCCACTAGATACGTTTTAATTGTTAAGAGTCCTGCGCCCCCCACCTCCATCCGAACACTCCCAAAGAAGTTTAGTAGCAGTTTCACCGCTTCTTCAACTATTAACCACATTGTATCTGCCACGTTAACGATGTCTTAATATTAGCTCTCAAACTTAATATATAATTCGAATATACAAACAAAACAATAAATAAAGTTGCAAATAGTACACTTTTATCTACCGTATTCCATAATTTATTGATCTATAAATTACAAAACAGAAACAAATTTGATGGCCTTTTGGAGATAGGAATTTATGAAGCAGGTTCTCCAAACAATGAAGACTTGTTATGATAATAATTGCTTATTTTCACAGAGTATTCCAATGTAATATATGGATTTTTGTGTTTATCTTTCTAAAAGATGTGTGTTATATTACTAATAGTAATTTACTACACTTCTGGTTATTTAGGTTGCATACTTTTTGGCTTGAGTACAAAGCTAAGATGTAAAATAGAATGTTTTTAGCCATCATGATTATTACGTTTATAATTTAGTTCACAAATGAAGTGACTTATTTCCTTGGAACAAGAAAATTAGTTCCTCCGTCTACTTGGGAGTTTACAGAAAAAGCCACAAAATATTTTTTAGATTTTTGTCAAATTTTCTGGGCAGACCCCTTCCAAAATGGGGGAAATGCATGAGAGGTCCATATGGCCCAGACCGAAAGCCATATCTTTGCCAAAAGTCATCCGGTTCTTGAACGGAGTACCTTAAATGAATTGTAGGCCGATTCTCCATCAATGTGCATCAAAATCCAGGAACAAAATATTTTTTAGATTTTTTGTCAAATTTTCTGGGCAGACCCCTTCAGAAATGGGGGAAATGCATGAGAGGTCCATGTGGCTCACACCGAAAGCCATATCTTTGCCAATAGTCATCCGATTCTTGAGCGGAGTACCTTAAATGAATTGTGAATCGATTCTCCATCAATCTGCATCAAAATCCAGGAACAAAATATTTTTTAGATTTTTGTCAAATTTTCTGGGCAGACCCCTTCCAAAATGGGGGAAATGCATGAGAGGTCCATATGGCCCAGACCGAAAGCCATATCTTTGCCAAATGTCATCCGGTTCTTGAACGGAGTACCTTAAATGAATTGTAGGCCGATTCTCCATCAATGTGCATCAAAATTCAGGAACAAAATATTTCTTAGATTTTTTGTCAAATTTTCTGGTCAGACCCCTTCAGAAATGGGGGAAATGCATGGAAGCTCAATATGGCCCAGACCCAAAGCCATATCTTTGCCAATAGTCATCCGATTCTCGAGCGGAGTACCTTAAATGAATTGTAGGCCGATTCTCCATCAATCTGCATCAAAATCCAGAAACCAAATATTTTTTAGATTTTTTGTCAAATTTTCTGGGCAGACCCCTTCAGAAATGGGGGAAATGCATGAGAGGTCCATGTGGCTCACACCGAAAGCCATATCTTTGCCAATAGTCATCCGATTCTTGAGCGGAGTACCTTAAATGAATTGTGAATCGATTCTCCATGAATCTGCATCAAAATCCAGGAACAAAATATTTTTTAGATTTTTTGTCAAATTTTCTGGGCAGACACCTTTAAAAATGGGAGAAATGCATGGAAGCTCAATATGGCCCAGACCGAAAGCCATATCTTTGCCAATAATAATCCGATTCTTGAGCGGAGTACCTAGTCGCATATCGGACATATTATTTTAATCTTTGGAAGGGGAAATATAATACCCTGGAGTGTATTTCAAATTGTTTTGTTTGGCTTGGGTCTTTTATTTAGCCTATCGCATGCCAATGGCTTTTAAGATTTACTGCAGCCCCTCCTGAAGTATATTTGGTTCAAGAGCGTGGGGTTGAAATGATAATATTGGCTATCAGGCAAGAATATTAGAGATTAACTGGCTCAGTCTGCGGTGCCACATATATGATTTTGCAACAAGTTAAGGTGTGTGCACTCTGCCGAGATTACGACTAATAGGAATGATAACATCTGGATTGATAAGGCCAGTTCCGAGTTGGAAACACAACGGGGGGAGTCATCGCCATCAGCATCATCATCACAATCGTCAAAGGCGCTGCCCATTGAAAGATGTAAATAAGATCAACCCCAAGGCGCTAATTGAGCCACGGAGATGTTTTCAATCGCTGACAACTCGGTTACCGACTGACAATTCACACTTTGACACTTGACGCGCTAATTTACGCTGCAATCGAGGGGGGGTCCGGAAAAAAACTAGCGCCGGAAGGGAGGGTATGTAGATGTTGTCGCCGCGACAGCTTGGCTCGTGCGGAGAACGCACTCTTATCTCAGTTATCACACAAAACCGAGAGATAGCGCTCTGCGAGCGGGAGCGTTTTGAAACCGGTCTGCGTCTTTCGTCTTTTTTGGGGAGATATCGTGCTAAAAATTTACGCAAGCAATGAAGTTATCAGCTGGAAATTGTGTTTATTGTGGACTAGGCATTCAACAAAACAACCCGATCACATGATGAACTTACCAAGCCTAGCAACAAGGCCTCGTCCATAGGTTCGCAGCCACTTTACGATTCGCATATACTGCTATTGAGAGATATCGTGCTGAAATTTCACAATGTTCAGAATCGCGACAGTACAGGCCAAGCGGGGCCTGCCTGAAATCGGTCTGATCATAAAAAACACTTTATGCCCAGGCACGTACTTGTTTTCGAACTGAGGAATTTAATTCAACTGCGAAATTGGCCCAATAAATTGTTTTGGCCATGTTCTGAACTTTCAGATATATAAAACAGAAGAAAATATTATTCAAATTCATTACATTCTTTATATATTTTTACAAGCTGAAAATGTTTAAGAAACCCTTACTATTAGAGATATTTCTCCTGGGAAGTTCGTACCTTCGTCTATCATAATTTCAGGTGTTTCTCTTGTGAATTTTCCACATAATATTATTTAAAGTTGTAGTTTTTGTTTAATTTTCTGTAGAGCTTGCCTAGTAGGAATTTTTTTTACTGTCTATTTTTGACTTTGGTGGAAAATAAAATATAAAAGAAACGCATTTCACATTTAACCCCACAAATGGGGCTTACATTTTAAAGGTATTTTACTTAAGGGGACCCCCCCCCATTCTCGATTTTAAATTTTGACAATTTTCAATGGGCTGGCAAATGAACATAAATTATTTTTTAGGGTTGTAACTGTGCTTACATATATTAAGACACAAAAAGGAAGAAAATCATTTCACAGAATTTTTTTTTGTTTTGTTTTTGTTGTTGTTTTTTGTGATCAAAGAAAAGCCCTTCTTTTCGGCGGCGCATGTGATTTCCGCTCACTGGAACACCTGAATCCAAAAATTCCAACGGGATTAGAAAAAGTACATGTTTGGCTCTCGTATGAACTAGGATTATTAACTTCGCTCAAAAATTAACAAAATGGCGGATCTTTGAAATTTTTTTTTTTTAATTTCCATTTTTTTTAGCCACAAATCGAGTTGAAAAGTAAAGAAGATCTTCACCGATTTGATTTATCCTAGTTCATACGAGAGCTATATATGTATAGAATATCGTGTTAAAATTTGGAATCGATTGGATTAATAGTTTTTGAGTAACCTCATGCGCCAGTCGTAAAAACACTGTTTCGAGAAAAACGCGTTTAAAGTTTTGAGACGGCTCTCGCCGTCGCCTGAGGCTTCCACCATAAATCGGCTATATCTTCAAGAGTTTTTGAAATTTTACTTGAAATTTTCAGGGAACATTCTTGAATAGTTATAAGTTCGAATTAAATTAAAAAAAAAAAATCGATTTTTTAAAACCGAGAATGGGGGGGGTCCCCTTAAGATGGAAATTTTAAGATGGGAAAAACCTTACCCTAATTAGTTTGGGGATATTCTATCATATTTCCTCGAACCAATAACCATAAAAACTTAATTTAAAAACAATAGCATAACAATAGCAATAAAAAATAAATTACAATTTGTGTCAATAAAATTTTAAAGAGATTTTAGTGTCATCTTATGACAACTAAATTATTCACACAATTTCACACAAAATATACAATTCCCATTTAAGTTAAACAAAAACTTACCTAATAATTTTACCAATATTTATTTTGTCCAATATATATAAATATTTTTCTCGGAATAATACTATAATAATGTAGTGCTACTGTTTATTATAATTTTTTCAAGAGTAAATGTCATTTTGAGAATTGGATCAACTTCATGTTCTTCTTAAAGACAATATCTTTTATCTTAAATCTTTTATTTCTCAGTTTACTTAAGGTTTATGCACAAAACGTGAAAAAGCTAAGAACTTATCAACACAAACCCATTCCGAATGCTAATGAAACGGAAAAAGTTAAGTATTACGCTTAGAAATTTGTACCCGGAGGTATTTCCATATTTTACCTTTAAAGATTAAAAAAAAAAAGCCCGACTAATTAAAATTTTATTTATAAACGGTAACCATTGAAATAAAGTAGACTACTTCAACTTGTTTATACATTCACTTAAAGTATGTTTTTATTTCTACATAAATACAATTTACAGCTCATAATACAAAACATAAATTTATAATTAATTTAGAAATTAGAAAAGATCAAGGTTCTGCTGGGCAGAGACTACAATCTAGACGTCCTTCTTGGGATGGGCCTCCAGCAGTTTTTGTGTGACCTGCCGCAGGATCTGAAGCTGCTGCTGCAGCTCCTCGGCGTGGTTTTGATGCGGGGATGGATGGGCGTGATCGTGCTCATGGGCATGGCCGGAGCTCGACCTGGTCTCAGTCTCATGGGTGTGTTCGTCCGTATGGCCGGAGCAGCTGCTGTGACTGTGGCTGTGGCCGTGCCCGCCACCGGAAGCTGTAAACAAGAAAGTGAAGTGGATCAGTAGGTTAGTTCCATGGCCGAAGTACTTCTAGCCAATAAATCTATCTGAAGTATAACCTCTTAAGCTCTTAAGCAAGTGTGCCAATCGCAATCTGAGCGCACCCATTTCCCCCTAGTAGCTATAGTCGGAAACCTAGTAGCACTCCTCCTCCTAGGCTGATTTTTGTAAATCGATAGCGAAACATTTTTAGCCGGATAAGCTTAGGAATTGGTCACCGCCGAAACGCTTTTTCGACTAACCCGCTCTAGACAATAATTTATGACCGTTTTGTCCGGCCCTTATCTTGGTCCATATATTTACGTATCCGACTTTCGATCCGACCCCCTAATCGCCTGTGGGTGTGTTAATTGATTTTTTTTCCCGGTATTTTGCCTTTTTTATAGCTCATCCATCGTGTTCCGTGGATTTATGTGTGGTTTTCATCACACGGTGCTTTTTTTCTCCATGGGGCAACCCCCCAGATTTAAGTAGACATCTGAGATGACTTCATGTGAGGGACGGGATTTTAGCGTCACCTGTTTGTTTGTCAAAATCGGAGAGAGGTATGTATGCAAAATAAACCGCAGCAAGGTCTGTTACAAGGCCAGCCACGCAGCGTCCATCCGATCAGCCGAATAGAACCTGTTCCCAATTCCGGTTAAAGAATCTCATCTGACAGCCCGGCGACCGAAGCACTAATTACCCTTTAAGTCAATCTCAACTCTTTTATAGCCTAGTACTCAGTAGTTAAAGCTCATGCCCACTTTAAAATATGAATTCTTAATTGTGAATGAATCAGTGCTAGTCCCTGAATAGTTTTTTAAGGCCAATCGGTACTCACTTATCTGCTGCAGTCCAAACATGACGCAGAAGCCCACGAAGAGGGCCAGGTAGGCGAGAAGTCCCGACCGATTCTTGGAGAGGATCTCGAAGAAAACCACGTATATGAGAGTGCCGCAGGCGAAGCCCTGCAGGATGGCCGAGACCAGGCTGGGGCCTGACGTTTCCTGGCCGTGATTGATCAGGATGCCGATGCCAATCCCCAGGGGACTGACCACCGCGAAGGTCAGCACGTAGAGGACGGCCAGCGTCGTCCGGGTGCGGGCCACGATCAGTTCCACTCCCACGCAGAAGGCCAGCACCAGCTTGTGGGCGGACACTGCTCCAAACATGAACCACACGTTGCTGGCGGTTCCCTCCAGGCCGATGGCCATGCCCTCGAAGAGCTCGTGCAGCGACAGGGCGGACACGATGAAGAGGCCGCGCAGGGAGGAGGCCAGCATGTCTCCCGCAGAGGCATCATCCGCGATCACTGGCATGTGGCTGTGTCCATGTCCGTGCCCGTGACTGTGCCCATGTCCGTTGTTGTTGTGACTGTGTCCATTGGCCTGGGCCTTCTGAAACTTCTGTTGCTCCAGATCGCCCTGCAGGAGGTTCTGCACCGACAGGGTTCCCAGCTCGGCGGTGGACTGCTGGGCGGATGGAAGCGGCGGGGCAGTGGCACCCTCGGTGGGCTTCATCAGATGACTGTTCCGGATGCTGTGCCCCCGCTCGAAGGCCGCGCCGGCCTCGTCCTTTTGGTGGTGATGCACGTAGGTGTGCAAGGCCTCCTCGATGAAGTACATGAGGAAGAAGCCGCAGCACATGAGCAGCTCCGCCAGCGGGAAGCTCAGCTCCCCGATGATTTCACACTCCTTCAGTTGCTCCACGACCTCCTGGACCTCGGGCAGCAGGTGCAGGAACGTGGTGGCCAGCAGAACACCTCCTCCGAAGTAGAGCAGGCACTTGACCACCGTCGCCGATCGGGCATTCGTCTGGGTCTCCGTCCAGCGGTAGCAACGGTTCAGCAGGAAGGGTATGGAGCCGCAGATGGCGCTGGCGCAGAATAGAACCACCATGGCGGTGACCTTCGCCACCAGCACGCTGCTCGAGTCCTCCTCCTCATCGTCATGATCGTGGTCGTGGTCGTGATCATCGTCGTCGTCGGCGTCGTGACGGGGTGATGCCCAGTGGCTAACGGGCTCATCGATTTGCAGGAAGCACTTGAGAAAATTATTCACTTGCGTTTGATTCATGATTTCGCTGATGAGCCGCTTTTGTGCTCCGCTTGTTTTGTTTTGATTTGCTTTGTGTTTCTGGTATGTTTGTTTGTTTTTTTTAGTCGGTTTTCCACCGATCTCTCGAACCTGCTACTCCACTCAGGTCCACACTCCTTAGCTCTTGGCTCAAAACTCTTCCAGCAGCGGCATGTGTGCGCTCGGAATCTCAATGGGCTGGGCTGTGTGGGTGGGTGGGGCTCTGTAACATCTATGGTAGCTGGTTGGCGACTTCTGCAGTTGCATTCCAGTTGGGTTTTCACTTTTTTTTCTGTTTCGACCACTTTTCTTTCACCTCATTTGAATTTAGGAGATCACCGCTAATTGGTAGTACAACTCGACCGATTTTGTTATAAATTCGCAATCGAATGGTGGGTTTGGGCAGCGCATGTGTGTAGCGCTTGAAGCGGCCTCGCAGACTGACATATTCGAGTTTTGGTAGTTAGCTTGAATATCTTTGCCTTTGCGCGGGCTTCCCAACGCTCGCGCTCCCTGCTACCAGGTTGAACGTGAGCAGCAGGTTAAACAGGTAAGAAAATGCTCTCTCGCTGGCCGGCTCTCTCTCTCTTAGCCACTCGCTCTCTATCTCGTCCACCCGCGAACGTTCACCTGAGTCTCTACTACAGCTACTTTGGCAATAATAATAATTATATCTCGGGGCCCAGCATAAGACACACACATATGTACATACTAACTAACATAATGCACAAAGGCCAGAGCAATTGAGTAATTGCATCCGCTCACTTTGGCTAACTTTTTAAGCCGTCTGACCTTAGCCAAGATGTAGGATAGCGAATCGCGACTTTTACTTCCAACGGTTGCAGCTTCGAGCCGGAAGCATAAAGCTTCGGTTCGTGTCCTGGCTAACATGTAACTAACGGTATTTGCCTGATCTTGAACAAGTGATATTCAGTGCTAATATGGATTAAAATCAGTCAGCTTTTTTAATTTCATAATAATAACTAACTATTTACTAATTTCTGATATGAGTCAAAGCTCTATAGAAGTTTCAGGTCTCTAATTATAAAAACACCTTAGTTACAAGGATTTTTTTCATAGGTTTTTGAATAGGATTTAATCTTTATTATATGATTCTGGAAATTTCTAGCTAACTCCATCCATTTAACAACTTTTTAAAACCCATTTAACCCAAAAGATAGAAACACCTGATAAATTACTAATTAAAGATTCCTAATGGAAGCGTGGACCGATCGTGAGATGTGTGTTAGAGGTAGCACATGATATCCTAATTACTCCTTAATTAGATCCTAATTGATCTAATTATTTTGTTTATAGCATGATGTCGAATGGATAAATATTTTCCATAACTGATCTTAAAGACAAATAAAGAGCTCTCCATAAATTTTGTAAACGCATATTATTTTATTTTTTTGTAATAATTTTTCATTTATTTTGGTTTCATTTTTTTTTTTTCAATTTTTTTGTTTGTTCTTTTGTTGGTTGTTTATCTCCTCCTCCTTACATCGGTTTATGCTATAATTTTTTGTTGTTGTTATTGATGTTATACTTATAAATTAATAATAAATCATTTTTACACAATATTTAAAGTGTATTTTCGCAACCGAAATAATTCTCCAGTTGAGAAAATATGATTTCCAATTACCGTCGTTCGTCGATCTATTAGAATTAGAATTCTTTCATTTCGATTTTCATTTATATTAAAACTGCTTTGCCGCTGTTAACAATGTTAACTGCTTTACCTGCAAATAGCAAAAGGCCTGCGTGCGCTGCTTGCTTGCCAACCGTTACACGTTTTAACTTCTCTCTGTAGTATCTGTATCTGTGGTGTGTTGTATCGCAAATATGTTCTATATTTTTGTTCTTTTCTCTTTTGAATATATATACAGTCAATAGGCAGATACCTAGGCCACTCTGTCTTTCAATCTTTAATTGGGGATTTCTTGGTCCTAACATGGATATCATTTTGAAGAAGAATCTCAAACATAATAATTAGAATAGATTTACTAATTTTGGAAAAGCTTTAATGGATGTATGGATCCTGTTGGTTTGGAAAACAAGCCCCAATTAAGGAATGACAAGGCACAGTGGGTTAAAAATCTGTCCATGGCTATACTCGTGATTCCGTTTCCTTTTTTTTATCAACATTTAAATTTGATGTAGATGTACGTTTATGTATAATTTGTTATACTTTAAGTTAGGTATGTATATATATATAAACTAGTGCGATTTGTTATTCGGATACTCATTTTTTCCTGCTGTTTTATTACCTTATTTGAAATATCCATTTAGCGTAATTTGTTTATTTTCAATATTTTTTGTTTGTTTTTTGTTGTTATATATGATACAAATGATTTTCGTTTAACTATACAAGAAATCTGGGTTAATTTCATATGCAATGTTATTCATGTAAAATTGTGTTTTTTTTTTTATTTTAATTTTTTTATATTTTCATGCTAGAAAGATTGCGAAAAACACATTAAGTTTTGCCATTTTTTTTGTTGTAAAGTTAACGCTATTCTGATTTCCTTTTCTTGCGGTGTATGTATATTTGTAATAAGTATAAAAAATTTGTTAAAATATATATTTATATGTATATATATATATATATAGATTCCACATACGATTTTTATTGATTCTAGCTTTACTTTTCACTTTTCATGGCGGAGAGAGTGTAGAGGAAAACAAATTCGTTCAGAGTCATAGATGTGTGTTCAGTGTTTGGAAATCGGAAAATATATAGGGAAAAGGGGGCGTGGCTGGCTGCAGGCAACTTTCTCGGTTAGTTCAGTACTCATATCACGTAATATATCAAATGAATTACTCAGTACATTAGTATTTACCTATAAGGGGAATGATCTGCTCATCATCCTCCCTCTATAACTTGCACATCATTATAAATGAAAATTTTACCTAAGAAACAATCCCAAAAAGTAAATGCACAAAAATGAATTCGACTACCAAAGAGGATTTCTAAGTTTTGATTTATCCGATACATAGACGTGTATATATATCAAAATACTCGCGTGTGTGTATATATATATAATATATATATGTTTATGTACATAGCTTTAGAAAAGTGCATCCAAAAAACAGAGCTAAACCAAGCTGCCTACGCTGATTGATTGGGAGGTGGAATGGGGATATCGGGGGAAGTCGGGGATATATAACTGCAGCTGATTTGTGTCCGAGCGAGAGAGGCATACAAATGATACTATATATTAGATATATACGTATTATGTATAAGTTGCTTCATATATACCTGCATACATATCGTTAGTTTGAAGTTTTCAAAAATGAATTTTATTTTCGCTTTCTTTTCTTTCATTATAATTTACAAGTTTGTTGGGTTGCGTATAAATATTTCTCATTTTCCTCCTTTTTCTCATTTAATGATACTGCACTAGTTTGTTTCCTTTCTTTTGTTTTTTTTAATATATATGTTGTGTATATATAAATATGTTTTAAGTGGTTTTTGTGTTGTGTGTTTTTAAGTTCTCATCAGTTGGGAGCAATGTGTGGGGGATTCTGGGAGTTATTGGGTTTGGATGGAGGATTGGATGCTCCTCCCAAATCCCTTTCACAGGACACCGACGAGGGGGGAGCTGCCTGGAGGATATCTGCTTGTTTTGCTTGTCGGTTTCGAATTACGTTTGAATTTTGTTTTCTTTTTATTTATAATAGCATTAATTAATAATAATATAATTAATAATTATAATAATTTATATAATAAACGCAAAATTGGTAAATAATAAAAATAATAATAAAATACAATCATTACAATAATTAATCAAAAATTGTTTCATTTTCTTTTGTTTTTACTGTTTTAGTGTATTTAATCATTTACGGTTTTTTTGTTTTGTTTTTGTTTGTTGTTGGGGTTGTGTTTTGTTTTCCTTTTTATTTGTTTTTGTTGTTGTTTTTTTTTGTATCTTTTTATGTGTAATTTTTTATAATTTGTTTTTTTTTTTTTTTGTAATTACAACGGAAGTGTCGGTGTGTTTGTAGTTGGTGTTGGCGTCAACATCGACGCGGATGGAGGATAACGCAACGTGTGCTGCGACGTTGCCTGCTGGATATAATCCTGACTCGGATTATTCAATACGCTATCCCGTGAGTTTGAATGTGAAGTGGCGCGCAGCAGGGTGACTGCCTCGCGTTCTGGACTACATTGTACACCGTCTAGTCATTTTTGGCGCGTCGATTTCTTCTTCTTTCGTTTAAAGAAACAACAACATCTGGAATATAAGGAACCACTGGAGACAGTTAACCAAGGGGACAGAAACGACACGGATTCGGATACGGATACGGGTATGGATACGAGGTTACAGGTTACGAGGTTACGAGGTTACGAGGTTACAAGGTTAACAGGAATTGTGGGAGTTCGTAGAGAGATCGGGCGGAGTTAGGTGGAGTGGTTGGTCGGAGAAAGAGAGAAAGAGAGAGAACAAAAAAACGGAAGTTGCGCATTAAAAACGACAAAGCAAAAAAATTTGCAAAAATATCTAATAGATCTAATAATCATATATCGATATATATTAATCCCCATTTAATAATTTTGTTTAATATTTCTAGGTTTTCTTAGTTTTCTCTCTAATGAAAATGGATGTCATATTTTTCATTCCCTAATTATTATTTAAAAACAAAACTCCTTTTATTTAATTACAGGAAACACATAAATCTCATTATCTACATATCGATATATCGATTAGTCGACCGTTTGTATAACACATACTTTGTTTCATCGACCACTTCCACTTCCGGCTGTTGTGTGATGGGCGTGTTTGAGTGTCCGGCCGTGGGATCGTCCGGATTTAGTTCGCCGTTCGTCGAACTCACAACCTGCAAGAAAATCGTTCAAGAACAAAAGAAAATAATGCATAAAATTGTAACCATTAGTTCAACCACACTTTCCATCAATTTTTTACAACTAAACATACATGATAGACATATTTGGACGATTAACACTTTTTTTTTTTTTAATCCACTTAACTAATCAAAAATAAATTAATCACTAGAGACAAGTCTAAGGATTGGTGGAGGGGTGGGTGGAACATTGAAACAACGAACATATTTCGATTTAAAATTTGGAAAACATATGTAGATCTTTTATCGATTTATCGATTCCTCACTCAACCTACTTCAGAGATTGCCTGTCATGTTAGGTTGCAGATCACAAACATATAGATGAAGGACTAGGACTAGCACACAGACTCACACATCACTTACGTAAAGTTTTAAGAACGACAAGGACAAACAGTTTATATAGAAAATACCTCGCGATAGGGTTGAAGGACGCTAGGAAAGGGCTTAGCTTATGTAGAAGAGTTGTCGTTCGAGTCTTAAAAGTAGCAATAGTTGTAGGTTCTAGTTGTAGTATCAGAGTAGTAGGTAGAAGGAGAAGTAGGTCTTGTAGTAGGTGGGTGGTGGTTATTTCTTAGGGTCGTCTTCGGTGTCGCTTTTCTCATAGTAAGCATCGAAGGGGCTATCGTCATCCGAGCTCGAATCTTCAGGCAATCTCTGTAATAAGTTTGGGTTTTGGTGTTTTCTTTTCAACTCTATCACATGCCAATGATGGTTTGCGTTTGCAGATCATGGAAGATGGACATCCTCGGGCCGAATTCTCACAAAAATCGAAATCTACTTGGCCTATTCAGGCAGAATTAGTGTGATTCTGGAGGTGTGACTGGTGTGAACCATGCTATTCTAAGGTGGTGTATGTCTTGTGTGTGTGTTTGGCATGCAGTCAGGGCTGAGAGGTTATGTCTAAACCAGTGTTGGTTAACCCATAAAAACATGCATTTAGTAATGTGCGAAAACGAAGAAAATCTACAGAGCTTTCTTCTTTATTGTCTTGCATGCATTTTTGTTTCTATTGGGATCCTCATTCATCATTCCTAGCTAGGATTTGACAAAAATAAACATTTTTAATGGAAGATCCGACGAAAAAAATACCCAAAAAATATATATAGAATGGAACGTGTTTAACTAAAATGAACCGAACGCTTGTGAAGTAAACTATAGTGGAGAGGAATAGGAATAACACACGATTTGGAAGAGGAGAGATTTCAGTTCAGTACCTTGTTGAGCTAATGTAGAGTAAATCAAGTGAAAACATTAGAATTGAAAAGGCCAAAAATATAACAGTCTGCGATAGATAGTTCGTTGTAGTAATTGGAGGAAATATATATATATTTTATATACGGATTTTTACTAAATGTATGTACAAAGTCATGTATGAGATTGAGAGAACAAGAGAAATGAGGCGAAATCGTACAGTTCATAACACAGTCTGACTGGGAATACGAGAAAGAGAAGGCGAGCGAGCGATCGAGCGACATAACAGAAATAATCGGAACGAAAACGGAAACGGAAAGAAAAGAAAAAAACGGTTGTACAACACTGGCCGGTTGTCGCAGCGAACTTACCTGCACTGAACCATGCCGATCGGCCGGTGTTAAATTGCCTAAAGTTGCCCCCGGCTTTGGCACATCAGGCCACGCAGCAACACCTCCTTTGGCATTTTGCTGTGGTTGGTGGACGGATGGTGATGGTTGGTTGGTTGAAGTGGATGGTGAAGGATTTGGATAGATATATTTTTTTGTATTTTTTGATTTTGGTTGGGTACAGTTCAGTAGTTCGGTTTGCGAGCGGGCGAGCAATTGTTGGGAAACGGATTTATGCAAAATTATCAGTAATTTAATTATACATTTTTTTCATAAATGTTTCTTGTTTAATATAATGTACAACAAGGAAACAGATTTTAATATTATATGCGAGAGTGTGTTGATTAAAGAGTTTAAGTGAGTCTAAATAATAGAGTAAGCATATCAAGAGTACGCCACAATAGAACCAAAGACAATTATCTTAGACACTTAAAGCGAATCAAAATAAAAATTAAAATCTGGAGCAAAAATAAAAAGTTAAGAACTCTACAAGTCCCAGTTACCAATTTTTAGCAGTTCAGAAGTAAAGTTGTAAGACTATGTTAGTTGAGCTTGAGAATCTACAGCATAATTCTTGGACAGATCTGAACCCAATATTGTGGAAACTAGCATATAGTCTCAATAGAGTATAGACAGAGAAGAGCATTTTAGATCACACTAACCAGCACAGAGATACTTTTCAAGTCTACAACGTCTAACCTGAAGTATTATAAACTCCTCATTCTCAACGTCAACATCATCATCAAAATCAAAATATGAAACATCCTAATGGTATTTTTTATTTAGGAAATAGTGGGTTAAAAAAAATAATACGTTTAATATGAGAGAAAAGAAAAAGTAGAGAAACCAAAAAAGAGAAATTCGCTAAAATATAAAGTTTGTTTTTCCAACAGCCATCACGATAACATAATCGAGTTAATTTATTTTTAAATTCCGTTTCGAACTATGATAGTAGATCTTGGAAATGTTCTAATACTTTACCTTTGCAAGATTATGTCGATCTTTATTTGGTGAAATGATGACTTCATGGCCAGTTTGCAGAGATCCGACGGGCGTTGACTGTTTGGTTGTCAGTAGTTGTAATGTGAATGCATTTTTTTTATTTGATTACACATGTGTTTTTATAATAATGATGCGGTAGTTTTGGTTTTTAAAATACACACACACAGAGAGTTAAACGCACATGAAACGGTGTTGAAAACCGAAAAAAGAGAGAAGAGATCAAGAAGAGAAGTGCGGTTAAATATAGTTTCAATGTGATACCTAATTTTATTATTATTCTCTCTTAAATTATTCTAGCATAGCCGCCTACAGCAACAAGCATTAACCAAAACTTTACAAGAGATCGAGCATCATACATAGCTTTGCAACACTGTCTTTAGTTATACCTTGTCTGATTTGTTTTTGGCCAAATGCGATGGTGGCGCATTCTTAATGACCTTCATTTGGTCCAGCTGTTCCTTGGTCTTAAAATCAAAACATAAAATTGTACTCAGTTATAGTAACTCATATATTCTTTCACTAAAAGGAGGGATATATTTTAAGTAAAACACAATTTATATTTGCGATGGGGTATTTTTTTTTTTTTGTAGTTTTTACTGATACGATTGCTCTTTGATTTCAGATCCTATTTTCTATTAGTTTGTAGTTAGCTCTTTATAAAAAAATATACTTCGGGAATGGAGAAATATATATATATAACACGAATGGAACTGTGGAACGAATTTGGGTCCCATTATTCTGTGCAGCAGCGGCGAGTTAGTTGATTCCAGCCATGTTAGTGATGTTCTTTGGGTTAACTATCATATCATTCGCTGGGATATATATCGGAGGTGCTGTTAATCGACTTCTGTTTGACATGCTCGATGCACAATGAGATGTTGCTGATTTCTGAGTTAAAAGTTAGTCTTAACTTAAGAGTATTTCTATGTTCTATGCTCTAATAGGTCTTGCATTTTGACTATGTCTCCTATAAATTAGATTAGGACCACGTTTTAGAATTCGGCATCAGAGTTATCATATTGGTTAGTATATGTTGTGGATGTCTTAAAAATAATTTAATTCAAAATGAATTCGAAAACTTACCATTGTCTTCCCTGTCCAGTCGAACTCGCCCTCGTCGGTGTATCCCTTACGATCAAATAAGTCTTGAAACAGTCTTCGCAGAAAGTCATAATCGGGAGTTTCGAAGAAATCTAATCTCCGCACATAACGCAAATATGTCGCAAACTCTTCTGGATGTCCATCACAAAGCACCTGTAAGACATATCACAAGTTAGTTGAGAGTTCTATAGGTTTATGATATAAACTATTTATGGTTAACCTCAATAGGCGTTGCTCGTTTTGTATCACCGATTTTTTGATATCTCTCCTTGAGTGTATCAGCCTTAAGGCCTTGCCACGGCAGTGAACCTCTTAAGAAATACATAAACATGTGACCCAGTGCCTCCAGATCATCGCGCCGCGACTGTTCTCGTCCCATATGCGTATTGATTGACATATAACGTGCCGTTCCAGTAAGGGATTTATGTTCCCGATATGGTATATGCCTATTTGTATCTAAATCAATGTATTCTTTGGCCAAACCGAAATCTATAAAGACAAATAAATATTAATATTTAATATATAATATGTACATTATATACTTACCAATTATATGTATAATTTTTTCACGTTTTGTTGACGTTCTGCCGATGAGAAAGTTCTCTGGTTTCACATCCCTATATATTAAGTGCCGACTATGAACATATTCGATCCGGTGGAGCTACATTTGCAATTATAATTGTTGGTTGGTTGGTAAATAATAGAAATAAATATTATTAGTTTATAAGTTAAATGTTTTATTGCAAAAGCAGAACAATGAATATACGTTTTCCATTCGACATATATTGATTGTTCATTATTTATTCATTTTTTCCAAGTTAAATTAGCTTTAATATTAGCTTATAATTGAATTAATTTTACATTTTGTTTCTGTAGTGTCTCAACTTGCTGTTTATGTAATTTTAATGTTGATTTCGCAATTTTAATGGCATTGATAAACCATAATGAATAATAACTAAGGAGTTTCTAGATTAAACTACGTAATTGATGTATTCATGCAAATTTTTTTTGAATTTCAGTACAATGAACGTTTTCTTTCACTTGGGCTGAGTTTGAATGCTGATATTATATTTTAAGTGATGGACTATTTCCAAATGTATGAAAAAATTAAAAAATAATAATAATAATAATAATCATAACTAACCCTCAACCAGGCGACTTGGAGATTTTAAGAGAAAGTGAGGCAGATAGAGAGTCGAGATCGAGAGGGTAAGAGAGGCAACGACCTAATAGTTTGTTGTTAGTGATGAAAAATAATTAAAAAAAAAAAATATAAAAAATTAATAAAAATAATATCTAATCTAAATAACCAAGCAACCTAATAAAAAAAATTAAAAGAAAACACAAACACACCCCAAAACCATATGTGTAAACACAAATCATAAGTTTGGATTCGATCTTATTACTAGTGTTGGTTAATTTTGTCGTCGACTCTACCAGTGTTGTGAATGTGATTATGTGCAAAGTTATGCGCGTGCTTTTTCGATTGCATTTCCTTTTCTGGCATTGGTATTGTTTAATTGGTTTTTGGTGTTTGGTTTTGTGGTTGTACTTACTAATTGTATAGCTATCAGTAGTACGCTCTTCAAAGTGAAACGTCTGCCGCAAATATCGAATAAATCTTCGAGTGATGGACCAAGCAACTCCATAACAAGAGCATTGTATTTGCCGCAAGGGCCGAAGTAATATACTTCTGGTACACCCTCTGCTATCGAGTTATCGATTGTTTGTAGTCGATCGGAGACATGTTTTGGAATTTTTGTTTGGAGGAAGCGAGCGAGTGTTTTTTTTATTATTTTATTCGAGTGTTGGACAGCGCACAAAAGATTTTTGGTTTTTTTGTTGTTGTTTTTGTTGTATTTATGCAAAAATTCGTGAGCGAGATAAAGAGAGATGGGAGAAAAAAGAAAGAAAGATAAGAGATACAACATAGTTTTTTTTTTTTTTTTTTTTTTTCTTTTTATAATAAAAAAGGTATTTTTATTTTGTAGCTGTTCTTCCGTTATTCAGACAGGTGGTGGTGGGCGGGCACAACAAGGAAAAAGATAAAGCTACAGAGAGAGGGTATTGAGATTGATGTGTTGAGATTGAGATTGAGATTAAGAGAGAGCGATGGATATAAACGGCTCATGTTTTGCAGGTTAGTGTAGCGCGTCTTACGATATTACCACCTTGCCGGTAAAATTTATTACATAATCAACTGACTGTGCTAAACACAACAAGAACAACAAAAATAGAGATTCTCGAAGCATATACACACAAGAAGAGGAAGACCTGCTGAATGACAAAAACTGGAGCACAGGAACTCACTCCTCCTCCTCACCTACCAACTCATTCTCCTCCTCCGACGAACCTACATAATTTTAAACCTAACCTAACTCTTGTGCTTATAGCTAGGATTTATAATTATACTGTTTAACTATTGTGTGTAACATTTTCGTAGTTTTGGAATGCATTTTTGTAAGACTTTTTCGATAATTGTGTTAGTAGTTTAGTTAAATTATATACATTTACATTTGTATTTTGTTTTTTAAGAAGAAAAATCAAGGAGCGTGTATATAATAGCAAGAGATTGGTAAACAAAAAAACAAAAAAGAGAACTAGGAATGCCAACTAATAAGTATTAATAATTATAACATTGGAATAGTTATATCAAATGCCTTATAGAAGTTGTTTTGAACTCGAAATAGAGTATACAATAGAGTATATGTAGGGAGAGTATAGTTTGGCTTGTTGTCTATATACAAGGTAGTATACTTATATTGGAAGCCCCTAGGAATGCCAATTTTTGTACATGCTTATAGGATAATTAATTTAGTGGAAGCTACAAAGAAAAATGCATTTCGATTCATTACATCTACGATAAACTTTCGAAACCAAAAACTTGACTAACGTTCATTGCGTGTTTTTCTACTATTAGTTTGTTTTACTTAAAAAATCAATAAAAAAAAAAAATATATATTTTAAAGCCTAACATTTAGCCGTTGAGACACTTTTGAGTCAAAATATAAATTAGAACTAAACAACAAAAAATGAGATTCTTGTAGAGACGTTTTAAAGAGCGGACTTGGCAAGATTTAAAAGCCAAAATTCAAATATTAAATCTTCATCTTGTAAAATCCACTCTTAAATGTTGAAAGATAGTTTGCTTTCGTCCGCAGCACTTACAAGTTGTTTCGCTATCATCAATACAGTCTTAAGTGAAAATTTACGGGCGCAAATATTGAAGAGATCTTCTAATGATAATCCCAATAACTCTAAAACCATGGCATTGTAACGGCCACCGCAAGTGCCCAAATGATAAATGCGTGGTATGCCATCTGGGGCGTTATCGGCTATATCGGATGAGGGAGATAATCCAATTCCAAATTCATAATTCCGATTTGCAGGTCCAATAATAGTAGTAGTTATCATGGCGTGGGGGATAGTAGGTGAGGGTAGTATATTGGTTTATTATTTTTAGCAGACATGCCATCACATAATAGTGTTATGCAAGTTGAATATATCGGTGGTTTGTAGGTTTATAGGTTGGTTGGTTGGTTTTGCAGTTCAGTTTCGAGTTGTGGTTGAGAGATTGCAGCAGACACAGGGAGAGATACATATGTAGATAGAAAAAGAGCAGCGCATGATGATCGATTTCGGAATTGAATTACAATTTAGCTGTGTTTTTATTTATTTAATTAAATAATTCATAACGAATAATTTTCGGGTAATTCGGTGTTATTAGGTACATTAAGTATGTTTTTCTTTTAAATTAAAAACAAATAAATATAGAAAGTAGGCAATAGGCAATAGAAAACAAAAAATGGTACAACGATCCGTATATATAGTTGGGAATATATATATATAGAGATTTTTGGGCAGTGAAGTGATTTTCGAGCTGTTTTTACACTGGCAGGACTATAGGTATATATTATAAAGTTGCTGTTTCTACAATTTATTATTTTATTCGATTTATTTTTTATTTGATTTTATTTTTGAAACTCTTCACGCACCGACCGAGCTCCGAAAATATGCTTGAGAAAATCTATTCATGTTTTCCATTTCATGTATTTCGCAGATACCAAAATATATAGTTTTTATTTCAAAAATTAAAAATAATAGATTTAAACTTTTAAGTTTAAGGAACAAATAATCAAAGTGGTGGTAACGGTGCAAAACTTTGTTTTACTTTTGAGTAGTTTGGAGTTAGTAATAGATAGATGTGGGGCTGGGGGCAGGGAGATAAAGAGAGATACAGACAGTGGACATATAGATCGGTACTCTTCCATAAAGAGGTAGATCATTGGTTAGTAGTTGTTAGTTTGTTTTTTGGTTAGAATTAGAGTTAAGTGGGACGACAGCTTCGGAAAAGTGGGGGGATTTGTAGTCATATATAGATGATTTTGTTTACATACCATGTGATCCTAATAGTTTATAAAACCTATACTCTAAGTGTAGTTGCGGAGCCTTTGACTTCATAGGCTCCATTTTTATTGCTACATGTTCATTGTTGTAAAGATTTTTGCCTGAAAAAAATAGAAAAATAATAATATTTAGTTAAGATAATTATTTTAATAATATTCTTAAAAGAAATAACTAAAAAATGCTTCAAAAACAATCCCCATTCCTTTCATGCTCAGACATGCTTTGAACTGCTTTACCTGACACGCTGTTATCGACAGTGCCACGGCCATTACGCCCTGCAGCACCACCAACACCATTACCACCTCCACCAAAGCAACACATGCGGCGACCTGCCAGGAAATGAAATAACTCAAAGAAAGTCTATAGTTTGGATTCATAATCCTTGCTTTCAATTTTTTTAATTCCTTTATTTTTTAACTTTATTGTTTTATTTTTTTAAGGGAATTGAGAGCAAGGCCTTTTGAATACAATTTGAAAATTGCATAGTTGATGACGAAACGACGCAAGACGCAGACAAAGCACAGATGTAAGTGATGTGCAAAAATTATGTCATGGGAGATTGGACGAAAGAGACGAGAGAGAAGACTGTGAGTGGATGTGTAAGCGCGTGGGTAGTTGAGTGGGAGAGAGGCAGGTATGACCGTCACTGCTTATCACAAAACACAACATTAAAGCATTGATAGAATCGTTTCACAGACAAGCACCGACAGAGGCATATCACACCACCACCATGATAAACAGAGAGCCCCGCATGCAGGCAACGCCCCTCCCAGACAGCCCCCAACTGTCGGTATTTGTTGACTTCTTGGAACATTCTTAAGAGAGGCTGGCTTCCATAAAAGCCAAATATGCACAATTTTCGGTCTACGCAGGCAGAATTCAGAGCCAAGAGTGTGTCATTTAAAATCGTTTAACTTAATGGTTCGACTGCTGACAGAAGCTGCTGCAAAATTTCAACTAAAATGCAAACTAAGCAATACGATAGAAAAAAAGCACACTTCACTTCAAAGAAAAAAACAATACCGTGACCTAACGCAATACTACCACATACCAAATCATTGTAAATATAAACCTAGAATGATTTTTTCCGAACAAGTTCCCTTATAAACAAAACCACTTTTTTTTAAGGGCGTGCCGCAGCGCTAAACACAAAAATATAATAAAAGTTCCCAAAAAAAAAAAATTAAACGAGAAACGCCCACGCAATGGGCCCATAAAACGCGGCAAGAAAAAAGAGGCGGAAAAACTATTTAGGTTGGTCAATGCTCTGGTTATTTCCCAACTTCCCAAGCTTTTCTAATTTATTCTTATTCCTCTATTTTCGAATTACGAAAAATTATGTCATTTTGGCCAAACATTTTGCTTTTATCTCAACGCCACGTACTTATCTGAATCTGATTTAATAACAAAATAACAAAAGAACGAGTATTTATAGATCACAATTAATATAAAAGTGATATCATCAGGTTGCGACGTCATAAATTCATTTAATTGCAATTTTTATCTTAATTTTTAAACAAAGTGCACCTCAAACTGTAGTTTGTCCCAGTTAATCTCAAACTGTAGCCAATTAAGAGCCATCATTGTTGTGGGGGATCTGATTCTCGATTCACGACCGAGCTGCGACTTAATGACTCATTCAAAAGCCGCAAAAAGCACACACAATCGAATTAAATATCGAAATATGACGTAGAACAAAGAATAAGCAAAATATAACAACAAGTGAGTGAAAATAAATTCCAAACTGAGAGATAGTGCTGGCTTTAATTACAGTTTAAGAGAACTTTTGCACAAAATTAGCCAGACTACCTGTTGGCAATGTGACAACGAGAATGCAACAGAGGAAGTGGCATTCCCAAAAAAAAATAAATAAATAAACGAGGGGACAGATGAATAGCGCAGCACGGTGGGCCGGTGGAAACAACTTTATAAAAGCGCATTTAGCAAACAAAGCAAAAGTGACGGCTACGACGACGACGACGACGCCAAGAAAACAGATGGCGGAATGGAATGGCATTTTGTTGTATTATGCACTCTCGTAAGTAAAAAAGTAAAAAAGCACACTCAAACAAAACAAAACACAACAAAAAACAAAGGAACCAAAAAAAGGAACAAGGCGAAGAAGAAGCCGTGTTCCCATTGTGGTTAATGCTGTTGGCAGTAACCGACCTGGAAAGGAATGCCAGACAGAAAGCCAGAAAGGAAGTGGTTATTCCCCAAAAAAAAAATGACAAATATTCAACAAGGATCATAAAAAAAAGGGAAAATAATGATAGCTAACTTATACCATTAAGGGGTTATATACAGTTGTGCCGCGCAAATATATGGATTTTTATCGATTTTTTTTTGACACCATAGAAAATATTTATGAAAAATGTTTTAACGACGTTGTTTAGTTCATGTTTCTGGGTACTTCATTAAATTTTTTCATAAAAAAATATTACATAACAAAAATGTTATAGCCGAATTCCCGGATCGTCTTTTTTCGATGGTGTCTTGCGGTGGACATGATTTCTCGAAAACGGCTCATCCGAAATCCAAAAGTCAAAAAAGTTTAGTTAGTATATTGTATTGTCTAGTCCGTGAACGAGGGATTTTCAAAAATTTTGATTAAAAAAAAAATGGCGACGTTTTTAACAAAAAATGTACTTTTTCAAGGTATAAGATTTTCGTTTTTTGTGCTTTAAAAAAAAAGTTTTCAAAAAAATTGAAAATCCCTTGTTCACGGACTAGCTAATATCATAATAAATAAGTGATCCAAATTTGGTGTTGATCGGATTCGTAGTTTTTTTAGTAATCGTGTCCACCGCAAAGGTAATTTCCCCAAAAAAAGATTCTGAGATAATCGCGTTTAAAGTTTCAAGTTTGTTCAAGTTTTATATGCAGATAGTGCGCTATAAATAGCTACAGCTTCGGTTCTAATGCTCCGATCGTTATGAATTTTTGTGAGAGTATTCCCAATAGAATATACTTAAAGAATATGCAATACAAAAAATCGATTTTTTCATATATCACAACTGTATATAACCCCTTAATATAAAAGCAGAGGCTTATTTGCTTAAAAAGCAAAGTCAACTTCAAAAAGCAAAGAAATAGACATGGCTCTTTGTATCATTTATTGAAATTAGCTTTGAAGATCTTCACAACTAAAGTAAATAGGAAGGATATACACTGTATATTTCCAACTATTTTATACCAAAAACCTAATTTTCTTAAAAAGCAAGAAAGAAAAGAAACGGACAGACGGTCACTTGATATGACTTTTGATATCTTTTATAGGCAACAGATCCCAAGATTTTGATCCGTCAAATATAGAAAGGATATTCTACAAAGAATATACATATCATCTTCATATCATATATACATATCATAATCACCTTCATACCAAAGTATTATCTTAAAAGGCTAGAATGAGAAGCAAAGAAAACCTTTCCAAAGCCAACGACGAACAAGGCTCCTCTTCCTATTTATTATAATCTCAACATCTTTATCCCTAAACTAAATAGAAAAGAGGTGTTCTATATATATTTACTATTTTTTTAATATATATGTATTTACAGATAATTGATACCAGCGATTGATTGATTGATTTTTAACCAAAAGCTAATTTGCTTTAAAGCAATAAAAACAACTGAAGCAAACTCTTCTAAATTTAACGACAGATATTTATTCTATTACATCTCATATATATTATATATATTACTGGATCTCAACATGTTTAGCCCTAAGAAAATATATGTGTTCTATATATTTATAGATAAATGATTAATGATTAATGATAAATGATAACTAATTAGCTTTAAAAGCAAGAACAAAAAGCAAAGCAAGTTCTTCTAAATTTAAGGATGGATATCTTTATAAATTCTCCTTCATATAAATATATATATCTCTCGATATTTACACCAAACATAAACCATTTATTTAATATTAAGAATTACTTACCTAAACGCAATTCGCCAAAATTACCACAGCCAATTTTTTTACCAACACGAAAATTTGGTCCGACCATAAGTACACCGGTTGTGGTGCTTACAGATTGGCGGGTGGAATACATGTTATTGCTTGAGCTTTTACCACCGGCTAGGGCTGTGGTGGCATTTGCCACATTACCAGCAGATGCACCGGCAGTTGTCGTTTGTGGGCCACCTCCACTGCAAAGATGAGAGAGAACGGAAGTTGGTTATTTAAAAAATTAATTAAAGTACGACAAACTATTTGATAAGCAGGAAGTAATGTTAACAACTAGATTAAGTAGGTTTTGTAAAGTCCATCACAATTTTCTAACTTTAAATGTCAAAATTAAATAAAATTAAATATTATTTTGCTTCAGAACTCTGCTTGAAAGGATTATCTCTTATGGGTTTAAACCAAGCATATCACGCTTTCTTGGGGGCGTGGGAGTGGAGTTCTTCTTTGGATACGTACTCATCACCCTTGTAGTCCTTTTTCATGGATAGATATTTGCGCAACATTTAATTTTGGCAAAGATATTAGATTGAAAAAATCAGGTGTACTTGATTCGAATAGCGAAAAAATACAACAATTTTAAATAAAAATATAGAAACCAGTTACTGGGTCTAGAAAATGAAGTCTAAAATGTCATTTTCCGAATGGAAATTAAAAACTTGTATTCAATAATCGAAAGTAAGGTTTTTTTTAATATGTAAGGCCAGCTGTAACCACAGGGGCTGGCTCTTAAAGGGAAATAGATATAGAATCATGACTCACGACTACTGAACGAGGGAAATATTTTTTTATTTTTTTGATTAAGACAAAAGGTTTTTGCTTTGTTGCAGTTAAATCTGATGGGTGTGGCTGTGGCTATAGCTTCTGTGCGAAAAAGCGAAAAGCCACTCATGATTCTGATGAGTGGACTATGGGGTTTTAAGCCAACTCCAATACATTAGTCTTATAACTGAACGGAGGGGGATTATTAATCAGTAGAGATATAACTGCAACTGCAATGAATCAGGCATGAGTGTGGTTTAATTAATAAATATTATAAATAAAAACCACAACTTTAACAATAAATACCACGAATATTAAATATGTAAAATATAAGATAACACTATTATGAAGCTTCAGAAGAGTCTGAGTTTTTTATCTCCGATAAAAAAGCAGAATCTCCACTTGGCCCCATCTTAACAGGAAATTATTGGTTATGCCCCCACTCGTTTCAGCCCACCCGACTTCCCTCTTGAGAAAATAACTCTATACTTTCTTCTAATATCAGTCTGCCGCCTCTTGATTATTTGCCAGCTGCCAGCAGCTATAGCTACGAATGGGAGTCGCAAAATCTTATCTACCCACAAGTTTCTTCGCAAAAAAAAGAAGTACAACACATACACAACCGATAATTGTACCGTTAAAAAGCTGCTGTAAAAAAACCCCCCTCCGATAACAATTAAAGCGGCGAGAAGATGAAGAAGCTTAGAGCGAAAACGGCAGTGGAGCGATGAAATGGGGCATAAACGAGTTTGGGTTTCAGTTCGACTTCGATTTCAGCTTCTTGTTGAAGCAACCTCTTGCCCCTGCCACACTCACAGGCCACAGGCTGGTCGTGCCACTTAAAAACTGGACACAAGTAGGCAAATTTAGTAAACAGATATACCGATATACCCTTCCAATAAGAAATAATATACCAGATATTAAAATTTTCAAAAGATAGTAGGATGTAGAAAATATCTATATAACTTTAGTTTTGAAAACTTCAGAACTCTATAGCTTTATAGAGAGACACTTCAGAACTCTATAGCTTTATAGAGAGCATTCGCTGTCTCGGTATGACTCATTTCTCATGGCTTTCTGGTTATTGCTTTGACTGTTTTATGGCTTAATATCCTGCGGGCCAAACTGGTTCACAGCCAGGCCACAAGTATAGTATAGTATGTCTTTCATTGGAGGTACATATGGACGCGGGTATTAACGTTTAAATGGCTAAAAGTTCAGCTATGAAGCTCCTCATTTGAAACTTTTCATATACGGTTTTGGGTCATTTGCTTCTACCTGCAACTGGAAACTGGTTCCTGAAACAACAAGTAGTCTTTAAGGAAAGAAATTTAAAATTAAAGCCATAAATAAATAATTAGATTGGCATAAAAAATGGATAACTTTGTGAGGAAAGTGAAATGACAACTCCTAGAAAGCAATCACTAGCTTTTATTGGCTGCGTTTGACAGCCAGAAGGAAGAAGAAAAAAAATCAATAATTTAAAATAAACCAGCATCTAAAAATAAAATTATTCACAAGGTGGGTTGCTTGCTCGAAACTCTCACTCACACACATTTTCAGAAACACTCAGACGGCAGTTATCGATGTATGCACAGGTGTCTGTCTGTGTGTGTGTGTGTGTGTTTGTACCGTAAATAAATCAAGTGTAAATTGAACACAAATCCGACTCAAAGAGTAAGAGAGAGAGATAGAATGACGACAACAGCATGAACCGCAAACAGCGGAAAATCCCAATTAGAATTTGTCAAAGCCACAACAACTAACTAGTAAGAGGGGGGATGGGAGCGGGGGCAGGCAGATGAAACCGCAAAAGAATTTCGCATAATTTGACAGACAATCACCAAAAGGTGACGCACTGTCTGAGACACTATAACTAAGTTAGTAGACGGCACTAAAAATTAAATTAAGATACCAAGTACTTCTCATTAAAGAAGCCCCACAAGGCAAGGCACTTTTTTGGGGCAATTACATAAGCAATCAAAGAAAGCAAATACCGCTTAGAAATTAAACAAACGGAAAAACAGGGGAAAACAGAAAACTTGTGATAAAGGCAGGTTGATAAGTGCGTGTGTCTATACATTTTATTATGCCCGTGACTGTGTCTGTGAGTGCGAGTGTGTGTGCCTTATCAGCTAGAGATTGCTGTGACGTTATGCGGTCTATTACTCTCTTCCTCTCTTGCCATTCTCTTTCTGGGGATCTGCCCTTCCAAGTGACTTACAATTGATTTGTTGCTGTAATTGCTATTTATAGAAACAAACAATAAAAACAATTTCATTATAATTTCTAGCACAAACAATTCAAATTCAATTATGCAAATCAATTAAAAGATCGTTTAAGACAATTGATTTTCTCAGCTATGCAGCAATCATAGATCGTATTAGCATTTCTCTCTCTGTATTGTATCTATGAGATACATATGTATCTTTAGCATTAATTGTATTGTTTTGGTTGCTCATAATCAAATTACTATCGCAGCCCCACCACTGCGTAACATAACGTGTCAATATCCATTTTCAATGGCATTTGACGTTTTGACAAGCCAGAGCACTACTTTGATTCGCATAACATAAGAGAGAGAGAAGAGTACACCCGGCCCGCCACCCCCTCGCACCATAACAACTGACCTATCAACACCGATAAGCGGAACAAGAGAGATGGATGGAGGGACATAGCCATAGACAGCCTTGCTCAGAGCCAAAGCACTTGAGAACTCTCACGCACACTCACACAGCCATACACTCGTGCTGTACTGAACAAGTTGGCTAGATAAGCGCGCCTTGATTAGCGGCCTAAGTCAGACAATAGCGAGTCGAAATGAACGAGTGGCAGCCAAATGTTGGGAGAGTGAGTGAGTGGCGGGGCGGTTGAGTGGAAAATGCAGAATGCAGAAGAGAGCAGCTGATGAGGTGCACCTTGCACAGTGGGTAGATAGGAATTCTTAGTGACTAAGCCTTCTAGATTTTAAAAAATCTCTGTTTAAGACCCACTGTAACAACAGAAATTCATTCAAGACATCGTCTCTAAACGCCACAGCCTCTAACTGAAACTGAAATGTGCACAATGTGGTAGCTGGATTAGTGTGAGTGTCTATGGAGGCGCCTCAATGGCCGATTGACCTTTGCATGTTAGATTAACATTGAATATGCAATCCAATCACCGCCCATCCCACAACCCACACCGCCCAGGCCCCTCTATTCGATCCACTCATTGGTGAGCCATCTGTGTGCGTCGTCGTCGGTGGCTTTAATTAGTTTAGCCTCAGATGGGGCACGTGCAAAAGCCAAAAGCTACGAGTCTACAGAGGTCAAATGCTATCCAACCAACGCCCACCTAGAGAGCATCTGATTATAAGGCAAGGGCTTTCCTAGTAAAAATCTAAGGATATGATAACTTATTTCCTATAAATTGGCAATTGACCTAGTACATAGTGACCCCGGAAGGCACCTCAACAACACCCGTTATTTACGTTTGATTCCTTCCTTCCTTCCTGCCTGCCTTTCGCCTTGGGTGGGCGGTAAATGAATTGTCAGGGTCGCCCAAAAGAGGTGCTGATTGACATTGAAGACCTCACGTGCGTTGGCTTTGCCAACTAAATGTTTCTTATCCCCCAGCTTCAGCTCAAGTTCATTGTCGCGAACCTACAAACCTTGAATTCTATTCTTTTATACGATTTTTTATTTATTTTTAATCAGAATACCCACAGATACCATTTAATACTAAAGTAATAAATAATATTGGCAATTCCAACAGGTTAGAACGTGATTATCTCTGCTCTGGTCACACTCTGCACTAAAAATGCATCTTGTTCCCACACAGAAACTCCACAGTCTCTCCTCCCTCTTGAGGTTTAACCCTTAACATGTGTTCAACATGAGTTTCGAAACTAACCCGGAGAACTCCGTTAAACGGCGCTTTCAGCGGGAGCGGTTGAGAGAGCCCTCATGCATGGAACATCCAGCTTTCTTCCGTGAACAGAAACGTTGCGGGGGATCCGGGGGATCGACGGACGGCAGCTCGAGACCCAATGGCTGCCAAACTGTGAGCAGCTGTTGCCGAGTCTCCTCGGCCGTTCACTCTCCACTTAATAATTGTTGTAAGAACTTGTTTTTTTTTTTTGTATTTTTTGTATTTTCAGCCTTTGTTATAATTGTTTAATTGCTTTTATGGCATGCACTTTGTTTCACAATATCACATATATATATTTTGCACTTCTGGCTTGAAATGAATTGGAAATTATAAAGATTATTTAGGTATTACGACCTTTTCACACCACACACGCTTTTCTTTTCCCAGCAGCGCCAATTTTTCGCAATTTGCGCTTTCTTTTTCACTCATTCGACTTTTCTCTTTTGTTTTCTTTATTTTGTTGGTATTTTTTATTGTATTTGTGTTTGCTCTTTAAGTGAAGTTGAATGAA